CGGACACTTCACATTCATCTACATCATTGTTTGCCATTGTTTGTTTTTTTGTCCTTATCATTTAATATGAAGAGTGATAAATGATAAGGATATCCTTGCATTCATCAGCAAATAATCAGTCATACATCTGCTATGAATATTCCATTTTTATCATTTGATTAACTGATAAAAGAGAATTGCAATAGCACCTGGCGGGATACTGTAACAGCGATTGTTAGATTGATATCTGTGAGGAAAGTGAATGGAAGAGGACGTAAGTGAGCTCTTTGCCTTGCAGGCCTTAAATTGCAAAGTTAGAAGAAAGTTATTTGACAGGAAGTTTAGAGCCTCAACAATAATCCATGTTAGAGCCAAATAAAGAATGTACGCCGGGTGGAGACGGCAGAGATGAGCGAGAACAACAAAAATAGTATTGCTGATGGTTGGGAAAATCATTAATTGCAAACGAATACATTCTATCTCTGTGTATGTGCGTGTGCATGTATGTATATGTGTGTGGGTGTTTTTTGTTAATTTCTCCAGTTTTCTCTACTGTTATAAAGTGTAGAAAATCTCGGAGGTGCGGTGATTATCGTGTCTTTGTGGGGTGTTTTATCATTCTCTCTTAGAGGTATGTTATTATGTTGTCTGTACAGTTTTATGAGTGCGCGATTGATAGGTGACAGAATGATAAAACAAATAATAAGAACATATATATATATATACAGACAACATTTATTTTGGAAATCATCCTTCAGTTAGGTATTTATTTTGAGACTAAGCGTAATGAAATGGTTTTCACGGTGCCAAAAAATTGTACATTATTTCCTTCATTGCTAAATATTGCTATCAAGTTTCTCTCGAATTTCATTTCTCAATAAGATTCAGATAAATCATATTAACTCCACGCGGTATGGCACAAGAACAATTTTTATTTAAAATAGTTGAGCATGAGCTTAATGTACCGAAATTATAATATAATATCGAAAGCTATCGGTAGCGGAAGTTTGATTATTATATGTTAGCCTCTAAAATTAAAGTTTTTGAATGACCGAGTTTTTTGATTTAGATTTGTGGATGTTTTGCATACATATGTTTGTATTGGGCTGAACTTTATTGTAATATAAATAGTAATTTGTTCTTAAATTAAATTTTTAGAAAAGATGAGTGTTTCGGGTATACAAATCACTCATATAATATTTGACTTAGATGGATTGCTACTTGATTCAGAAACAATTTATACTGAAGTCAATGCAGAATTGATGAAAAACTATGGTAGAGAGTATACAATGGAGTTAAAGACGAAGACAACTGGTATGAAGATGGATGATGCAATTCAAACGATGCTTGAACATGTATGTTCTCATTTTCCATTCTTGTCATTGATTTTAATTATAGTAATCCGGCGTCTGACCTAGTCAATTTGAAATTTATTTGCATTATTTTCTCAAACTGCATTTCATTTTATTATCTTCTTGTCATTAGTATTTACTCCGAAAACGAAAATGAGAAAAAAAATTCAATCGTGCTGTTTGAGTTTTAAATTACGGCTTTCAGGAACACTTGTTTGGTATAGTAAATTTGGAGGAGTATAAAGCGAAATATTTAGACTTGCTAGGTAAACATCTTCCTGAAAGTCAGCTATTGCCTGGTGCTATGAAACTGGTGAAACATTTTGCTAAACATAAAATTCCAATGGCAATATGCAGTGGATCTAATGCTTATGAATTCAGTGCAAAAATGAAAAATCAAAAGGAATTATCCGATCTCATTTCACTTCATGTAACTATTTTGTGAATTTTTTTCCGACTTTGAAATCAGATGATGAAATAATGTTTGCTGAAAATTTTAGTGAAGTATAACTCTATAGATATGTTGTGCCAGTATAGCGAACATTCATATGCTTGTACAGGTTCTAACTGGCGATGACCAGCTTGTTAAAAAAGGGAAGCCAGCACCAGATGGATTTTTGGAGACAATGCGACGATTTGCAGTGAAACCGAAGAGTGCCGCTCATGTTTTGGTGTTTGAAGATTCGATAAATGGTGTTTATGCTGCATTAGCAGCTGGAATGCATGTTGTGATGGTACCAGATTTGCGTTATTCAAGTCCTCCTGAAAAATGCAAGGATAAAATAACGCTGGTATTGAATAGTTTGGAGGAATTTAAACCGGAAGTGCTGGACTTACCACCATATGATTGAATTTACGCACTTGTGTGCTGTTTTATGATTCGTCAACTACACAATAAAAAATATTATAATTCATACAAATAGGAAAATGCTTTTGTTGCTCGTAACGACGGGTGCGGAACATCGCTTAAGAAGTGGATTCTGTGTAAGTTATGCTGCTTAATTATTTAATTCGGATTCTTTATTTATTTAGAATTTAAGATTTGTTACGTTTTACCTACGTGTATTTGTTAGATATTAAATTATATTAGCCATTAGAACTCGTCAAATTGTTCAAATTACGAAAATTTTAGAAATAAATTTTTTTTACTTTTCAATAGCTTAAGCATAATACTTCCTCAATTTCATCTCAGTATATCTCGATGTCTTCAATTAGATAAGATTTATGCGTATGCTGGTGTAATCATTCCAAGCACAAATGGAGTACTGGAAACAGTTGCAGATAAAATAGACAATCGACAATCGCTATAACTCGTTTCTTATATGAATGTGGAGTTTGTAATCCTGTGGCATCCTATGATATGTAATCCTATGAGTATGGCCATATGGCTATATCTCATTTCGTATGAGAACGTCACTGTAGGTATGTTCTCGTCGCGAAAGTTACGAAACGAAAATTAAAGAAAATAAAAGTTACGAAAAGGATTCTTGCGATATTATCTCGCAAAAAGTTCATATGTATCAAAAATTTGTTTTGTAATATTCTTCGGTGTTCATAAGGAGAAATAAAATCAGCATAAAGCGAAAAAGATGTTTTTCGTTATTCGATTATACTACGATGATTTTTTCAACTTCAAAAAATAATTGATTTCGAAAAGTAATAACTTCATTTCAAACTGCAGTTTGTGTGGAAAGCATTGCAAATAGCTAGTGATGAAGTGGCAGAAACTAAGAAAAAGAGGATGAGGAGAGATGCTAGTCTGTTGTTAATGTCTCTCACTAAATGTGTTTAAAGTTTAGCGTGAAAGTTGAAATCAATGAATATGTTAGAAGAGAGCCGCTGCATTCTACATCATTCGGCATTTTTCGGTGCAGCATTAACTAGAGCAACATATCTGATATCCTTTGCGTGCAGACATTCCTACTCTTTATCCTTCGATTTCCGAACAGCGGTTATATGATGTAAGTTTTAAATGGTCCAACTGTAAAAGTAAGAATATGATGCAAAGTCGTAGAATGTTTTCATTCTCATTGAAAGTAGATTTTTGAGATAAGTAGAATAAAAAGCAATTGCAAAAAAAGCAATTAAAGTATGGATCAATGCTTGATATCGTATTATTGACATCCATAGTTTATAGAATATTATGCCTACTATCGACTGTTTTCCGACTTGTATAGCATACAGATATGCGAGTTCTCAGTGTTTCATTCTGTCATTTCAGTCAGATATTGGATACCTGAAAAATTTGAATTTTTTAATAAAAATGAATGTATAAAAAAACAAAGATTTCTGTTTTTATGCAATGTTTTAAAACTGTGCTTGTTGAGTTGTGGTTGTATATTGAGTATGTAAATATAGATGATATACTGATGTTGATTAAAATAATTTTAATGAAATATAAGGCAGAGCTGCATATTGAGTAAATGTTGCTAATTGTTAAACGATGTTGAAAGTCAGTGACGCTTCATTTTCAGCTTTTCCTGTTTCAGCCGTCATGAAGTCAATGCCGAAGATAACGCACGTGATTTTTGATTTGGATGGTTTACTGATTGATACTGAAGTAGTATTCTCGAAAGTGAATCAGTGTTTATTGTCAAAATATGATAAGGAATTCACTTCGCATTTGAGAGGTTTGGTGACCGGAATGCCGAAGAAAGCCGCCGTAGCATACATACTCGAGCATGTTTGTTTTCTTTATTATAAAGAGTTGTCGCAGCGTAATCCCAGCAGCTCAGAGTTGTTTTATGACGCAAGTAACAGTTCCATAATACGAAAAATTAATATCACATCTCATTTTCCATCTTCGAATGATCATGAGGCTCTCGTCTTGCCATCGTAATTCTTGTTAAGAACTTCATTTACTCGGTATCAAGGTTCAAAAAACTTAATTGTCCACGAGATCCATATATAATTATGTTAGTACTTTGTTGAGATTACTAGAGTACTACTTTCGATCTTACTTTTCAGAAATCTGCAAATTCCTACACAAAATCAGGGAGCTATAAAAAAATTTCAAGAGACCAAATTTTTAATTAGCTCTTCTGACCAGGATTGTTTAGTGAGGTACGAGGTAATTGTATAAGGAATTGTCGGCTTAGAAGTTTATACATACATCTCGTTGTAAAACCTCGTTTTCAGGAAAAACTGTCCGGAAGAGTTGATGTGGACGAGTATTGTAAAAAATATGATGAAATGGCTGAAGAAATGTTGCCGAAATGTTCAATAATGGATGGTGTACTGAAGTTTGTACGGCATTTAAAAACTCACAATATACCAATGGCAATATGCACTGGTTCGACTAGAAAAGAATTTGAACTTAAAACTCAGTATCACAAGGAGTTGCTTGATTTAATTTCTTTGAGGGCAAGTTTTTCTGTCAGTGAGACCATTTACCATTTAATGGTGAATAATAAAGAGTGAGACAAGAAAACTGACGATCGACTATATCAGCTGCATATTTAGGAATTGAATCCTAAACTCAACTACTTTTTTTGCAAAAAGTAGAGCTATAATTGTGTTTTACGTGTTAAGGGATGGTGACCGTGAATTTGATTCAGGGTGAGCATTTTCAGACCAGATTATAAAAGACATCAAAGTTTCACTGCTAAAATTCGCTGACGATCAAGTAAAAGAAAAAGGAATGTTTCGTTCATTGCTTTTTAGGTTTTGTCGGGCGATGATCCTGATGTCAAACGAGGGAAACCTGCTCCAGATCCTTTTCTGGTAACTATGGATAGATTTGAGCAAAGACCTGAGAGAGCTGAAAATGTCCTCGTTTTTGAAGATTCGACTAATGGAGTATATGCAGCAATAGCAGCCGGCATGCACGTTGTTATGGTGCCAGATTTAACTTACATGAAGATTCCAGATGAACTTCGAAACAAAATAACTTTAATACTTAAAAGCTTGGAAGACTTAAAGCCGGAAAATGTGGGGTTGCCGGCGTACAATTGAGAGAGAGTAAATAAGTGTAGTTAGTCGCTGCTTGTTGTGATGCTTGTTGTTATGCGTTTTTCCAGATGTAGGTAAGAAGTTTTGTAAGTATGTAAAAGTAGAGTAATGTCGAGACTGTCCTTATTTATCAGCACGATTTCTATAGAGTTTTGGAAGTACTAAAATTTCGTTTAGTATGTAATCAACTGTTGTGCTTTAGGAAATGTTTGATTAACTATTGCTTCAGAAATAACCATTACTAGGTCGACTTTTTATTTATTGTATCAGAAGTGTGTTTAGTCCTATCTGTGATATTTGTATTGTGCAAGCTGTGCAATCGTTAATAAAACAGTTATTTCCGTTTCTTCTTTATCAGTTCAACATCGTTAACACGACCTTTTATACTGATCGCCCATGATATTATGATCTTTAGGTGGGAGTTTTCACGGTATTTCTTAATTTGTCTGCTTCGTTCTGTTTTTCTGAGCAGTTGATTTCTAGCTGACTGGTGGAGTGAAAAGGACAGGAGTAATGTAATGCGAAGGTCTGCAATTATTCTAGAAGTTCAGTACTAAGAAATGCTAATATCATGAAATTATCATGTCTGATATTGCAATGCCACATATATTCTCTGATATTGCAGGGTTACATATGCTAGGTGTGATCCTTCATTTATATTTCTCTTGCGTATTCTTGTAATTTAAATTTTTCAAAAGATAGTTTGGGAAGAAATCTGACTCTATTCTAAACAAATTTATTCGACTGAAGTTAATTTGCAGTCGTATGTGAATGAGATATCCTGAATTTCTGTTTAAAATTTTTGTCTCGTTTGATTCTTTACTTTTAAAACTTGGAATTTTTAGCTTTTATCTAGTTATATCTTTCAGCACAAGTTAAGAGTGGTGAAATAGTTTCAGTCGGAATAATTTTTGGTCAAAGCCACTCTCAGCCTTCAGATGTTTATTTGTCCTGAAGTGGTGTGAATATTGCACTGATGTCATTGAAAGGAGAACTTAACGAAGAAGAAGTTCATTTCCTGAATCGAGCCTTTGAAATAGCTGCAGATGCGGTCTTTAATAATGAAGTGCCTGTTGGCTGTGTTTTCGTTTTCGAAGGTCAAGAAGTGGCTTTTGGACGAAATGACGTAAATCGTACGAAGAACCCCACATATCACGCAGAAATGGTTGCGCTTGAAATGATGAAACAATGGTGCATGGATAACGGACGCAAGTTGGAGGACGTAATGCGCCGCACAACTCTATACGTTACACTTGAGCCGTGCATCATGTGTGCATCAGCACTGTATCATTTGCATTTGAAAAAGATCTTGTATGGTGCATCGAATGAACGTTTCGGTGGTTTCCTTAGTGTTGGAACAAGGGAGAAATACGGCGCTGAGCATTTCATCGAAATTATGCCAAATCTTAGTGTTAATCGGGCTGTGAAGTTGTTGAAAGAATTTTATGAAAAACAGAATCCGTTTTGTCCAGAAGAGAAACGAAAAATAAAAAAACCGAAGAAATCAGAAAATAATGATGATAGTCCTGTTGACGTTATCGTTTTAGATGTTTGATTTTCTCATTTAAATCATTTCAATCAAATCACTTATTTTCCTGTCATTGTTGCTTGTGATTTGTATTTTTGTTTCATTCATAGGCATCATCAATCAAACTTCTACAGTTCTATTTCAGTCATTGTGAACCTTTGATCTGTAGCGTCTATAATATTTTTTATTGTTTAACTTCTTCGAATAACTCAGGTATTAAATCCCATAATTGGCAGACAGATATGAATAATTTTTTTTCCAGTTTTCAAAAAAAAATTTGGCTTCTATTATTGGTATTTATATTACTTATTGATCAGCTGAATGATAAGTGTTCGTCTTTAGGTATCCAGTTAGAAGTTTTTCAATATTAATTTTTTGAAATGCAATTTCTGCTTGTTGAGGAGCTCTTCATTATGCATTTTATCGTGTATGAGTAATTCATTTCTTATTATTTAATTTGCAAAGGAATTACTATCTGTTCTGTTTAACTATTCGTTATGTACACATGCAAATATGAGTCTTCACTGATAAAAACTGGGAATCATATTTAAGATTGTTTAAAAATTCAATGCATAAAATTGTTTTGAAAAATATTTTGAATAAAAAAATACATGAAGTACTCAAAAAAATATGCAGGAATAAAGGTTCATTTATGCGCTCCTTTTGTTAACATTTCTTGAATTTTCTAGCTCATCGATAGCCAAAACAGCTATGTCACTTCTCTTATCTCTATGCCATTCTAGTTCTTAAAATCATATCAGAATTTTTTCCTTCTCCCTATAAATATAACATATGGTTCAGTAAGAGTGCTGGCAATACTAATAATTGCATTCATTTCAAACTAACTAACTGTAATTTAACAGTGCTATTTTTATCTGTAATTATTTAATTGAAGTGCAAATAATAAATTGCCTTGCATAGACTTTGCAAAGGTTTTTCGTATAAGTATTATCTATAATTGTAGTATATCATTAAATACTGGTTGATCATTGGCAGTTTTTGATGTCTAGTCAAACAAAATGGTACCAATTTTGTGATTTTGACTTTTTCGTTGTTCTTTCTTTAATGCATTAATTCGTTCAACTTTAAACCAGTGAATTTTTCCCTGCTTTTACGAAACTATTACCTCAATTTAATCGTAAAAATTTGCCAATTTGTGTATTTCCTCGATAATTTTTCCAAAATGTTCTCCATGATAATATTAACATTGCCGTTTAGATCTTGAAATTTAGCGAATGCAAAATGGATAGCACTAAAATAGAGAGCGAAACTCAAAAATTCCAAAAATCTTCTTCATCTGATAAACGATTAAGAGTACAAATTACGGAAGGAGATCTGGTGTGGTTTTTTTAATCGAAGTTTTACTTTTTTTTTTTACTTTCCTAAAAATGTATTTTAGTGATTTGAAATCCGGGATAATTGTTCAGTGTTGCAGTAGAGCAATAATGTTAATAAATAATGTGAAGCATCATAAGCTTAGGTTCTAAATTTCAAGCAAACAATGATGATTTTTGAACTCACAAAAGTTAGCCAGTAGGAATGCAAGAGATGTTCATTTCATTTAAATAAATTGGTTAGATTTTGGTAAAATAAAAAATATCACTTTTTACAGCTTTGTGTCAATCATTGTGGTTTCTACGGCACACCACAATGGAAGGGGAGATGCTCGAAATGCTGGCGAGCTTATCAAATGGAGGAGAAGAAAACACAATACTATACCAAAAATAGGTTTGTACTAATTTTTTTTCCTAAAATTTTGGGATTCCTTCTGCGGCATTTTTTACAGCAATTCAAAATTGAGATGCAAGCGTGGAATAAGTTTGAATGCTCATATTACGTACGTTAAGAAAAAAGAGTATACGGGGTAATATCGATCCGAATGGAACAGTTTTTGATGGAGTCAGGGAAAACTCTGTCTGAGTTTAAAAGGAAAAGACAAGTGCTACTGTATTGTTCGATGTTCATTTTTTTATAAATATGTTCGTTTGCTCTAACATGGTGGTATTAAATTTTATAAAAAGCATTCACCGCTAAGTGCGGATATTGATTCGTATATTCATTAAAGGAGAGTAAGTTCTTCATTGTCTTTCCTATTTGCTCCTATTTTATTTGGCTTCTCTTATCACCATGACAGTTGGAAATTGAGTGAACGCGCAATGCTTCAAAGAGATATTATTTTTTCATATTTTAGTGTGTGCTGATTGTGTAAAGGTATTAAATTTGTTGAAGACAGAATTGGAAGTTTTCAACATGTTATGTTGGCAGAAGACTAAATCGGGGTTTTCCATAACTCATTGTAAAAACTATTTTTGTTTGTTGACTTTTTATAATTACGATTAAGTCTATGTTTTTTTATTTATAGAGAACTTCTAAGTTTCGAGAAATTTGAGGGACGTCGGAAGCTATCAACAGAAAGTCGTTCACTAACATTGAAGGCGATTCTTCGAAAATCACCATCAACTGCGAATTCAAATTCCTTCCAGGGTTGATTACTTTTTTCACGCTATATTCAGCATTTTTATAAGCATGAGAATAATCAGGTTTTTTTTATATGTTTCATTTTAGAAACAGGACATACAGCAACTCCGTCACAGTCTACACTCTCATCTCCTGTTACACCAATAAGGTATTTCACATCTTTTCAATAGTACTTTGTGTTTATTTCGGCTCTTTCTTCATATTAGTCATGTCTCATTTACTTACCTAAATTCTGATTCTTTTATTTTATCTCAGAGTATGAACTTTTGATTTGGAATTTATAATATTTTCTTGAATAATTTTTCATTGTTGCGTATCAAAAAACTGTACGATGGGACATCTATGGTTTCTTTTTTTACATCTTATTGAGGAAATAATTGACTTTTACTATAATTCTAATTTATTCAGGAATATATATTAGTAATCAATTTTCAGGCATCGTCTTAGTGAAGAAAGCAGCTCTGCTTACGATCGTTTTCACGAGTTTCTTCAAAGTAATCTTCCTCAAACAACTGCTCATGAGATAGATCAGCAAACACATCATGCTGTTGATAAAATTCTGGAAGTCAGTTCCTCATATTGCTATTCCTTACTTGACTGAATAGTGGATAAGAGAGATATTTAACAGAAATATTTCTTCAATCTTCAAAAAATTTAAAAAGTTTTTTTGTTTATGTCATCTTACGACCTACTTTCTACCGTAATTCCTCGGAATTGCATTAGTTTATTTAAGCTGGTATTTGTTTAAAATCGAATAACTGATTTGAATTTCAGCAACAGAACGTTAATATGGACGACCTCTCTAGCATGGTACAGCATTTCTATCAAGTGCTTGCGGATAAAATGCGTCACAGCCCCATTATGAATGGTAGCTATTTCGCTTTCTTTAAAAAAAAGCAAGTTGTTTTGGAAAGGTCATCATAGAACTTAGAAGGTATCATGAATTCCCACACATTTAGTTAAATTTCAGATTCAACGGTTAATGTGAGCGTTGAAGAGGTAATGGCAGAAGTAGAGCAGTATATATGCATACGGGCGTATAGCACATTGTTCTGTGCTAGGTATGTTCTTTTGCTTTTTTCTGAAAATATCCGCATTTGAAATTTGTCTCATTCATAAAATCTTATGTGACGTGAGCAATCAGAATAATTTTTAATGCGAAGTAGAGAATTAAGTAGAAATTTTAGATTTTTCTATCATAATCTTGTTTAAATTTTTAAATATTAAAATTCGAATATTTTTTCTAGAGCTGACGAAGAAACTGCAGATCTATCTTTGCAAGATAGAATACGGTCTTTGAATTGGGTTACGGCAGGTTTTCTGGAAACCACTCTCGATTTTAGTCAAGAATCGGTGAATTGCATTATTTCAACTTACACATTCATTATTCATTGATAAAAGTTTTTTAATGCTGCTTGAAAGTTTTTTAATTGACAGGTTCGTGACAAATTAGATGAAGCAATAACTGAGATTATTGATATGAACAGCCATCGAGGAGCAGCGGAGAAGTTGCAGTGTCTGGTTCGTTGCTCGAAAATGATCTTTGAGGCGCTTAAAGAAAGCCGTTCAGGTATATTTTGGTGACCTTGACCAATACTAGCGCTCTAAAACTTTATTTAATATATTGATGCTACGTTTTAATCGCTTTAATCAATGATAAATGTTACGCTGAGGGCATTTTTAGATTCTTCATATTTTTAAATACATTTTTTCTAATACTTTCGTTATGATTGTCATAGCTTCGCATAGCTCAGATTATAGATTTTTTTTGCTTATAGGCGCTCCAGCTGGTGCCGATGAATATTTGCCGGTACTAATTTTTGTGATTCTGAAAGGAAATCCACCACTTATTCAATCAAACGTCAAATTTGTCAGTCGATTTGCTCTGCCGGCCAGGGTTTTGAGCGGCGAGTCAGGTTTTTTTCTTTTCTTTCTTAACTTTTCTGTGAAGTTATAGAATGACAACATGAGATTAGAATTTGCAAAAAATTCTTTATTTTATGAATTAATTTTTCATGAAACGAGCATACTAGATTGTTATTTGACACCGTAAAATTTTGTTTTGTGAAATTAATGAGATCATAAGCGATGCATTTTATTGTAATTCACTCAGTGGTTTTTCCTTTTTAGGTTACTATTTTACGAATGTAAGTTGCGCACTACAATTTGTGCAAAATATGAATGCCGAAAGCTTAAAAATGCCAAGAGAGGAGTTTGAGGCGTACACTTCGGGACATCAAGTACCTCCATTGAACGCAATGAATATGGGATGTAACCAGGTCTGTGTGCTTGCATGTTTGATTTGTACACTTGACTAATATCTATCTTTTCAGAATCTTGTTTACCGGTTAAAATTTCCGAGTTTTTAGTATTAGTAAAATGAATTTACTTTTAGCGAAACTAATCGGGCAGTAACCAGTCTGTTCTATTTTGATAATTGTATTGCATAGATAATTTTGTTCAGTCGATTCGGACTATGGAAAATTCTTTGGTACAAGTACGACAGTTGATGGAAAGGCAAAAAAATCTGAAGGAGCGGATGAACGACCTTGAAATACGTGTGAAAAGGTGATACTGCCAGAATTTCTCGATATCATTTGCAGTTGTTGTTAATATTTGTAATCCGGAAATATTCTCTCTTGTAATTGAGAATAAATTTCAATGAAATGTTCTCGTATTACAGGGAAACAGATGAATTGTCAGCGGAAGTAGATGAAATCCTCAGTACATATCCAACGGAAGAACTGAAGCATTTAACCAAACAGGTTATCATTCAAGAAGCGGAACTACTTGAATCTCTTTCAGCACCATCGTCCATTCTACTGAACCTATCACTTCCTTCTCAAGAGCTTGACTTTATTGATTACGGCAATTCAGATACCGAAGAACATGACGATCTCGAAAAAGAGAAGAAAGGTGCTGTTACATCTCAGCTATCATCTGTCCAAGATTTGACCTAATTTCTGTCTTTTTTTTGAAACAATAAAGTTAAAAGGAGCAAAAGCAATGTTAATTATTTTATGAAGAATGGTAAAAATTAAGATAGTTATCTTGCATATTTTACATTTCAATATGCTGGTGTGCATTTATAAGTGAACCGCAATTGTAAAATCTAAAATACGTACATAAGTAACAAATTGAAAGTTCTCAGCCTGAAATTGAGATATTAGTAAATTTTATGCCGAGATTGTTATGCACAGTCTTTGTTTTTTAGAAATATTCTTATTTCCTATATTTTTCTAAATTTCCAGTTGGAGAACAATAGAGACGATCCATTTTGACAACCACAAAAGTAACAACAAACAACGATTATAAAAATTTTCGTACGGGTATTTTGAATTTTTCGAGTTAATTGTTCATATTTCAAGTTAATCTGTGAATAGTATTGACCATATACATTGTTCTTGAGCAAAATGATTTTTTAGAGTGATTTAATGAGAAATATTTGAACCAGATATTGAATAAAATGATTCAGTCTCACACCAAGCATTTCGACTGTAACTTCATTTCATGTAGTCACTTTTTTGTTTCTTTTGCTGGCCATAATATAATGTAGTTTCTTAGAAAGTATATTAAATATGATATCTTTACAGCACAGTGAAACTTTTAGGGCAGTCATGAACGTATATTCACATTTTACTGCACTTTTTTTCCAGAAAAAATTTCAGAAACTTTTCATATGCATTAAAAAATGAAAAGTTGAACAGGAAAAAGATCAGATTTAATTCATCGTGATTAAACAGTAAAGCTAGTTTTTTTCTATGCCAAAATCATTGTATCTATTGAGGCCATTAATGTTTAATACTACCCTTGCTCAACACAATTTATACTGTATCCATTTCAAAACGTTTCAAGTATTTTTTGGAGAATATTACGAATAATACTTAAGTCATAGAGATTCACAGATGATACACTTTTCTCTTTACTGAATATGTGAGCACGGCATTTTATCCATATTAATCATTCAATTAAAGTTAAATTCTAGAGCAAACAGTTCAATCTTTAGGCTGATAATAGTATGACGATGCGCAGATTATGAAGATTGGATATCATTGAATTGAAAACTAAAGGATAATCACACTACGGTAAAGATTCGAGATTTTTGACACATTTCTTTGCATATCGAAATAATTTTGAAGTATTTTCTGCGATTAGCATTGATTCCTGCTCATTTTTGATATTTCTAGGAGTTTCCGTATTAGATTTCTTATTTCTGATATTAAAATTAAGTAAAACATAGCAGAAATATGAATGGGAATGAAGAATCAAGCGCTATAATTTCTGATTTTAATCTTTTTTTTTAACTTAAAATTATATAATAGCTTGAGAAATAAACATTAACATTAACAATACTGGCAGTATTTAATTCGAATTAATTTCAAGGTTGATCAAAAGTGATAAAAGATAATAACTTTTTCAAATAAAACTATTGGAATAAGCTTACGTTGTTTAAATAACTATTACACTAAAGTTGTACTATAATGAGCAAAATGAAATAAAACACGTATTTACAATGATCGATCAGATCATCCACAAAATTTTTAAAAAAATACCGTATACAAAGGATTTTAAAGTAAATAAAAACAATGCCACGATTCTAAACTTAAAACAAATGTTTCAGGATATACATCAATATTTTCTGATTTCGATTAATCCATCTTTCGGTGTTATAATTCCATGCGTTCTTCATTGTTTTGAATGTAATTAACACCACCAAGTGATATGACATCTGTATCAATAAATGACTTGAAATTCTTTTCTTCAAGAATATTTTCTTTTTTGATTTTAAAATAATATAGAAATAATTCACAAAAAAAAGATACTCTAAGATGCCTTTAGGCTTGCAGCTGTATAAATAAAAGAAAGAAATAGTAAAGGAATAATTTTTTAAATCGCTATTTAAAATAAGAAACATGATTAATTAAATTCACAAATTATCAGACCTGAATGTTACATTATTCTGATTGTTAGATTATGGCTGCACTCGCACTGTCACTTTGTTCCACTTCTTCTCTCCCATTTGTTTATTCTTTAGTTTCGTCTAAATTAAATTTTAAATTTATAATTGGAAATGAAAAGGAAAAGTTTTTAATTCTCAGCTAAACAAAGATTGTGAAAAAATAAATAAATATTAATAAAATTACTAACAAATTTTACATTTAAAAAGTTATTTTGAACAGTTATTAATATATTAATATCACTTCTATCTTCTTTCAATTTTCCTCATATCAAACAACAACCGCTTGTTTGTCGTTGTTTGATGTAATCGCTATATTAATTAATTTTTCCAATATTCATAGTTTCTTCAATCTTAACAAATTTCTATTTTCATCATTCTCTATTATTAGAATCGTTATATTTTAATAGCGATCAAAAATTAACTCTAAATTTAGCAAAAATTGGACTTAAACCAAAAGACATTAAAAATTCAATAAAATGAGAAAAGAGCAAACTTTTAGGAATAATTCGATGAAGACAGCAATGATAACAAGTAGAATACCAACAAAGATGGGAATAAAACAGAGAAATACAACTGCCTCTTTTATCAGTAGAAGCATTTTGCGGAGAAGCGCTAATGAATTGTCACCAATTTTCACTACTTGATATTCTGCTAACAGTGGTATTATCGTATTTTGCATTCTTAATAGATCCGCACTAAAATAATACGATAAGCAATCTCCAATTATTTATTATCACATAAAACAAACAAATCAAGTATAAAGCTTAGTGTATTTAAGGTGAAGTATATCTTCGCTTTTAATCATCCAATTGATGTTCTTTATCAATATTCAATTTATCAGCCCTCATCAATTCCTGGCAGGAATCAAAAAATATATAACCTGTGGGGGGCTCAAATTTCAACTATTGCAAATTTTACATTACAGTAGTTTCAATGAGCAATAAAAGTATCTCTCAAGAATTGTGCGCTAACTTAAAACTAAATAATAAAATGAATTGAACTCAGAAATTTAATATTTCCTTTAAAAATATCTATCCTCGTGTACGTAAGATGTATACGTGCGTGAAAAAATTAATTTCAAACGTGAGGAAATTTTATTACACAACGAACCTGTAAAGAATTCCACGACCTTTCCACATAGCAATATTAATCTGAGATCGTATATAACTCCTAAGAAGTGTTCCAGTTTGCTAAAATTTTAAAAAGTTGCTATTAAAAGTAAAAATTGTTCAAATACAAATGATTTAATTAATGGTAACATAAGTAAAATTTATCAATTAATAAATTGTTTACTTTCCTGTACAAAAGAAGTGAAATGTTTAATATAACTTTCATATTTAGTTTCAATAGTAACAAAAAGGTAATCAAATAATTAATATTAACCGGTTCAATTTCAATAATGATGCTATCATGTTGTACCGTACTTTCACTGAGACCAATAACTGATTCTTTTACTCTTTTATCAGCATAAAGGAAATTAGGAAATGAAAACAGAATGGGCGGTGTACCTGAAAGTGATAATGAAGTTTCATGTTTTATTTTATTATTCGAGAAAAACAAAACGGAAGATCTTCAAGGAATCTTAACCAACCAACATTTGAATTTAATCTATCTACAATTTGCCATTAGCTCATATTTTAATCTTGTAGAATTTACACCTAATCTTTCTTTTAAGTTGATTAGCTTTTATTCAACCGAAGAGCAAATGATTTTAAGTTTCTTCTCTTTGAAATTTATATATACCATTGTAGCAATGACTGAGATCTAGAAGTCCTTTGGGAAGACATTCCTCGTCTTCTGAAAAGAATGTTTTCCTATCATTGTGACAAAATCCTTCATTACTGGGTACCGCTGGATCCAACAAATCTTCCTTTACCGTAAAACGATATGCTGGTATATCATTATACTCCATTTCTTCCGCAAATGTTAAATGTATTGTTCTGAAATAAATATTATAAAATAAGATGCAATTTTTTTTTCATAGCATTTTGAAATATCAAATTTAAATATAAGAATAAATGATTAACAAGTTACAACAAGTGTTTCGAAATTTCTATAAATTTTAAATCACACCATTCATATCAATGGAAACACTTCTTCACACCCTTAGTCCTATTTTATATCAAATGATAAGAAGCGGTTATCTAAGAGTAATAGTAATAAATTACAATTGATAGATAGCAATGTACCTGCAAAGATCCGGAGCAAACACATAAATTGTATCAGTCTTTTTGATAAGTGGTTTGTAAAGTTCACCATCTGTCCCATTAATTTCCCTAAAAATTTAATCGTTAGATAAAACTTTTCAATATATCATAATGAGACTTTTCAATGCTATATCAGTGCTACATTTCAATTAATAAATTAAGCGTTGTCACAAAAAAAAACTTTCAACTTGTACAAAAAAAAATTATTACCTAGCTTGTTTACTATTCCACCAGTCCTCAGGTAGTAATTTTAATCCATCCCATTTTAATACTTCACCAGCTGCTATGCTACCATCATCGCTACCGGTAGATATTTCGATGACTTTCTGTGCTCCATTTCTCTAAATTTAACTCTCTGAATATCCTTATCATTTATTACCTTTTGATCTTTTTTTGTCTTTGGGCAAAAGCTAATTAAGTGAAATGAGATGAAATTAAACATGTTTGAATCTGTAAACTTTGATAAGATTATTGATTATGATGCTGGAAGATATGATAATCAGCAAAATTTGTTTGATCCTTAACAAAAGCTTAATTGAAGCTTTGATAGAAGCAGATTCTATTAGTTATAAATTTATTTTACTTATAAATTCTGACATTGCTTTTGTAATTTTCGTACTAATTTTCTATTCATCCACTTATTTGATATTATTTAACAGTTTAATTTAAAAGCTGTAATAATCCATTTTTAACACTTATTGAATTTTACTATTTAATCTAAATATTAATAAGATATCATAGGATCAGAAACTATGCAAATTCAAAATTAGAAACCTAAAAGATTTGCATAATGCAAAAATGCAAAAAAAAAGGCCCATTATTTTATAATGCAATTATTTGTAAGTCATAAAAAAGAAAGGACAAAAACAATGGAAATGATTCGAAATGTTTTCTTCCAATTTGTTTACTTCAAAAAATTTTAATTTTAACAAAAGTATTACTTTTTTAAAAATAAAACAAGCCTTTTACTTTATATTGAAACAATAGCAATTTAATTAAAGCAAAATAACATAAAACCTATTAAATTTAAAGATTCGACCGCAACATTTATACAACTTTATAATAATTGTTTGTCAGTCAGTATTTACAAATATCAGAAGAGTTAAGATAATTTAAGGAAAAAAAAATATTCTAATAATAAATATTTGATAGTTCTTTTTTACTGCTACAACAATTTTTATTATGATACACGAGATTCATTGAAATTAGGAATTATTGTAATACTTACATTCATCAGGAAGCCAATCCTATTCGGAATTTTCAATATCGATTTGCAAATTATATCCATAAGTGGTATTTGACATATCTTAACAAAAATTTGACGTATATATTATAAATCGAATATGCAAATTTTTTGGTATAGTGTGAGTTGTTTTAATAATATCATCACCCGTATATATACCAAACATGTATCATCTATTTAAAGATTGTAGGAAAGTAACATTTGCAAGATATGGATCTTCGTATCCATTAAACAAAATATCGTCCACAGAAACTTTCAAAAATGGTCGTTGTGAAGTAAGAGCCACTTGTGCTATAGTTGTCATTGGATTTGAGGCTATTTCGACAAATTTCTGAAAGGATTACAGATATTGAAGAATTTTTGGAATGTTGAAATTCTGATCGGATGAAAAAATATTTCATTGAGTAAAATTAAAAACCTGGAAGACAATATTTGGAATCCAAATTTCACGATTTAGCGAACATTCGGCACAAGAAGCGTTCATGTCGAAAATAAAGTTATGGACATTCTGATATTTAATAGAACCATCACCAAAACCAACAATATTTTTTCCCAAATTTACTTTGTAAGCATATGGGCCTATTTTGATAACTTCTGGTTTATTTCCATTTAAAACCTATAAATTAAATGAGGAAGAATTAGCTTATCTCACTTTTAATTAATATTTATTTTATTTAAATTTGCTTAATACATTAGCATAAATTGACTTTTAATTAATTCAAATATTAAATTATAAATCACATAAACAATTAACATTTTCCATTCTTTACTATTTGATACAATGAATTATTATAAAATATTATTTAATTGAATAAATTCTGGAAAGTTGATTATTTGACAAATAATAATTGGAAAAGATTTGTTGAGTAAATCGAAAGGTATAATTGTAAAGAATGAATAGTTTGTGAAATGATTGCATCGTTTGTTGTTGTTGTTGTTGTTGTTGTAGAAATGAAAAACCTGTTGTGGATTTTTCACTGAGTAAACAAAAATCTCGGAATTGATCTTATAATCAGGATTTTTCCAATAATGATATAATTCATTGTTTTGAGCAATATTTTTTTGCTGCAAAATACATTTGGAAGGTTAAATTTTAATATAAGCCTTAATTTATAAATTTTAATTTGCATATTTTTTCGTTCTTGTAAAATATTAGTAATTCTCAATCCATAATGTTTTCTTTTGATCGGTTAGAGATAACAATGCCGAAAAGATCATTTGGAAAATATGAAAATTTCATTCCTATTATTGATATTATTTTACCTGATGAATTTTGGTATTGATGAGATTTGGTGTCAGAAATATCATCGAAATTCCAAAGAGTATTAATATGATTCCAGCAATAAAGAGCGTTATTTGAATAATGCGACAATGCAAATTTTTCAATTTACATTTGTTTCCTTCGGCTGTCATTTGCGCTCTTACAAAATAATATATCTGAATACGATAACTCGATGAATATCGATCAAATATGGATAATTCGTTACAATCATATATACTGTCGTTGATTCGTTCATTAGTTTAAAGTAAAATGTTAAATAGAATAAAGCTATTTTAGCACTTCATATTTTATTGAATCGAAATAACTTTATTGTAGTTGTTAATTGAATATTTTCATTGTCATTTATGCAACTCGAACTCTTCCATCGCTTAAATTTCTTCCAATAGAAAATGTGTCAAAATGAAAATAGCATAGAAATTTGCATATGAACTTCAATTGCATGCAAAAGCAATACGTTAAGAAACAAAAATGAAATCCGTTTTTTGGAGTAGAAATTCTGTAAAATTTCACTATTTCCAACATTTATAACTCACTTTCCTCATTACCGGAATCAACTAAAAATTCGATATCAGAAGTGATATCGAATTTCCAACTTAAGATAATTACTTGAAATGAACTTAAAATAATTTGTATTTTAGTGAAAATGAAAACAATGCAACTAATTCAAAGGAAAATACCTATTGAACCATTAGATTAGTATAATTACTTCTCAACGAGACAGAAAATCAATTCAAATGTTCTTAAAAATTGAAATTCAAAAAAGTAATAAAATTTTAAGTTCATTTTGTACTTTCATTTTACAATTTTCAAAATTATAACTTGAAAAATTAACTGTTTCACTCGTTGGCTTTTACAACAGCAAATAAAATTTTAAATGTATCAGTTGTTGATGAAGAATTTGCATGTTGTCCTGGAAAATAGAAATTTTCTCGCAAGACAATTTTGTGCGCCTATCAACTTTGCATAAGTTTTGAAATTTCAAAACAATTACAACATTAGATACACTTCAAGATCTAATTAAACTAAACAATAACAAAAAATTTGCAAAAATAATAAACAAAGTTATCGAAGTTCTGACGCAAAGCGACATAGGACTGTATCAGTCCTATGTCGCTTTATCAAATATTAAATGATAAACACTGATTAATTAAATGATAAACACTTTCAAATAATACAGTATATATGTATAATCATTATGCGTTGCTTTTCATAGAATTTAGTCAAATCATTGATTTAAATTTAAATTATTAATTACTTTGCGAGTTGTTGACAGAAATATTTTAATTATCGAATATTCTATGCTCAAAGAATTTCAAATGAAAATAAATAATAGACAAAGTTTTGGGAAAAATCAAATAAGATCGTAGTAAATTTAATAGGTATACAAAGAGATGAGGTTGAATTGTTTGATTTATATATAACTTTCAGAAATGCATTCTGTAAAATATGAAAATGAATAGCAATAAAAAGTTTTCAACATTTCATTGATGACAGATTAAAGAGGACAAGAAGAGAGAAAGAAAAAGAGCACAACTGAAATACTAGTTTCTGGATATAAAATGTACTACAGGTATTTTAGTGATAATGACAACCGGTTCCACGGAGAAAATCTAATATTGATTACGGCTCTCCAACAAATATATTTTCATTACCATAACATAATCTAACAATACAATAATATCGCAGAAAAAAACAATAATTAATTAGAAAGAATCTATTATTATGAAATTTTTTTAAGTTAAATTTATACAATAAATTCTTAAATTTCAATAAATTCAAAGTTTAATGTATTTTTTCTCTTTACTCTTTGATCTTTCATTCAAAAAAATGATTTGTCTTAAATTGCAAGTACGAATTGTCTATCATAGTGTTAGGAAAGATTCTGCCAGCCAATACTGGCTGGTTACTCCAATCGATTTATTAAAAACCAAAGAGCACAATTCTCTCTTACAACTAACTATTAAAATAAATGTTGCAAATTTTAGTTTTCAACAAATCGATTTTGATTTTATTTCCAAAAAAAAAAGTTTAAATTTTCTAAAATTATTTGAGGAAAGAAATGATTGTTTTATAGTAATTTTCTAATTAATTGAGAAATTCTTTGGGCAAAGAATTCATATAAATTTGATAAAGTTAAATGAGAAAATTTTAATTTTTTTCATTGATAGAATTAAAATAATTTCACTCAAAAGAAAAAATTTAGTTGAAAACTTTAGTTTTAATAATAATTCATAATATTTGTTAATTTACGTAAAATATATTTCATCAAACTTTTTAGAATATTTTAGTGAAAAATTTAAATTTTCAGATCATTCTGAGAAATGGTTAAGAAAAAATGATTTGTATTGAAGTTGATATTTAATAAAATAAAATATTAAGTTTATCAGATTAATTTGATAATTTTTATCAATCAATTTCAATCTATTGAAAAATCAGAGAATGAAAGAAATTAACAAAAATGTCAGGACTGAAAATTTGTGCGAAATCTGAAATTTTTCAGTAAAATTTTTACCTTGTCGTATTGTGAAAGATGGCTGGAAGTAATAATAATGCCTTCTTTGACATGTTGATTTATAAATTAATGAAGGTGCCGCTCAACTCGGAAATAAATATCAAAAGAACTGTGTCAGTGATACTATTACATTGAAATTCTCAAAAGTTCGATATTAAGAACAAGTTTTTGTCATTCTTTTCTTTTTCACTACTATTTAATTACTAATACCAAAATAACTGTTCTCTCATGATTACCAAATATCTCCATCACTTAAATTTAAAATTTGATAATTTAAATAGTTAACGAAGAAAAGAAACAGCCATCTTCTAATGAATATGCGCCAAATTGAATTGAATAATTGTCTTCAGCGAATTCTTCGGCAGAAATTGAGTATTTAATTTATCAAAGTATTCAAATCTTTGAATTCTAAACATATAAGTTGCAAATAACAAGAAGCTGAAAAGGCATGTAATGGAGTTAGATGAATTGGAAGGATGTCATTGGAAGAATAAGTGAGAATTTAAATTGTTAGTGCTAAAATCATTTATCACATCTATTATTTTATCAGTTATATTTGTCAACTGTATCATAGTCATGTGAAACTGATATGATATGGATTAAGTGATCCAAAAAAAAATATTTTCAAAATCTAACTAACAAATTTGGAACTCAAAACTTTCATTCCTGAAATTGTGTCAAGGAAGTGCTATATCATTGCAATAAAATTATATTGCGCGATCTATTTCACATCTTATTTTAATTCGATGGCAGATAACTATGAATGCGTATAAACATCAGAAATTTTCATAACGGCACCACATGAAAAGTATATTGACCATGGAAGCGGAAACTTGAGATGGCGGTGTCTTTGTGCGTGCTGCTGTCCGGAGGAAGGGGGGGGGGAGGAGAATCAAAATGGTTTTAATACTCGGCAAAAAATTGCGGCGGATGGGCCTGAAAGTCCTCTTTAGTTTTGGATTTGTTTTATCTGTTACTGTTGTTTAAATAATGGAATGAGCTCCATTGCGGTCATTTTGAAACATTATGATTAAGCTGCCAAATATTAGCTTTGAAATATGTACCAGTTAGCTATCACTAATCACTTATGTGCATATCACTCAAGCATACCTATAGAATGTTGTATGCTTTTTCACTTGCAAGTAATCAGACAGAGACATTGTCCGAATTGTTCGAATAATGACCTCTTCATATCAGATGTTGCTAACCTATTGTAATTGTTTCCTAATTTTTATCACTCTTTAGCTTTCACTTTCTATAATTGTTTCACAAATTTTAGCCTGCAATAGACATGCAATTTGGTGAGGCGTTAACAAAAGTGAAGAAAATAGCAACGGGTTATTATATCGGCGGGATTATATTGTCTGTTGCTTTCTTCCTTTTAAAGGTTACGAATGGCCTGTGTAACTTTGTTTTTGGTGCGGAAGATGAATGCGGTCTTGATCGAGTAAGTCTTTTGGGACACCTTTTCATCTTTTTTAAACTGGGCGTTCACCACTCTCACGAACTCCTCATCATATTTCAGCTTATGTTATGTTATATTTATCAGTTGTTTTCAACTGAAGGAATTGAACTGAAGTTTCCGAACCCTGCTCATTGAATTGAATATTATTAACAAGTAACAAAATATCCACGTATTCAAGATAGGTGTATTGATTAAAGATGTTAATTATGATTTCGAATAAATCAGTTTACGGGTAAATTTATCACTCCAACATCGGACATTTCTGTTCTTCATATTAAAATTTATTATAGATGGAGCGTGAGATTATGATATCCCTTGCTATTATGATATTCTATAAGAATAGAAAGGCAGCAAACTGGATGCACTGTTTAGCGAATATGTTCTTGTTCTGCAAATTAGCCAATATTTTCTTATTTTTGCGAGCCGACGTTATTGTTGGTGTTGTTTACATCTGTGCTTGTTTAAGTAAGCGTATTTTTCGAATTTTTAATTACGTTCAAGCAGATATTTAAAATGCCTGATATCAATTTAAAAAAAAAACCATTCATTTTATTTGAATGAGCTTTACAAACCTTCTGGAGGATGTTGATTACTCATCCCAGCACGGTTTTCGGTCGATCAGTGAAGTGGTCGGTCAGAATATGAACAAGTAATTCCTGAAAGATGGTTATCAAATTGTTCAGGTTTCTCAAATCATTCGATTTAATCTCTCAATTCTCAGTGTCTATATTAGTTGTGTAAAATGTATTAAAGAAAGCGTTAGTTTTCTCTTGTTACTGTTCTTGCAGTACATTCCGTTTTCTATCCGGAACCAATTTGTGCAGAATCAGAAAGAACAGTTATTTATAACAACACGGAATTATACGTAAGTTTAGACAATATCTTTTTTACATATTACACAGATTTTTTTATAATAATGCAAAATTTTTTAGGAGGAAATTCAACGAAATACAAAAATGACTTGGTTAATTTATTTTTATACCTCCTGGTCACCAGAATGCAAGCATGTTTCTCACGTCTTTGCCCAGTTAAGTGATAGGTGAATAATTTTCTGAAAATTTATTCCAACATTTATTTGATTAGTTGAAGGGAGTATCATATGACTTTTGAGCACAGAGCTTGTGATTTTTTAAGGTTTCATTTGCCAAATCTAAGATTTGCCAAGTTAGACGTGGGAAAATGGTCTCAGGAGGCGAATCGATTTCGTATAAATATACATCCAACCAGCAGACAGTTACCGACGGTATGTTTAACTTGGTTTAGATCTTTGGTCTCAAATCTGTGCAAAGTGAAAATATCGAAGATACATATGTTTTCTTTCAGACAAAGTACTGTTCCACTCTTTTTTGCAGATTTCGTTATTCAAAGAAGGTAAGGAAGTACAGCGACGACCTACAGTATATAACCGACGTGCTCTACCTTTCGTTTTCACTAAAGTAGGATAAATTTTTAATGGTCCGAGCAAAGTTTTTCCTAATAAGTTCATTTGTAGTTGGGAAATTTTTATATTTTGATAAGATTGCTTATACTCTTGACTATTTTAACTGAAATTTGCAAGTCTATTCCAGGAGAATTGTATCCTTGCATTTGATCTCATTAATTTGTATGAAGAATGCAAGTCAAACATGACAAGGCACGAAAAAGAACAGTTCATGAATGCACAATCGAAAAAAGAACAATAAAACTAAATATTTTATATTTGAAATTGTTTGCCAAGAGCTTTAAATGATAAGATTTGTGCACCTTTAAATCATACTTTTGGAAAAGAGTTGTATATGTTGATGTTGAGATTTATCTGATTCCATTAGAGTCAGGTTATAGGAAGTGCCATAATGTAGTACTTGTAGTGCATTGTTAATTATATGTGCATAATAAATACTTTTATAGTCTGAAAATCTGTTTTGATTAAACTACTGGTGAGTTTGCTTTCGATCGTACTATGAGATGCACACTTTTGTAGTGCAGATAATGGGAAAATTGAGAGAGTTGAAGGCGAAAGTTAAAGGCTACTGGATCTGAAAGTTTTGCAAAAATCCTCTTTGTAAAAAGCTCAAGTTTGAGAAATTTTGAAAAATGGGTGAGTTGAAGAACATGTGAACAAGGTCATAATTTATATGTATATCTTATCAGGCTATTTGAATTCTCCCTTTTCGACAATTGTAGATCATAGATTAAAGAATTAAGGGTAAAATAAGAAGAACGACCATTTCAAGGTACAAAGTGAAGGATAAGAACAAATGCATTGATGTACTCAATTAGGATCTGTTAATAGATTATGTCAACTGCTATTTAGTTGTAGCACATGCTTAATCCTTTCCGGATTAAGTATTATATAATGTGCATATTTTGTCGTGTGCGTACCTCAGGATTTGCATTGATTGCTTTGCTGTTTATGAAAGCTGAAATGGATAATTCTTATCCTTTCGTTATCTTCGATCACAGCAATAGTGTAATAGTAGTAATAAAAATTTCATGTTTTGACGATTCTTTGTTGATTTTTCGGTATATCTCAATAGTTCATTCAAGAGAAACAGGAAAATTCAAGAAAAGGTTTCCCTTAATGATAAAGAGTTCCTATATTATACTTAAGTTCCTTCCACTATAACAAATTTTCTTCATGAGAATCTAGCAGATTTTTTCTCGATATAAAAAGATGTTCTACCATTATTACCATCGCAACCTAAATGCTTAATTGCTGCTTACAGTTGCATGGAGGACTCTTGAAATACATTGGTATTATTAAATGGTGAAGAATTGGTTGTTCGTTTAAATGAATCAATCCACTTCAACTGACGCAATTTATTTCGGAGTTTGATATGATGTGTTTTAGATAAGTGCAATACTGATTCAACCCTTCATATCAACATTTTAATTGCAATTCTTTGTTGTATTATTATTCGAACTTACTGTTCATCATCTATTTTATATGTGGGCGAAAATACTTTTTCTTTTCATTCCCTCTATATGAGAAATTTTTTCTAAATAATGAGTTTTGTTTTATTGAAAATTTCAGGATGAAGTATCAAATTCTATGCTTACTTTAAGAACCACCGCTTCAATTTGATCATTTATTTCATTTTATGTAGTCTGAATTTTGTTGACAGATAAGAGGAATGTTTTTCATCTTATGAGTTATAATTTTAGATAAATGAATTGAAAGTGAAAATTGAGTTAACAGAGCAGGAACATTAGGAGTTCACTAGTTATCGGTGGTTTTGAAGCAATATAATTTTCACAAAAGTAATATGTTGAAATTATGTCCTAATTACTATTCAATAAAATGTTGGCTGTTCGTAATTCTCACTTTGCTTTAGTTTTATTCTTAGTTGTCGTTCATTTTTGCATTTAAAAATTTTTTAACTATTATCAATAAAATAATAAAGTTGTTTTTTTAAAGCATCAAACTGCTTAAAACTGCTAATTGATCACTTTGATTTTGAATTATTCATAAATTTTGAAATGCAACTATTATTCATATTAAAAAAAAAAAACATTCAATAATTATAAACATTAATTTTCCATAAATATACCATTCATTTTCAAAATGGGATTTATACCTAATAATAGCCTATTATTATTATTATTGTAATAATAATAATAATAAAAATTATCAATCCCTTTCTTCCAGCCAAATGAATTGTACTCAAATGAATAGTAGACAGGGGAAACTGTGAAGTACCACGAGGTCATCATTTGTGAACTTGATGTAACCCATCCTACAAATACCATAATCCATCTCTTCCTCCTCCTTTGCTTACAATGTAAACATGGGGAAGTAGTAGTAATAGAATCACATGGCCAAGCAAACAAATTATAATATCCATTTGGTATATAATATTAATAATTCATCAGTCCTATTTTCTTTTTTTATAATCATGTCAGTTAGTTAATTATTAACTTCATAAAAGGTAAGCAATCGGAGAAGTAAGTAAATAAACTGATAAGTAATTGAGTAATTAGTTAAAATGATTAAGTAAATTATCTTTTTCAATATTAACACCTAATTTCATAAGTTTGTTATTTTTCGAACAGACAAAGAAAAGAGCTAATTGTATTAATTTTCAACCAATATTTAAGGTAACCTTATCCTTATACCATATGGTCATACTAACCTTTTAGCATAAGTAATCACTTAAGTAAGTAATCCAAATCCTAAATTGTTTAATTATTAATCTATAAGATAATGTATTTCCTTCTGTATATGTCGTGTGTGTCTGTAAGCGAATTTTTGAGAAATTTTTTTCTCGAATTCATTTTACTATTTATATGAAATTCACGACCTCTTCATAATTTCCATATGTTTTTTTTCAATAAACCTTTTATAATACTTTGCAATATAGCATTTCGGAAGTAATCGTTATTTTCGATAATGTTATCCATTGAAAAACACCTGCAGAATTTAAATTGCTGCAAGGTCGCTTATTAATCTTTTTATCATCTTTAAAATTATTTCATTCCTGCAATTTGAGCCAACTTTACCTTAACCCCGACATAATCTATTTTCCGGCTAGAAAAAATAATTAACAATAATTATTGAAATATGTTATAATTTATTCTAATTAAAATTTTTTTGAATAAATATTTTTAGTTTCTATAAAAATTTTAACTAACTTTTATTATTAAATCCTTGTATTATCAGTTATTTTGAATATTATTTTTTCTTTTGTTTTCTTTCGGGAAGTGGAAATTAGGAGAGTTCGAACTTTCCTTTAAGTCTCGACAAAAATTGGAAATTTTTACATTTTGCTCATTTTCAATTTCCTTCCGGTAAAGTGATCAATCAATCAATAATAATAATACATCGCGATATATCCAGAAGTTTCAATTTCGCGCTATGTCGCAACAATATTTTTCAAAAAGTGTGAAACAAACCCGATCAAGAAAACGAAGAGAGCGAAATGTTTCATTTTACGAGTTGAAACGTAAAGCGGCAAATGAACGAGAGCGAAAGCGAATGTATAGGTTGGTGAAGACAGTAAATTTCTCTGGCTGTGGTATTCTGAGATTTCTATTTGTTATTTAAAAAAAAAGAATATTATTATAATCCTCGGTGAATATTTGAATCAATTTAAGTGAATGAAAACTGCTCTTTTTAATTCAACGAATAGATTATAGCATCAATGAAGCTTTTGACAAATTGCGCCATCTTTTGCCATGGTTATCACATGATCGGAAAATGAGTAAAGCGACAACATTACGAGAAGCTATTCGGTACATCAAACAGCTAAGCCAATTAGTAAATGGTGAGCCGCCAAGCCCAGAGAACACATCATCATATGCAGTTGCATTAAAATCAGAAACTGACCGATCATCGCTAATTATATCAAATTCGGATGGTATATAGATTCTAATTATTTTCAAGTTTAATTAATTGTTAAATAAAATAAGATTAACTTTTTTTTGGGAGTTAAAATTTTAAGTTGCTACTTAACTTTTTAAAGAAAATCAAACGTCTAATTAGTGTCATAATTTGAATGTCTCACTGCACCAATCATTTTCAATACCGACCTGAATATGCTTAATGAAATTTTTTAAATCCCTTATTCAATTTAAAGTTGGAAAAATTATGACAAAGATATAAATGAGCGAAAGCTTATTACCCAATAATATTATCAGGAACATGAAAGTTGAAAGCTTCTTCATATCTTAAAAAGATGTAATTATATTAAATAATATGACTGACTACCTTTTTATTATAATTGTGAATATCAAAATATTTTGCACTTAATTTTTAAAATTTCAGGTCGTCTACCAATAAAATTTGTTGAATTGTCGTGCAGTAAGACACCAGATGATTATAATAGTATAATTAGGACGGGACATGGTACAGTACAGGGAAGATGTAGCAAAGTATGGATACCAAAGACGTGTGAAGAGATGATCAATTATGAGAATTACGATCGTCTCTATCTATTACCATTTAATAAAGAATGATATGATTTAAAGTTTTCAATTTCATTTCTCATTTTTTGGTACAGTTGGTTGGTTGGAAGACTAATAACAAGTCCTACTTACATTTTCAATAATAAACAAGTTACTGAACACAAAGACTAACATTAAAAAATGAAAAGAGAAGTGAAGAGCTAAATTCTGATTTCCCATCTTTCATTAATCACTTCTAATTGCTGATGGTATTTCTATACTTATCAGTGAATTGCGGGTTGAATTACTGTAAATTTGAAATATAAAGATGCTATATATTTATAGCAAAATATGTCAACATATAACCTTTGACCCTAGCCTATATATAATTATCATTCCCCATTGGTTACATGTTTAAGTCGAAAACTTGTAGACTAATTAATAGAATGAAAGAAATATTAGAAAAACCTCGCATCCCCCAAGCTATCCCTTTCAATAACTTGGAAACATCTTGATATCTCAAATTTATCATGATAATGATGCACTGATATCATCATGAAGAATATGCCGAATTTTGCGAGAAATGTATTATGTGATCAAATAAGCACTACAGCAAAAAATTATGCAATTATTTCTGTAAATTTTTGTAAAGCATTCCTTCGAATATTTCAGGAATTACACCGCTATTTCATAAATATTCTAACGCAGCTATCAAATACTTCCGGTGGAAGGAATTACACAATAGTAAAAAAGATAAAGCGGAAAAAATCTGCCCAATTTCTTCCTGAAAGTGAAGATTAGTGCCTGTCAACAACACTTCTAGTTTGTGGCAGGGAAATTTTAAATAGTTATAGGAAAAAGAGCCGAATGGTATTTATGAAGACAAGACTATTAATTTCAGAGAGATAGCACTTGGAATTTTTCAAATAAAATTGTTTTAATATTGAACTGTTAAGAATTGTTTAAATAAAGTTAATAGACAAATAACAAAGCCCCGCCGTTTATATAATTCGAATGAAAAAACAGAGTCAGAAAATCAGCAAGAATAGCTTAAAAACTATCTCCTCTATCTAAACTATCCGCTTCCATAAAAAACTTCGTCCCTTTAATAATTTATTGTGAAAGAGCAGATGTTGTAAAGTTTAAGTGAGTGCGAGACGGAAATCGGAAATAAAATAAGCTTAATAGTTTTATTACTTCCTTAGATGTCTAAGCGGTAACCTGAATTTAGTCCAAAAAACGGTCATGGGAAATTTAAAACCTTCTAATTTAGACAAAGATGTTTTTATTTCTAAGAGGTATAACATGCAAAAAGCTTGGTATTCTAAAGATTTAATGGCATATATCAATATAACAATATTTTAAGAACTTTGAAAACGAATGAGATTTTTATTTCATTGGATTTTTTGTAATAAAAAGAATGCAGATTACAAACTTATAAAATATGACCATCATTGAAGCTTTATATCACAAACTAATGGTAAGTGATCACTTGGTGATATCTTAGATGGTAGTGCAACATACTTCTTAGCAAGTTCTTTTGGCGGTACTGGAATAACTTTCTGTACCTGAAAAAGTTCATGAAAAGTAATATCGAACATTAAGGTCGTTTATTGCACAGTTATCTTACCAATAAGTTCTAAAGAAATTAACTTTTCAATAAATCATTTAATCAACATAAAATACTGGAACTTTCTATTCATTTGAAATTTAAGATTTAATTTCAGTTTTGATTAACCAATCTTATGTGATAAAATTACAAGATTCGAATTTTGAAACCAAAATTTGTCACGCACGAGTATTTTACAGTATTGCAATGATACTAATTTACGGATGACTAAACAAAGCAACTAACTTTCACATTGGCACTTCCCCAAATGTAGTCCAAACATCCTTCGAAACCAGCAATTTGTCCGTCATACTGATAATGACGAGTATAATTTGTGAACTGCGTTTCATCCCCCAAACTTGTCAACTTCAAGATGAATGATGGAAAGGACGGTTGAATAGTAAAATTTACATCACTATGTACATGTTGGCTGTGTGTACAGTGCTCACTTTTAACCGACACATTTCCTAAAGTTTACTAGTTCAATAAAGCAACATATTAATAAAGATTAAGGAGGAAATCACCAATCAGTTAGAGCATACTATTTGTAGATTATTTGAATATTATAAAAAAGTGATTTAGATTTTATATTATAATATATATGTTAAACTACTTTATAATAACATTCAATACAGCAATTATACATACAAACCGTACAAAGACTTTCTGCAACTTTAGCACTGTTATGTTATTTACTCCTTTTCGATTTTAAAATCACGTATCCCTCGGCAAAAAATTTTAACCTGTACTGAGCAACCGATAAACAGCCCCATCTGGTGTAGTATTGAAATCGCCAGCAAATAAGACATGCAGCTTCGCACCAGGGTTGCGATTTGCATAGTCTGTTGCAACACGAACGATCCATCGAGCACACAGTAATGCTTGCAGTATTTTGATGATTTCAAATCGAGGATCAAAATACAAATGAGTATTTGCAAGTAATAAAATACCATTTTCTTGCACGAACATGCTACTGCTGTCTAATATTAATACCTAGAAATTACTCTTTTAAAAATTAAATCATGAATTTTAGCAAGATGGACGAAGTCGAGATAATTGGACTTTCTCTTTTCCATTATTTCTTGATGGAAAACATTAGCCATATACGCTAATATTCTCAACTTTTATTTTAATGAACTATCGCTGTCGATGAAGAATAATATATCTTGAAATTCTGGTTTCATTTCAGATGTCAGTTGATAGAGATATATGTTCAGGATTTTTCTTTTTTTTGCATCATATTAGGATCTAAAAAGGTCACGAGCAAAAAAATAAAACCTATATAAGCTGAATCATTTAAGCGAGCACTCGTTACAAATGCACTGTATTCTAATTAAAAATTACCTGTATGACTGCAGGTTTCGATATAAACATGGTGTTTAACTCACTATCACTTTCAAGTAGCTCAATTATATCAACGTTCTCAGGATATGTTTCAGTATTTAGAAGTTCTGGTAACCACATGTCATGGCTTTGAAGACATCTAAAAATCTTAAAACAAGGAAACATGTAAATGAACGATCAGCAACTTTTAGAAGATGAACACATAAACAACGCACTCTAAAATCAAACTTCTATCATATCAAAAGACGCATTCTTTTTCAAATTCTATGCGTACCTGAACTGTTTCTTACGAAAGCAAATGACTAATCCTTCATTTACTTTCATTCCTTTCTTTTTAAAGTGGCAATCATATCCAGAGCTGCTCATCACTTCGGGTAAAAAGCGTAACCACAATCGTTCATCTACTTCTTGCAAAAATACGATATCTGCTCGGTAATCTGTAAAAATGAAATTCTTGTTTCAAGAATTAACTTTGCTTTCATTAAAGCTCATAGTCATACCAGGAATTTCCCGAAGTAAAATAGGATATCGATAATCATAGTTTTGATACTCCTTTGAGCAATATGAAAAATACAGATCTTCTTGCTTGAGCTTTAAATCCAAATATAAGTTAGCAAGAATATTATATGAAATCACCCGTATATTTCTGAAAAGCATAAACAAAAATCTTGATAAAATTATAAAATTATTAAGATTAAAGTTTCATAAGTAGGAAAACTTATTTGTGTGATGCAGACAACGCACTTACGACTCAACTTTTCTAAAATTGAGTAGTACGGAATATGGCAATAATACTTCGAGAGATTGAGAAAGAACATTGGAAAGAAACTATGTAAAAAAATTTATGAAAATGAATCAGCTAAAACGAAATTTTTACCCACTATTTGCCGGCTCTTGACAAAAAGTAGCTTGTCTTTCTTCAAAAATAAATGCTTCCCCGACTTCAGAAACTTCATCATCACTGCTAGTACAATATACGATCGTATCTGCTCCCATATCGAGCAATACGCAAATACGTTTCCCAACATCTTCAACAGTAGGACAAAAGTATTTGCCTGTGGAACGATAGACCCAACCATCCATTGTGTACTTTAATTTTTCTAAAAATAAGATGAAGAGAATACGATAATTTATAGTTATTCTATTGGTGAAGTTATCATTCATCTAAAACAAAAAATGTTCCGATGAATATTTGTTATATATTTGTTATTTGAGAAGACTCTATTCTGTCATTTTGCTAAATGATAACATTATGACTGAATAGCTTTCTGAACTGGACATGTAACTGCTCAGTCCTATAACATCTCTAAAATTCTCATAGCTCATTGACATATGGATAATTCTTAGTTGATTCATTATTTGCTGTTAGAGTTCAGCTTGACATTAAATGGTTTTTTTTAATTTTTATTATAACAGTATTAAATTAAATTGAAGAAATTAACAAAGAATTATTCTCGTATTATAGATGTTTTAGAGATGTTTCCGGCGCATTCCAATCCAAAACGTTATTATTTCAGATTAAACTAAGTATTACATCAATTTATATTTTTACCAAAAATACAAATACGACTCTATGTGTCAACAAAGAGAAATATATGCGTACTTGAAAAAATAATTAGATCCAAACTAGGAAATTTACCTCCTGGAGTATTATTTATAACTGGTGAAATTAATAATGCATCAGGTTCTCCAACATACCAGTGAAATGATAGCTTTACTTTTCGCGAATCTGGAAAACATTTTCTATCATTTTAGGAAATTCGAAATATTAATAATTACGATCAAATTATCAGAGAAATTTGACGTGAAAAAGTTAGAAGTCTTACTATTCGCCAATGAGAAACTGGGCATGAGAGGGCATCCAACTAGTGGTTTCAGCTTTAAAACTAGTTTTGTACATCGAGGAGGATCCCGTAATAAACGGTACACGTCGTTATTGATACATATATCAACTAGATTCTCATTTTTATATATTTGTTCATTTGTGGAAAGAAGCTGAAATTATGACCAAAAATCAAATGAAGAAGATTAAACTATATTAATAAATCATCATAATAGAATGAACAGTGATGCCAACATGTTCAAATAATTTCAACTTGAATAGGTGGAACAGTGACATTAATTGTTGTAGTAGGATCTAAGCTCTTAGTTTTTTTGCTACAGTGAATGATCTAGGTTGTTCGGAGATTTTTTAATATTTAAATCAACGAAAATGTTGAAATGTTTTGCAAAGAATAGAAGCTATACAGGTATAATCAACTCAATAACTAACCAAATTGGGATAATTTGGTGCAGAAAATACAAATTCAGCGATGTCGCTCTCATCACCAACCACTTTGTTTGTATGTTTACAAAGAAGTTTGTTGACTTTTTCCTTTATCTTGTCACAAGTTTGCAAAAATAATTCATCCAAGGGACGAACGAGATTAACTTCGACTAAAGTCTTAGAATAGGGGATGCAGTACAAGAAATGAATATGGAGAGATTGTTCCCTGAAACTAAATAAAATAGAAATAGAAGATTCTGCAATAAAATAGAAGATTTCAACAATGCTGACTGTATGAAAATTACTCACTCTATTCCATCCGTAAATGAGATCTTTTTACTAGCAGTTCGTGGAATATTCCCAATCCACATAACAATTGCATTTTCTGGATATTTCGCGATGAAAGAGATATCTCGCCGAGGTGGTTTCTTCATCACTCTGCAAGATATTTCCTGTCGTTTTTCATGAATAAGTTAATCAAAAACAAAATCGAGTGGATTGGAAGGATACAAGCAAATGCCAAATAACTCGAAATTTCTCGTCGAATAAACCAATCATTAAAGCACCAGTTTCTCTGCATACCAGTTTCTTTTCATTTCTTTGATCAAGGGAATAAGAAAGCTCCATAAAAATAATGTGCAAAAATGAACAATAATAAAAAGAAATAAACATACAAGAAAGTACCAATAAGATCGCTTCTCGAAGAACAATTTTGGGAGAATGATATCAAAGATGGATGTAAACAACCACGACTTCTGCAATGCTTCACAACATTCCTTAACAGCCACCACATATACTGCAAAGCGAAGATGTCTCGGAAATCCTTTGCACCAATTCCTTTCCCGATACGCTAGGAGATAGAAAACAATTTCTAAACGATTCTTACCTTACAGCTATAAAAGTATATCCACATACAAACATACAGAAATCATCACATAATAAAAAAATGCGAAAATGAAAAGAATGCATTGTTTTAAGGAAATTAATAAGATAAACATAAAAATGCGGACAAATTCCCTTAATTTTCCCGAGTAAACCTAAAGAAATGAAAATAGTAAAAAAGAGAGAGAGAGAGAGAGAGAAAAAAAACCGAAGTCCTTTTCTCTTCTGAAATCAAGGTCGACTAACACCCCCCTCACTGTCACTCCTACATGCTAAATTATTCCTCGAAATGCAATACAGATCCCATGAAGTTTGAGAAGATGGAGTGAATTATGGTGCGGTGATTGCCCGCGGGAGAGTACATTGGTGCTTCGAGATAAAATGGATATGAAGTGCGGTATGGAAAGATGGAAGATGACCGGAAAGATATACATTGAAATATAGGCACGGTAAAAAGTCGAGATTAATTTTAATAAAACCAAAAACAGCAATGAGTCGGTTGGTTTTTTTTAATGAAAGAAATGGTAAACAAACGGATAATTAAAGAATGTATAATAAAAGCGCTAATGTCGCTAGTATATATAAAAGGGTAAAAGCGCTAGTATACAACGAAAATCGTTCAGTGAAACAAACATGTTAATGTTATATTTCAATTTCAACTATTGTTAAACGACAATGAAAAATGCAGAAATGAAAGAAATGCGTTGTTGTCATTATTGCTATTGTTAAGGTTAATTAATAAGATAAATATAAAATACGGACAAATTCCCTCAATTTTTCCAAATAAACCGAAAGGAATGAAATGAAAATGGTAAAAGAGAGAGAGAGAGAGAGAAGGAAAAAAAGCCAAAGTTCTATTTTTTTGTATTAATTTCACTCTCTGATAAATTTCATTTCATTTTTTTTTGATTTTCTTTTTTTCATCTTTTTCTTTCATCATGAGAAATACCTTTCATACCTTCATAATATTGCTGTTCATTTTTGATAAAATGAAAGAATTAGTCGGCGATGTTTTGCATCAATGACATGCAAGGTCAAATTCAATTCTATTTCTTTCATTGATTTCGTATTTAGGTGAATTTTCTCTCTTAACATTTCATCTTCATAATGCTATCTCTTTATTAGTTTCTTTAATAGTTTTTAATTCTATCTTCTTAATGACAGATCGCATTTTAATGGGAACAAGCTGTTTGTTATCTGTAAAATATCTCAAATCATTTTTACCTGTATGATCATTATTTACATTTACCCTTATTTTATATATGATTTATGAAATTGACATTTATATTGATACATTCTTATCATTGTTTTGTATCCTTCCTCTATCTCTTCATTTCTATAAAATTTCATTCTGACAATATCATAATAGAGGATTGGCGATGTGATGCCAAAGAAGGAAAGGTTATATTTGCTGATATATTAGATGTCTTGTACGTTAATTGAAATTAGAAGAAGTTGCAAATGGCAAAGTGCGAATTGTTGAAATGGAAGAAATGTTATGTTGAATAATAATTGCATGGTCAGTGATCACTATAATAAGCATTAGAAAAATATAAAAATAAATTGAGATAAATTTGTCGGGTAACTTATTCTAATCAATGGCAACTTACAATCCGTTTCCGAATTACTATCTCATTGGATAGTTTGTGATGAAATAATTGAAAATGAGCGAAATACTATCAATTTTTGGTTAATTTTTCTGATCCAAATTCAGTTTTTCAGTGGTATCAATAAACAGTTATGTTGCACAATGCAATGATATTATCATTCACAATTGCTCTTAAGATCACTCTGTTAGCGGCGATAACACTCCAGGAAGATGGCGCATCATTCATTCTTGTCCCTCATGGCGTCAGTCCTGATGATGCTGAAAGAGTAATTATTCCAGCTGGTGATTTTTTTCTCCATCAATTTGATATTATTTTAATTAAAGAGTTTTAAGCATTGAAATGAATTGAAGAAATTATCATCTGATATATTGTAGTAATTTCGGGGCCTCAACCACCATTTCCATGCCTGGTTGCTGGAATGGGCACATTTGAACATGGTCAAACATTCACTAAGGAACATTTCCATTACAAATGTAACAATGGTACCGCCGAAGTTATTGGTAAATTTAAATCTCATATTTAATTGAATCTTGAAATTATACTATTCTTTTAAATGCAATTTATCTATCGATGATACATAATCAAATTTCATGAATGACAAAAACATTTGGAATTTTATTTTAGTATTTTCCAAACAGCTATTATAGTAATTATAGTATAATTACAGCGTGTGTAGCAGATGACAAATCAGTGATACATATCGGTCGAATGTTTATACGGGGCGGTGTGAGGCATAAGTGTGATGTGAAGGGGGATACGGTCACTTACGAGCAAGGTAATCATTTCCGCGTTCATTTATTAGAAATTTCAACTTATTCAATTCAATTCTTCTCGAGTTCCAATTTTAATCTTGTGTTATTGCTATTTTAATTGTAGATTTCTTTCTGATCTGAAAATTACATTAGTAATGGCATTGCTTTTCTCTCCACCAATTCTTTCTTTCATTTACTTTCTCTTTCCCCCGTCTCTCTCTTTCCCTCCTCTCTCTTAGTCACTTCAATCCAGTTCTAAGATGAAAAAAACAAATAGATAAAACCAACAAAACTTTTTTCTCCGAAACTGTCAATCGTCGGGGAGGACAGAATTACTTAAGTGTAAAACCCGCAGTCTGAATAAGAACTGAGTTAAATTTATATTCGTATTAGTAGAATTTCTTCTAATAAAAATTTACGCATTTTGCAATTATTACTAATCACAATATATCACAGTATATCTGAGTATATATTAGTAGTTCAAATGAAATAAATTAAAGTAACCAGTCAAATTCTGCTGACAGCAGTAATAGAAGGTTGCGGAGATAAAATTTTCTCTGTATGACACTACTAGTGAGATCTAGGATATTTTGGATTTCTCATAAATTGGGTTTGAGGATATTAATATTAGATAAAAATAATAGTTGCATATGCAAATAGCGGATATCAATGGTAAAAAAGTGAAAGAAACACTTGCGCCACTTCTTCGGATAGCCCAACTTCCCGAAATTTCATTGTTTTTTGGGATAAGATGTAGGCATTTCCTTAAGTTGCCTAAACGAAATTGTGGAAGATTGTTAAAGAGTTATAAAATGAATGGATCCATATATAATGACATTGGAGAACTCATTGCTCCTGAAAATCATCAATTCGATATTTGTTATTTCCGGCACTTCCAAGGGTAGGAATTATCTCGCTCAAATTTTGCAAACTTCTTTATCGGATATTGTTAAAATTTGTTCCAATTTAGATAAAGGTGTGAAGATTGTTAAATTATTGCAAAAAGAGTTTCCACATATCTTTAGAATGAAAAAGCATAGAAAGTAATCAAAATCCTGAGTTATTATTTGTCAACAAAATTTTGTTAAATGAGATTCATTTAATCTTCTGAACAGATAAGAAGAGAGACTTCTGTTTCTATCTTTTCCTCTCTCCCATATTATCTCACCAAAAAAAAAAGCATTGATAACAATGGAAGCTGTTATCAAAATAATTACCATAATGATATTTTGCTGCTTCTACTCTTCAGAATCAACATGTTATGATAATGGGATTCATTATGATGTTGGCGATCATTTTCGTAATGGATCATTTGTCCTTGTTTGTCATAAAGATGGTATTACAATTGAAGGTTTGTTTCGCTAATATATTTCGTTTGGTGTAATTGTATAATAACGCTTTCTTATTAATATATAATTATGGAATTTTTTCGAATTAAAGAATATTATTTTGATAAAATTGGCTTACATATTGCGAAAATTGCAAATATTCGAATATAACCCTATTAGAAGATAATTTGAACTGATAATAACTGATACTATAATAATTTGAACTGATAATAACTGATACTATGACTAAATCAATGTAATGCATTGAAAGATGACAATATTTCGATGACTACTGTTATTACCCATATAAGCTCATTTCATATACAATAATATTTTAAAGTTACACGTCAATTTATTAGTTAATAAGTGAGTCTTTAATCTATTAAATTTTCCTGAGTGATATTTGTCCTAAAAATTATCACATTGCTGCAATTTTGATGTAATAGTAAGGTATATATGAAAGCAATTTGGATATGAAATTTATGCTAAATTGCAGGTTGTTACGCTCGAAACACGGATGTTACAATACCTGTAGGGACCGAACGAATCGTTGGCCATTATTTGCATAAATGTGAGCTACTTGACCAAGGACGAGTACGATATACCGCAAATTGTATTATTTCACTCACTTTATTATCGGAACTTTTTCAAGCTGTTTCAATTTTGAATCGTAAAAGAAAAAAAAAGAAATTACCTTAACAATGACGAGTTTGATTTCTTTTCACAGGTTGACAATTATGACATAAAATAATGAAGTGAATGAATGTATCTTTGTACTTGAAAAAGTTACAGTGATTGGATGTAAAAAAGATAACGAATTTTTCAATGAGGGACAGATATGGACATCAGAGCATATTCGTTATCAGTGTACATCATATGGAATCATTCGAGTACTTGGTGAATTTTAAAGATGTTATTTGTTACGAAAATATCTTTTCCAGATAGCATTTTTCGGCCGCAATTACAGGAATGTTCCGATCACTTTCTAAACACCGTTACAAACTTATAACGTTATAAACCGTTATAAACTATAGATTAGAGGAACTGTATTTCGCATTTCTCAAATTGTATGAACTTAACTTTTATCTTCTGTAAACTTCAAATAATATTTGAGGTTGTGTGGATGATAATGGTCTATTCGTTGAACTCGGAAGGGATGTATTGATGCATAATATCGTACATCGGTGTTATAGATTGGACAAAACGACAGTTTACCACCGCTTCGCATGTGTTGGACGAACACTGGCCGAATGTATCCTTACACCTTCAGTGCAACGACTACCCCCAGTTCCCGAGACATAATTTTTCTTTATTGATATTGATATTACTCATTAATTTGTTTGTTAAACTGCTTCGATATTCTCCGAAACGGTTTAATTTTATAACTAAATACTGCTACTTCCAATTCATTGGAACAAATTTAATAATTTTTCTTTAGACACCCGAAAATATATTCATGAAAATTCTAGCCAGTATCTCCTAGTCACTGTTTCCTTAACAGTTTGATAAAATGGTTCAATTGCTACTGCAGCATAAACCAGCTTTAAGTTTTCTTATTTCTAATAATCAATAAATGTGAGATTTATTGTTTTGCCTCTTAAATTATCCTGAGATGGAATGATCCATACACAATAGTCCAACATCAAATGAACTAATTAGTGGTAAACAGTGAATACCGCATGACATAATTTCGATTAGTAAAGAGGAAGATGCGAGATTTTAATAAAAAATGACTTCAAAAAATAAATAAATTATTTTACAATTGCATGCCGTCAGACTTTGAAAAAAGCATTTATTTGATTTAAGAAATCAGTTAAATACTTCCGATAATTATCAGCTAGCGCACATGTTGACAGCATAACTGAACAAATAAAAAAGATGATGATGAAAAAATAACCATCGATGAGAAATCATTTTAAATAAATCTATAATGCAATGTGAAAGGAGGAATCTCCTCTATATTGCCAAGATAATTTACCGTACAAAAAATCCGTAAATATATCAGCCTAAAGACCGCTCCGCAAACAACATTGAACATTTGTTTTCTAGTCTCAGATAGTTTTCAAATAGGCTAATATTGACTTTTTTTTAAATATAACTTTTTAATTGCATAAATGGAAGCAGTCACATTCACGAAGCAGTATTCTTGGAATTGCTGTTTTCGACAGCTATCGGTTCGAAGTGATATTTCCAGATGGGTATACGGCGTCCAACGGTTTCCCAATTAGTCATGTAGATTAACGCAAGTACTGCCCCTGCACCAAAAGCACCATATGTTGGTAAGCTAAAAGAAACTACAAAGCTCAGCTTGATTCCAAGCTTTAGTTTTAGAGATGAAGAAGTGGTGCTCATGGTATTTATAAGAAAGCTTTCATTACCTGCTCTGACGATCAACAGAGACTGAATGGAAATAAAACAATACGCAAAAAAAATAAAGCATTAGTATGACTACTAATCAACATCTAATACATGGATTACCAATACGTAGTAAAAAAAGTTGCTCCGGGCTGAATGCATCAATCTATCGATCTTACAATGTGCAATCATGCAGAAATAACTTACTATGTTTTATTTGTTAAAGCATTCCTGATAAAACGCTTATAATTAATGTAGTCCATTCCTGAAAAACAAGAAGATCAATTCGCTTTCGTCATATATCTAACTCCCTACCCCTCATCTTACGACAAATAGGTCGCTACATCTCGGATTTAAATCAGCGCCACTATCGACAACAGTAGCTACATCTCGGGTTTAAATCAGTGTCACTATCGCTCCTCTCCATCCGAAGAGCGGTGCCAGCTTGCCGGGCGAAAGAGGTACTTCGTGGTTGGTCGATGTTTGTGATGTGATGCTGCATGTGTTGCAAATGAAATTAAGTTCCCGGGATTGATGTAGGCCAAGGGTTCTTATTTGCTGGGTTGTCAACAGCTTGTTGGCTAATGGTTTTGGTTATTTATACCTATGTGTAGGACATACTTCTATTAGGCATATAATTTATACATCCATGTTTTTATTCTGTAAGCCACATCTACTGCCATAGAAATAATTGAGGAGGAGAAGGTTCAACTGTTCGATTGAATTAAACGATAATGTGAACTAATTGGAGCAGGCCAACTTCTGTTTTAGTTTTGTTCGACGAGCTATCTTGCTTATAGGAATATCGCAGAAACAAACAGGAACAGATGGATACTGAGGTTGAACTGTTGCGTCAGTTCGTGAATGTTTGTAAAAGCAAGCCGGCAATTTTGCACGAGCCAAAATTCCAGTTCTATAGGGATTACCTTGAAAGGTTATTTTCAATGTGGCCTGTATCATCTTCATTTTTTACTGACAAATTTTTTACCTGGTATGATATTTATGACTCTGAACACTGAACAAGAAATGCTGGTACGTTGTATGTTGTTAAAATAAATCATGTCAAAGAGCTTGAATTGCTTCACCTTTCATTTGAGAAAACAAAGGTTATTTTGAGCAGGGACTTCAGTAAATATATGAGTTTTGATAGGTATATTGACCTATTAAAAAAACATTTCCTAGAAATATGTTACTTTACAGTCTTGGTGCAAAACTTCCACCCCTACCAAAAGAACCAAGTGAAACGAAATCATCAGCTGATCACAATGAGGAATCGCCAATAAACGAAGAGGAAGTGGAGCCAGAAGAGAAACTGGATTTGGACATGTCAGGTGTAATAAAGGGCGAAGAAGATGAATCACTTCCAATGGGTGATGATAATAAAGAGGTTATAATATTAGACATTTTTGGTTGTTGCAATGATCAGTCACACTTATAACCTTAACTTTGAAATTCTCAATTGCAGATAACTGAGGAGGATATGGAAAAGGCAACTGAACAGCGGGTGCTTGCCGTGAATGCATTTAACGAAGGTAATCTTGGAATCAGTTAAATTTATCTATGCATTGCTATTGTTAGTTCCGAATTTCTTTTGACAATGTTTCCTACAGTTTCATTTTGCATTTAAAACGATGAGTTAGATACGAAGGAAAAGCATCAGCATCAAAATGTGGACTTTGCACAGGTCATATGTTACGCAGTTTAGTTCTGTTTGTATTTTCTTTGTTATGAATGCAAGCAGATTTTTTGTGAAATAATGCAAACAGATTTTTAGGAAATTATGAAGAAGCTGTAATGCATTTTACCAATGCTATCAAATTGAACCCAGGGCTAGCTGTTTTGCACGCGAAGAGAGCGAAGTAATTGACCGTTTTGCTGTATTTTTTTTGGCAAACAATAAAAATCTTTCCTATATGACAAGTGGTACTATTTTAATAAATTCTTCAGCGCGCTTCTGAAGTTGAATAAACCAAATGGCGCAATTCGCGATTGTGATAAAGCGATTTCATTGAATGCAGATTCAGCACAAAGCTATAAATTTCGTGGACGAGCTCACAGGTTCTGTCAGTCCATGTCTTGACGTTCGGAATTATCATTTTCTCTTTTTCATTACACTGCATTCAGTTATTTTATTTACAGATTACTTGGCAATTTCGTGGAAGCGCACCGTGATCTAGCCATGGCATGTAAATTGGATTACGATGATGAAGCAAATGTTTGGCTGAAGGAAGTCGAACCAAACGTAAATTCTTCAAGATTTTTACACATTGAATACATTAACTTCAAATTCTGCAATTCAAGGGCAGATTCGAAATTTGGATACTTAATTCTATGTAGAATTGAGATATGGCATGGTGATTAGGTAATTTGATGCAGTCATGCAGCAAACCAGGAAATGAATTAAACATATGGTTTGTTATTTGCTATCACATATTTGCACCTATTTGAGAGAGCTTTCACATTATTTTTTAGCTTATAAGATCTCATTATTACCTATATGCTATATAATGATCTAATAGTATTGGCAGTAATTCCTACAAATAGTATTTTGCGCCAACTTTTTACCTAATGTGCCATGCAAAAATGATGGTCAAAATGATAAAATACATTTTTAATATTAATGTGATTACAAAGAGAAAACAAAGAGTGTTAAATAGTATAGGAAATTTGATAAAAAATAAGCGCATAGATATAATAAGTTTCTATTTATATCTAACTACTAGTTTCTTCTTTTTTCTTTTTTCGGCAAAGACGTCGCCCATTCGGCCCTATCGGTGCACGTTCAAAAATAGGCAAACCAGCCTGTTTTCGGCAAGATATATAATATATACTGCAAATGGCTCCATTTGCACGACGAAAATCTTTAATACTCAAATGTCGTTGCTTTTCGATTCTTTTCTCTTCAGCAACCTGGTGTAGCGGCACACCATCGTAGCATTTTAGTCTATATTTGCATTTAAGCTTTTGCGCACTATTTAATGGTCGTAGAGTGGTTGCTGTTTGTCGTGATTGTGAATCAAGCGGCTCTATCTGCATGTACTCCTGTTCTTTAGCCTCAGATTTAGACTCTTTATTTTTCTTTTTGCGTATTCGTTTACCTTCTTCATCCATAATTTCCTCTTGTGCCTCTTCCTTTTGTTTTTTCTCTTTGTGTTTAATAATCGATTCCGTTTGGTGCGGCTCTTTTACTGTTCCTTCCTGCACTTTTTTGTGCTCTTCCTTTTTACGGTCTTTATCTAGTTTTATGTCTAATTCCATGCTTTCGTAACACGATCTACGATACTTGCATTTTAGCTGTGGGTTCTCGTGCTGTTTGATAGAAGTAGTTACTACGTATACCGTATGATTTAAATATGGCGGAAGTATACCTGATTCATAACATGATTTCCGGTATTTGCAGCGTAATTTTAGTTGTTCTTTACTCAGTTCTTCGGTAGATTGTGTATCTTTATACTCGTTGAAAATTTGGTTTGTCGAGAACCCAAATCTGTTTGTTTCAATTGGTGGCAATTCCCCGGTTTCGTAACATGATTTTCGATACTTACATCTTAGTGCGAGTGGGATATGTTCTTCTGGAGTATGTTTTTCCGTCATATATTCTTTCTTGGTCAAATCTCTCATCTTGAAGTTTTCATGAAGATTTTCTGGTAGCTTATTCGTTTCATAGCACGATTTTCGGTATTTACATCGTATTTCAAGTGATCTGTGATCTTCCTTCTCTTGGAAATCATGTAGGATTGTCTTTTCGGTTTCGATTGGTGGCAATTTACCGTTTTCATAGCATGATTTACGGTATTTGCATAAGAGCTTGCTAGCTAATGGACTTAAGCTTTTGTCGTAGATATTCACTTGCTTTAGAGATGTTATGTTCTCGGCTTGCAAGAATATTGATTGTAGTTCCTTAACAGGTAATGATTCTTCCGCTGCTGTTGGTAGTGGTTCTTTTTCAAATTCTTTTTTAACTAAAATTTTCTTTTCCTTTGTAATTTTTTTGTCTACCTGTATTTTTTCAGCTTTCACTCTCTCTTTTTTAGATCCTATATATTCTAGAGCCCTCTTCTCTGTCGTCGATCGTTTCACAATTGTTGATGAAGCGATCTTTTGATCCTTCTTTGGCGGCTCGATTGGCGTTTCTTCAACTGGATCTTTGGGTTTCTTTTTCTTTGATTTATGCACAGTTTCTTCAAATTTCTCGTTTTCTATTGCTGCCACCATTTTTTTCTCCTCTAATTCAGGAACAAAAATTTTCGATTTTTTGATTATCTTTTTACTACCAGTTTCCTTCATGGGCTTCATTTCGAACTCGGATCCCATTTTTTTGGATACATTTGATTCTTCTGTTTTCTCAGATTTTAGTATGGCTTCTTTTTGAAATGATTTAATCGCTTCTGATTCATCTTTCTCAAGTGTTTTAGCTTCATTAAGTAGTCCAACACTTAAATTTTGTTGCTCTTCAGCTTTTTGTTTATAACAACTTTTTCTGTATTTACAGAATGCTTTTAAGTGGTACAACGATGTAACTATTTGCACTGGTACCACTGGCTGCGTTTCTTCGGCAACTTTTTTCTTCAGGTCCAGTAAAATTCCAGTGTCATAACACGATTTCCGGTATTTGCAACGTGTCTTTAAAGGGATCAACTCTTCATACTTTTTAACAGTATCCGTATATTTAAAAATTTGGCTACGGTTTACTACAGGTTTTTGGGCAGTATTATAGCAAGACTTTCGATATTTACAGTAGACTCTCTTTTCATTATCATTAAAATCTTTAAATTCCTTGTGAATAATTTCCTGTACGCCTGCCTGTTGATTTCGTCGTCTTAGAAAATGGTAGATTTTTTGGAATAAATTGTTGAAAGGCACATCAATTTCCGGAGGAACACCACTATCATAGCAAGATTTTCGATATTTACAAGCTAAACGCTTCTTCATTTTTTCCTCGATTTGATTGAGATCTCTATCAATAATCACTTTCATCGGTATAGGTTGCAGTGCTGCGGTTCTTTCCTTTTCTTCTACTTTTGCAAGGGCCATTCTGGCAATTTCTTTAGTTGATTTTTGTTTAGTTTCCGGTAAAATGGTGATAACACGAGAAAAAATAGGTCCTGATTGAACTTTCAAAGCACTTTTTTCGATCTTAGCGCCCATTTCTTCATAGCACGATTTACGATAGCGACACAGAAGTTTCAATTCTGCCTCGCTAATTTCTTCTTTCTCTTCATTTGCATTCCTCGTATATATATCGGTTATAATTTCTTTCTCGGAGAAATTTTTTTGTTCACGCGGATCCATAAATCGTGGTAAAATGTTGTATATATTCCATGTGTCTGGGATAATGCTTGTGTTATAACAGGATTTCCGATATTTGCAAAGCAACTTTCGTCGTCCAATTGGCACTTTCAAAATATCAGATGCTTGTTTTCGGATCTTCCGCTTGGCCTGTTCCCTATGCAGCTTTAAAAGTTTATACTTTTTAGTATAAATATGATGCTTTTTTCGGTATTTGCTGAGCACATGGTAACTTCGTGAATCCTGATGTGCTTTGTGTACTGCGCGTGTTTGTTGCGTGCTGTGATAAAAACGATTATGATATTTGTGCTCAGTAGCGGATGCGAAAATTTGAGGCATGAAAGAGTAGAGAGTATTCCTACGTCTTAAATGATTGGGCACTGACGGAATTGTTGCATAACATGTTCTTTCCAGTTTGTGTAACCAGTTGTTGCTGACTATACTATTAGAGGAATAAATAATTGGAGAAACTTTCCCAGTCGAATGAGTAGAGAGGTTGCGTTTAGTTGAGGTTCGCATCAAAGTGTTAATTTGATCGCTTGACTTGCTGTCTGAAGAGTTAAAATTAATATCTATTAAAGCTTTAAAATTATCTGATTAACAAATCAACTGAATGTAGGGAGGGAATAGAAAATAGAAGCGAAAAGGATACCACTTTTTAGCTTCAGGTTATAAAGAAGTTTGTTTAGGTGTTGCGTACGAATCGATGAAAGTCTTTATTTGCAAAAAAATTGGTTAAGGAGTTAATTTCCTGGCTTTTATGTTTAAGGTAAAAAGGATGGAGAAAGTTTTACCAGAGTCAATAATAATTAGGCCGTTGTTTGTCGTATTAACGATGTCGTAGAGCAGTGCGAATTCAGCTAAGTTCATTCCATCACACATCTTACAAATATTTATTATTGTTTGTTCTTGTAGCCAAGGTATTACTTCCGCGTATTCGATGTGACTTTCCAAGAAATCTTTCCATTTTTCCATTTTATGCGTCCAGAATATTTGGGTCTCATCCTCTGAATTGTTTAAAGTATTTTCACTTTCTCTTATGTTATCATTTCAGTATAGACTGATTTAGATGAGTAGGGAATAATGATGCCGTGTCAGTAGATGTTCTATTGTGATCTTCAATTTTTTTATCTGATTTTAGTTGGATTATTTTCAAAACTACAAAAAATGATTTAAAAGTTTTACTTTTGAAGGATAATCCAAATTGATCAACAAATTTACGGAGAGGCTGATCATTAGCATATTGTCGTGAATATCCAATAGTGATGAGATCAGTATGAGCTGAAAGTTTAAAATTGTCATCGCTTCATAAATTTATTTATAAGATTGGAAGCAAAATTTTATGCTTCATCAAAATAATCAAATAAAATAATATTTCATAAAAAAATTTAGTTAGATTGGAGCAAAATTTATGCTTCATCAATATAGTAAATAATAGTAAAAATAAGAAAGTCAAATACATTGTTATCAACACATTTTTTCATTACTGCCTTTTGCCGAATGCATTCGAATTCAGATCCTTCATATTTTCAAAAGATGAACAGATGGCGAATAATGAAGAGCGTCTCGGTTTCCTACTAGATCCTCCTTATGTCATTTTATTTCCTTTACCACATTGTCCATAGTAGGCAATCTGATTTTTAGCTTCTTGTACTTCTTACAGTTAACAAATTTTGCATAATTGTTATGTAGTCACCTTTCTATAAGTGCGTCATCGTCTAAAAGTTTGTGATGCTCAATGTCTTATCATAATAAGCTATTAATTTCATGGAACATAGTGTTTGAGAAGTTTTCGACATGCGTGTATAAAATTCTATAATTTTATGATAATACTGTTTATAATGGTTGAAGAGAACTAACCTTCACGGATTAATAAGATAATTAGAAAAGTGATGTAACAAATCATTTGAATCGGTGTCATCTGTGGGTTATGATGAAGGATATTCTCTCTGACTGAACTCTAAAAAACGTACAAGCTCCCTATTGCACCTCTTGATATCTGTCTGAGATTTAAGCTTATGCTGTTGAGTGAAAGTTACGGACCGCCTCTTATTTTTACAATTCTACCCACTTTCTGTTGCTTTCTTCTCTGTTTCACTTTCTTCTGCACTTCTGTCCTGTTTTCTCGTAAATTAGTAATAACGCGCCTGTTCGTTTTATTTATGTAAAAAATATCCACATAGCTAGGTTTTTCTGCTTATTCCTCCACCTCTCGATTTTCGGGTGCAACTGTCTTCATTGCTGCTTTGCATGATGTGTGATTCATATGTCAGTTTATCAGACAGGAGAATTCAAAGAACTTTGCATTTACAATTGTCGAATTTAAAACTTGATATTCAAAAGACTTATTTTGCTTCTTTTGCTTAAGTCAAGCATGATAGTCAAGCATCGCTGTATTTAATGTTTAGGAAGGTTAACCGGCAGCTGTATTCAATAGTTCGATAAGTCTCAACTCTGCCTTCCGAAAAGTCTGTCCACGGTACCTCAAATCTATAGTAAATATAAATGAAATGTCTGCCTTATTAAGAATACTTTCGTTGGTGAATCTCAAAATCTTCATTTGAATGTCTCGATTCTGTACTAGGTTCTCCCTTATGTTCATTTTATTTTCTTTTCAATACTGTGCGCAATAGACAATCTGAATTTTAGCTTCTTGCACTTCTTAGTTAACAAATTTACATAATTGTTATAATGCATATAAAGTAAATTAAAGAATATGTGGTACGAAATGAATCGGTTCGTATAATAAGGAGAGATGTATAATCTGCTAATAAGTGAATAGAAAAATAAATTCAGTTTTGAATATTTGTGGAGATGCAAGAGCTGACACTCGCTTAATTATTTATGTGCTGTTATTTCATTCTTTACTTTATTTTTAACTTTCTGTCTTCCCTCCAGATTCTTTTCCTTCTACTGAATCGTAGAGACACTCATATTTAGAAAGCATGAGTTCCACGTTCCAGGATAAGGTAAAAGCACTAAATACGGAGGTCGGTATTTACATAGCTTCTAGCTTCTAGGTGTTCCGTCAAGAGTTGACATTGTGCTTACAAAACAAGTTGGAAAATATTCTATATTTCTTTTCAGCGAATATGATGAAGTCATTGTAGCCAAATATTGATGATTATTCATGAAGAGGATGAATGTTTGCTAATTTAGTAAAAGGAGTAACCGATATGATGGAAGCTTTTGCTTGTATAAATTCTATAAATTCTAGAGGTTGTGTAGGAAGGATTACATTGGTGCTTTATACATATATATTTCCTTTTTACGTATCAATTCTATTTCACTTGGTCTCTAAATTCCAGGCTAAAAAAATCCTTGAGCATAATCGAAATAAAGAGAGACGTAAGGAAGAGAAGGAATTGAAATCGCGTCAGGAACGAGTTAGACAAGCACAGGAAGCACGAAAACAGGAAGAAGAGGAGAAAAAGGTTTGATTTAAAATAAACTGTAACCTCCGTTAGCAAATATATTGATAAGAAGTGAAGCCGTCAGAAATAATGAGGATTGCGCAATGTCCGGTTTTGAAATGAGGTAAAGCTACACTTGGAATGATTATTTTGCAGCATGCTGATAGTGCAGGAGGCTTCGGTGGTTTTGGTATGCCAAATATGCCAAAAGGATTCGAAAAAATCTTCCAAGACTCGGAGGTTATGAGTCTGCTAAAAGATGAAAGTGTCCTTGCGGCCTACATGGACATCATTAATAACCCGGCTAACATTGCAAAACATATGGCAAACCCAAAAGTGATGAAATTGTTCAGCAAAATTGGTAATGCTACTGGTGGGTTTGGCATGGGCGGTGGAAATCCAGAGGTTATACAGTTTTACTTTTTGCCGATACTTCATTTTGTCAATTTAACTGTTTCGAAATTACATGAAGTGAATCGGTAGTCGCTGAGTAGTATTGAGAAGCTCACTAAAGCTCTTCATAAGCTAATTAACACTAGGGTTTCTGAACAGCTTATCATCGGATACATTAAATAAAATGTAATGTTCTTGATGGACAATATAAGCCATCTGTTTATAAGATGAGATTGCTCCACATGAAGAATACGTTGGTAGCTTGAAATTCAAACTTAAACAGCATTAACTCCTTCGCTTTCTTCATACGTTTATTTGTTTTGAATGCTTTAGATGAAAGAAACGGTACCAAACGACGGGACCACGACAAACACGACACCAAACAAGGCTCCCGAACCAGATCTTGATTGATGTCCTACCCTGGAACTCTGAATTTTATACAAATGATTTGTCAACAGTTATATCTTGTTTTTTTTGGTATGATAAAAATAAAAATATCATTATTTATGTAAATCTGAATAGTACATATGTCCTAGCTTTTAAATGCTGCCTTGGCATCACGAAATGTATCCTTATTTAATAGATAACAACACAGAGTTTGCATAAAGTGTTGCAATTTCGATGCATGAGTGAAAGTGTGACGTCACGAGGAAACATGTTAAGATGTGATGAAATAGACATGTACATAATGAAACATGAAATCAGTGTGTTAATACATTCGAAATTCCATTTCTTGAAAAACAATCACTTCATTTCACTAACTGTTCCACTAACTCGTCCAGAGATCATGTAAACGAAAGCTATGCATTCGAGCAGGTTATTCTTATGATCCTTGATGACGATGTAATTTTCTCCTGCACTAAAAGATTTATAATGTTTTGAAGTGGGTGAATGTAGCTGTGGATACAGCAGGCTTCATTAGCATATCGTTTCAAGTGAATTTTCAGAAGCTTACTTTTCCCTTCTGGGTTTTCTTCTTTCCTCTTTTCCGCTTTTCCCTTGAATGTTTGTGTTGTTTTTCCCCTGAAATACTTGAGGATGCAAATCTTAATAAATGCAACGCTAAGTAGATTGGACTTCTGCATTGTTGTTTTTTCGTGACTGTAGAAGAAAATTTATGGTTGTGGAATGCGGACAAAGCTAGAAGAAGTTAACTTTGTCTTTCAAGACATAAACATAGAAACAGCCCATATATGGATGATTGTCTGCATTCATAAAATTGACTTACTTTTATTTAAGTCGATAATGTTTGCCCTCAAATCAACCTTTGACAAAGACATGGAAGGTGGAGGTGCGGGTCCGAACTCTTCATTATCATCATCTCTGTCAGATGACAAGTCCATATCCATCACTGTGATCATTTTTTCTGATGAAACAGATTTTTTATCGCCTTCAATCTTATTGCCAAGGAAGCTCTCAGATGTTGATGGAACTATTACACCCTTCTGATTATTTTGCACTTCCTCATCTTCGGAATCAGTTATAGATTCATCGCTGTCACCAAATATAGCTTTCAGGAATTCTTCTGACGGCTTTTGGTCTGAACTGATTTTGTCTTCATTAAGTGGTTCTTCTGTTATGGAAATCTGCAATAAAAAAAGTATTGCAAACTATGAATCAATTTTCTTATGAATCTTACTGTTTCTTTTATGATCCTTTTTTTTCTTGGTTATCCGGTATGTATGAATCTAAAACATTCTTATTACATTCTCTTTCATTAATAACAAAAGTGATATGTATCTCTCTCATTAATATGTGGGAAAATAAACTGTATAATATAATTTAATTTCGCAATACAGTTTTGGCATTACTTATGGAAGAGCACTGGAAAAACAGAAAAAACTTTTAAAAAAATGACTAGAATTGAAATCCGTGATAGCAAAATCGTGGTACCCAAAATTTAACTTTATGCAATAAAGCTTCCTGGATAAGTAAAATCCGTAAAATAAATAAAATGCATATGTATATAGATTTAATGGACTTTGACCTAACTTCCAGCTGATCGGTTTACCAATGAAAAAAATTTAAATTGATACAAATATGTTATCTGTATCTGTGAAAAAGCGGTAAAAAATGCCTCTTTTTTTTCCACATTGATGTTTCCTAAGCTTGAACGATACTTCAAATCCTGTGCCGTTGAATCAAATGTTAACATATGAGCACCGAGATTTGCTAATGTTTCGATCTTTGCTGTTTTCTGAAAAAAAGGAAAACAAATTGAAAGTAAATAAATAATGGATTTTTAAAAGTCGTAATATGAAAAAAAAAAAAAAACCTGTAAACGAGGAACACCAAGGAGATTAGACGAGGGGTATGGATCCGGAACATTGAATCGTTTAGCCAACTGTTTAGCAGGATGCCATTCATCGATTGATCGAGTCTTCACACCAAACATTTTCACTTTTACAGCTGCCAATCGTTCATCATCTATTTCCTTCACCTTAACGAATATGTATTAAAAATATAATTAACTCAACCTGCTGCAGTTCCATTAAAAAACTGGTACCACAGCGAAGGAAGAGTAAAATATTTTTAAAAAACAAAAAAAAATTCCCTCCGTAAATAACTCTCGCACCTTGTTAGAACAGGAGTTTGAACTAGAAATGAACTTTGATTTTAAAACATCGGCTATGGGAGCCGCTACATCTGAGCGCGCTAGCGGTTTCTGCTGTCTTTCAACTTCCGATATAAGCGGTAATAATTCAGAAGGAAGCACATTTTGAAAATCATGTAATTCATGGTCCCATTCCAACCTTGTCATATCGGGTGGTTGTGGATAGTGCAATCCTGTTTAAAAAACTAAGATTTAAAATTGAGAACTGTATCTTCACACAACACAAAACAAAAGACACTAGTTAAAAAGGCAATTACTTGCTCATTAATTTTTTCTTCATGACGATTCGTTCAACTTTATGAGCACAAAAGGAATTCAGACTTGGCAGATAATGCAAATTATGCTCACTACCATAAACTACACTGTATCGCAGGAATTAAATAAGCAGAACTAGCCTTCCATAAGAATTCTCGAATTAATAAAAAATTATATTTAAAATCTACAAACCTCGTTTCAAATAATTCATATATTGCTTAAATCGCGCTTGTTTCATGGGTTCCTCTTCGAATGCATTTTGTATTACATCTTCACTTTGAGAAGCATTCAGTTTCTTTCTATCTTCATCACGTACCAGTTCAAAGACTGGTTTCGGATCAATCTATGAAAACAAAATTATTCAAAACTATACATCGAAAATAGTCAAACTTTTAACAGCAAAAAAAATACCTCTCCCAAAAACTTCGCACGTTGCAAATGATTCATTCTTTCACCGCACTGCTTGACATTCAAGGGCATTTGAGAAATATTCGGACGGATGGGAGTATGCTGTGGTAAAAAATTTGATGGGATTCGCGGTGGTTCGAAAAAGCGTCTTGCAGATTGACGTTTGGATGCCATTACAAAACTTGTGTCACCTAAAATAGTTCCGTAAAAAAAAGTTCCAAAAAGTAATTTATAGGTTGGAAGCCTATAGACTACTTTTTGACTTTTTATCACCAACTGCAATGCCAAGTTTTGGGCAATAATAACTTGTTTGAAACAAAAGCCATTGAATAGAAAAAAAATTACTTGCACTGCACGATGCATCGGACGCCGTTACACCGCCATCAATCGCGAAATCATATTGGGAAAGGTCATAATTTGCGTATATGTTCGCATCATCATTTTCGAAAGCACCAACGCCAAATGCCTTAAAATACATATAACATTGCGAATGAATTCAGTACTAGTGATTTCTGACTTATACAGCTAAAAAAAGCAAGACTGCTCTGAAGGTTCCGAACTCTTTTTTGATGATGAATTATTGCAATAAAACGCAAAAAGAACCCGATTCTAAATTTGCTCCAAAATCGCCGGTAACGATACCGCATAAGAGGTAGAGGAATATTTATAAAATATTTACGAAAAGCTTACAATAAAATAGCACATAATTATGTTCTGATGAGTAAAAAAAAATCTTGTATCTATAAATAGATATGAAACATACTTGTCCTGAGATACCTCTTCCTTTTTTCTCCATTTTTAGCGCAGCCTCAATGAAGCCGTATTTCTCAGAGAGCACAGAAGTGTGTCGCATTCCGCGATATCCCAAACCATGAACGCCTTCAGAGGATTTCAAAATAGTTGGATCAAAGTCGCTTGGTGCAAATAAAAAATTTGGTGCCATTTCATCTGCTTCCTTTACTGCTTCTTCATCGTAAAACCCTTCTTTACCATGAGTTCTGTCGTCATTCACTGAACATATCAATATAATAAATAAAAGTGGACAGGAAAGGCGTAAAAGTGTAGAGGGTATACGGGTAAGTTTACTGATTATGTCTTCAGTTGAACAGTCCACTTATTAACTTCTTAGTGCACAGAATATGACAAGTGAAATCAAGTCTAATACATCAGAATTTCTCAAATAGTAAACTACAGCCGTAAACACAACAAAGATTACACATACATTTCTGTTTCTCTAATGCTCTTCGTGACATTTTCGATCCAATTCCATGCCCTTCCCTCCATCCCATCTTTTTCAGTAGTTGTATGCCCACTGAGTTCCTGCAGGATAGTGATAGCTGAATATATCTGCATAGAGCTGAACTTTTTGCCATAACACTTTAAAATACCAATAAAGATATCAGTGATTTCGTACCTAGATGGCTTAATACTTTTTTGAAGATGAGCTGCGAGTGATGACTCGATTGAAGACTGCGTATTTCGTTCCCATGCTAGCAAATGTCTATCACTATTATCTTCACCAACATTCACTGCAGTTTTTATCCGCCTGGCTGCTATTCCAAATTCACTCAAGTCCTACAAATCATCAATCTCCAATAATAGTTAATAACAACTTCATGACTTAATTGATGTAACCAATATACAAACATATCTCACGGACATCTTAAGCTTGATCTTTATCAGGCGATAACCACTATTAATCTTGCCCCGGCATCCTACGCCTAATACAACACAATATGGCTCAAACCTCTTCATCCATGAAATCCTCTGGTTTATAATCAATTCTTTCGCTTCTTTCATTGCGACTTGATCGGAACTTTTTTGGTATCCAACCTTAAATATTTCTCATATTATAAAATGATGAAAAAATTGAGAGTATTTCATAAAGAATTATGAACAAAAATAAACAGTTACCTTCCTTAGAACCAACAGTGTTAAAGTAACCAGCAGAAAAACCACCAGTGAATGCTCCATGGAAACGTTTTCGACCCTTTTCATCTTTCACCACTTGTTGCCCAATTCCAAGAGGCCGCACATTGTTTACGCTACCTGAAATAACTGAAAGTTCAGTGCTAGCAAAGCGCAAAAAACCTGGCTCAAAAAAATGAAAGAAGATCAATCTAAAAATCACGGTTTAAAACAAGTTCCGAAATTTTTATAGTATTTCCTTATACATGGTGAACACCAAGTGCGAATGAGAGATCTACTTCATAATTGCAGGTTAATTTCTATCCTTACCAGCCAATCGGTCTGACAATAACATGAAATATTGAAAGAATTGCTATAATAGGATTAAATATTGTAAAAACAAACGAACTCGTCTCATTGTCAAGTTCTTCCAACTCTGTTCCATAAATCACCAAATGTGCCATCAGTACTGAACCTTTCTACTAAAAATAACACATCAGTAAGCAGGCCTCAGTCACCTCTCCATTCAAATTGTGCAAGCATCGCTGAATTAATGGAAGAGTAAGAACCGTAGATGACCTTTAGCAGTGAAAAGCTTGATCCGGTTGCAAATTACAAATTCACCTGGCGGTGAATTTGTAATTTGCATAAGACCATTATCATGCAGGGATATTTTACCAAATGCATTAAGAAACTTTCGCAGATATAAATCCGAGTAATGTAGTTTCAAATTCAAATTTATTGTGAATAAGTTTTATACAGCAACAAACAATTTCATATAAAAAAATATATTTATGTCGATTGCACACTGTCTATGATAAAGATTTTAAGCCCAATATATCTGAATTTCAGCAAAAAATTTGAAAAAATTTAACCTCAAAAAACTTCGTGTGTATGAAATAATTAAACAGAAGAAAAAAACTGTAAAATCCAGCAACATCAACAATAAATCACGCGTTTGACATTATCAAAATAAAACTGCAGGTTCACTCTAACAGAATTGAAATCAATTTATCTTCGCCTCTTCTTCTGCGCGCTGCCTCGAACAAAGCACCAACTAACGTTTATTGTTTGTCCAAGCAGTTCTGCACCATTTAAACCTTCAATTGCAGCAAGAGCTTCTTTCTGCGTTTCATACTCCACCAATGCATATCCCTAAATATGAGAGAAAAAGTTCACTCTTAAGAAACAACCGAAAATTTCAGAAGCACACTATACCGATCACTAATACCAAAAAACTTCTGACGGATATATTCTGGAAATTCATCATTTAGTTCCATTGTCCAAATTTTGTTATTGGAATACGCATAGGTGGATCCACGGTTTATGTCGAAAGGCTAAAAGATTATGCAAGTTCCTTACTTCTAAGCAATACGAGATTGAGACCGCGATACCCATCTGTGATAGCGGAAGTGTTTCATCACCAGTTAACATGTTACATTTGGTGAACCCAGAGAGATGAAAATGAATTCTTTTTAATTTTTGAAAAAAATACAAAGAAATAACCTTTAGGAAGCCCGTTCGTCGGTCAATATTCAAATTCATATTTTTAATTTCACCATACTCGCTGAAGCGTTCATATACATCATCCTCATGGGCTTCTTCATGAACATTTGTCACAAATACTATCCACCCTTCTACCGATCTAAACAAGGTATGCGAAATTATGGTTCTTTTCTTTTGAAAAACAAGATCCCAAGCAAAATTTATTTATGAGATAATATGATTATATTATTTTAATCTTGAGAAATTGAAGTAAAAATATAGATAAATAGTATTCGTCAAACCTCTGGGGAGCATTGGGATTGTTTGCACCACCTGTACTCTCCAAACCTTCATATTCCGTGACATCAGCATGAGTTTCATCACCAAAACCACGTCCTTTTTTCTTTATTGCCCGACTTTTTAGATCATCAACTATAACAGTTCAATCGTGTACATGGACATTTTTGAGAGGTAAATTCATGACGTGAAGTTACCAAAATATTTCCAAAAGAGAAATAGTTGGAAAGACTACACAGTAGCACACATCCAACGTATACAAACACAAACAAAAACGGAATTGAAAGACTAATTTAACAAATGCTTTCTAGAAAATATCACGAAAATGCTCACTCAAGCATTTTCAATAGATCCGAGTAAATTTTACTGTACAATATATGTCAAATTTTCGCTTGAGCGTTTTAGATGAAAAAGAATTTTTCACAAAATGGCTCCGTATGTGCAATAGAAAATAATATTTATTTATTGCAAAGCTTATCAAGAAATAAATGGTATGATCTGCAAGTGCTCTATCTTGGAATTAGGTATTCATATAACATTCTCCAGATTTGGCTTGTTAATTTTCAAGAACAAATTCAATCTTTCAACAAATAGGCAGCTTAGGAGGCGAGTTTTTTCTACAGAAACAGAGCATACCACCAACCTAATTTTAGGAAATTTCCAACTATAACCAATCTGATTCAGAACAATTACAATTAGAAATGCTCTGAAATCAAACAGAAAGACTTAGAAAGCCACAAACTATGCCACTAAGAAAATTCTATTTGGTCCAATTCCCATTAGCTGTAGCAACACAAAGACATGAGTGATTGCGGCAACGCTTGCATTAAGATTGACAACCGATAATTTCGATACTACTTCGAATAACATCTAATCTTACTATTGTTCAAATTTTTGCTCTTTGCAATATTTATCATTTCGAAAGATTTTTATAAGAAAATACTGTTACATTAAAGACATCTCATCAGATTAAATGATAGCTTAATTCACAGCATGCTGATCTACAAAAATCAAAAGGGCCCACATTTAATGCTCTTGTCTCCAAATATTTGAAATATATTCTGAGAATCTATAAACCGTAAGACTAACAAATCAAAATTCACAAAAAATAAGGAAATCTCTTTGTTGGTTAGAGTAATTTGGCAGTAGACGCAAAAAATACTGCCAAAAAACAAAATGATTTCAAAACTACAAATCTGAAACTATATTTCAGCGTAACATTAGTAATCAAGCATAAAAATATGCAAATAAATCTGAAATCCAACCGACCTTGATCTGTGTGTTCGAGCTCCATGTCTTCGTCAACCTCAATACCATCTCCTGTCACGGCAGCCATTTTAAACAGCTGTAAAAGTGAAAAATGTTGATTTGGAGTTCTTTATTTTCCACAGGCGTTATATGTGAAGATCGTAGCTAAATATGAACATAACTGGAGTCATACCAGACTCATAATTTAACTAGGTGAAAAAAATAATTTATTAATCGTCATAAAACTATGTTTGATTGCAAACTTATTTTCAATATAATATGCACAAACAATAGAATAATCACAAACAATAACTCAGCATATAATTGAAATCACATAGCTTTTGGAGCACCGTTATGAATATTATCAAGAAGACAATACTATATTCGATCAAAATGCTTGGCTCAACTTTTTTCATTTGAAAAATATTTGCCTATAACATATAACATCTTTTCATCTTTTCGAGAACAATTAGATATTATTACAATAACAATGTCATAAAAACATCAAATGGGTAGCAATATATAAAAAAAGTAACTGATAAAAATTAAAGGCCACCATAGGGATTCGCATTCACGAGTCGTCTCATGCGACGAGTATTACGATCTTGATCGCGCATTTTCTTTTCGATTTCAGCGTCTGTAAGTGTTTCCAAAAATGGTCCCCAAACATCAGCATCTGCAGGATTCCGAAATGGACAATCTACCGTTGGTAGGGGAGATTCACTAAAACATTAAAAACTCAAGAATTTCATACCACGAAAATATGTACAAAAAATATATAACTCTAATAATGGCAATATGAAAACCCGACCAGAATATCATCGCCTTTCTAGCAATAGAAAAATAATGATTGCATAAAACAAATATATTGCCACGAAATTTGAGATGAGATTTAATCTCCTACGGGCAATGCGACGAGAAACAAGTATAGCATAATCAGAATAAGAAATCAACATCATGGTTCGTGACTGGAACCATCAGTTTGTTCGGTGAAATGCAGGTAAAATAATGTCCGATACATAGGAATGTCATATGTGCTACCACATAATTATTAGCGATCTCAATTACCCGCTGAAACTCGTAAGTATATTTCCTAAAAAGTTGAAAGAAACACCTGTAGGCATAGGTTTTTTGATTCCACGATAACTGCCCGCGAATAGAATAACTTATTGCAGCAACAAATTCTCCTCCAAGGCCCAATTCAGAAGCTAACTTTGAAGCGAACCATTCCGGATTGTTCTTCTCTTCACTCATGTCCCACTCAAACTGGTCAACCAAAGACTGATTACCGACATGAATATTCAGTTTTAACAGTGCGCGCTGATCACTTAACGCAGTATCAACAGGAGCTGCTTCTCCCGCTGCCTATAACATGGACGAGTAAATTCTCCGTCTTTGACTTTCAAGTAAAATCAGAATACTTATTCAATCATTCACATCCAGAAGTAACCCTAGAATTTCATCCGTTGAGTTAGTGAGTCCCTTAATAATAGGACAATTAACAACTGAAAAATATAGTGACTGGAAATTATTGAAGAATAAGAATAAAATTACCTCAATTTGCTGATGTATAGCTTGCGCAATGGCGTTCTGAAAAGTTCCCGTGGGCAAATCGAGATCATCACACATTGTTTCAGCTAAGATTTCTGGCGTTATTAGCTTTTCGTTACGGTTATAACAAAATGTATCGCGGAGCTTTACACCCTCTAATTCCATATCCAATCTAAAAGAACAGACGAAGAAAGAATAAAAAGAAAACAATGAAAAAAGCCAAAAAATAAAAAAATAAAAAAGCAATATTCTTCAGAAATTGTACCAGCGTTCACAGAAAAGATATAGAACCTACCTTATAGGTATTAGCTCCTCAGGTTGGTCGGCATTGTCCAAAATTCTTTTATACATATCCAAATCTTCCGGTGAAGAAGCGAAGTCTCGTGTTTTCATATGCCCACGTGCATGTGCTACTGGTGTAGAACAAGGTACACTTTCTAGATGATGAGAACCGCTACTTACCTTCAACATATAATTCTTTGAAATAGCTTTCGCCATGCTACTTGATATAAACTTTCTTGTCACATGTAAGGAGAAAATTATCTATTTCTCCATTCCAAAAAACTAACTTTTTGAGCAAATACTATAAGAAATCAAGTATGATCATTAAAAAAATCAGTAATAGTTTGAATAATATTGTTTAAAAAAATGAAACGTAATGAATAAATATCAATCATTGCAAAGAGAATAAGGTTTACTCCTACTACTGACTGAGGACTACTTCGGTCTTTCGAGCTAGATCATATATTTAATTGATTCTAGAGTGAATATTTCATACAGTGAATAACAGAGATAACGCGTAAAATATCACTGGAATAAAAATCAACTTAACCAAACAAATGAACTATTACTTATGTAAAAATTGTACTTATAAATCCAATTATTTTGACTAATAAAACATACTTGCTGTCCAAGCCATGGACCTGTTCCAGATCGTGTTGATTTAATTGGAGTACCATTAGGAGCAGTGGTGCTTCCTGACAACATACCGCTACTTGCTGTACCGGTCCCCCCTGCACGGTACTTCTCCTCATTTCCCATCAAAATTTCATCAACCTTAAATCAATACTTGCTGCTGCTGTTGATATAGCATATGAGCAAAATTATGAATTCCCTTACAAAATGAATACCTTAAAAATAAGGTAAAAGTCTGATTAACAATAGTAGCATCTGCTAGGAGAAAGAAAGTTAACATGATTAGACGGTAACAATAATGGGATTCCTTTTAATAAAGTTGAGAGATCAGTCATACCTCACAAGCTTTCACCAACATTATATTGGTATTCAGAAAGGACGACGGACATGCCATTTCTTGCATTTTTCGTTTTTCTTCCAAAGTTGCCATACGTTTCCATAGCTGCGGAAACCTTTTATATAACGAACCACGGTGATATCGCATGTATTGTCCCACCTGAAATTCATATTAAAGCAAGGTGTGAAAATTAAATCTGCTATAATAAAGCAGCGGGCACAAGACAGAGTAAACTCCCGTGGGAGATATACTGGAGAACAACTCTGTTTATGGGTACTTACGAGAACTATATCTAACAATGAAGAATAGCTATTTCACCAACCTCCGCACCGATGTAGTACCGTTCCCCAGAATCATCGATAGAAAATGACTGCGGCCGATCACCATAGAATTTCATTTTCGGCATGATAGCGATAGAGTAAATGTCAGAGCTTCTAATCTTGAAAATATATTATGTTCATCGATGTAAAATAAAAAAATAAAACGAAAATATATTCAAAAGCCTACAATCCATAGGACATAAACAAGATGTATACACCAAAGCTACACTGATCTATTTTATAACCTTACAATCCTTACAACTGATTTATTTTATAACCTTACGACTTGTCAACCCAACTCATCCCACGTGTCCAACTCACGCAATACAACACTGACCCCTGCAGCTTTTCTCCAAAATTTCCCCACTTGGAAATGAGCCAAAATGTCACACTATGAGACAGCTGTGAGAAGATTGAGAGAAGAAAACATGAAAGTGTATATGCAATGCAGAGACGCAGGTAGCTTATAGCTGACTTAGAGACAATTTCCTGAAGAGATCAAATCGCTCGCATGGGTTCCTTGTGTGTTAGGTGTTGGGATGTACTTTTTGAGTGAACAGCGTGAATTGCGTGTATCGCACTCTCTTTATGCTCCGTCGTGATGTTGGAGCCTGACTTATGTGTAAATTGCTCTTGCTAAATGCAATATTTCCTCTTTCATACGAATTATTCTATTTAGCTTTTTATGCAAATTATTTGCAGTCAATAGTGCAAATTCCTTGGTGATGTTTTTGACTCTTTTTTGAATGACTGGAGAATGAATTGTGTTCCTTATAAAAGGTGCCTCGAAGCTAATTTTGCATTTATAATGGTTTATCATGCATTAATGCTGGTGATGGATATGACTCGAATGAATGCCGACACTAGGCATGATTGGCTCCTGGTTAAAGTAGTCCCAGTGATATCGGTATTCTTAAAGTATCTGTATATATTTGTTCCAGATCTTGGCATCGCTGTAATTTTATTATGGTTGAGATTCACGAGGAAAGTACTACTCGTTACAATGGTTCTTCTCCACCGTCGGGTAGTTCACCTTCTGGCGATAGTTCGTCAGCGACGAACTCTCATTGGCGAGGACAGTCAACGTTAGCAGTATGTGCTGAATACACCTCTCGTTACTTTATACCTTGCAAATGATAGTTAGATGCTTAAGTAATTCACTTAAAATTATGAATTCCAACTACGTGAAAGTTTTTACTCTGAACATGATGTAAAAAAGATTGTAAGGATAACAACTGAATTTGAAATCACCTGAAACTTTGGGTCAAATTTTTTCTGTCTGCTGGCTTTATGTTCCGTTTATGTAAAGTGAAAAAAAATAAAATTAATAATAATTCCATTAAGTTTATGTAAAGTGAAAAAAATAAAACTAATAATAATTTTGGGACAAATAAGAAAAATTTGAAGTTTTTACGTCAAGTCCAAAAAAAGTTCAACGCATCTCGAAAAATCCACCTCGTTTACTATCCTGTAATATAGTCGGCTAATGCGGTCAAAGGGCACCATTAGGGGTCATAGGCTGGAGTCAGCAAGAAGAACGAACCGATGAAATGCCATAACTTTTTTGGCCATTTAAATAAAATATTTGATTGAATAGTGCAACTGTAGGAAACAAACCGTATTTCAGGGTTTTGTAATTCACGCTCAAGACATTAGAAATCTAATACTTCCTTTTGAATGAATATAATACCATTGGAAAACATTGTGAATCATTTTATGTTCTTATTAATGTTCTTAAGTTGACATATAACTATTTTCAGGATTTCTTGAAGTCCCGTCAAACAGATGCTATCCTTTTCTTGACAAGAATTGTTACCGTTCTGTGTACGTTATATTTTATTTTACCGTTCGGTGCGCGAAGTTCTCAGTACTCAGCATATTCGAAAGCCTTTGCAGCGGGTACGTATTTTGCATTCCTTTTTTCATGAATTTTAAAAATTACATGACATGAATCATGTCTTTTTTGTTTACGATTGTGATCATTTCAGATTTCTGTGAATGAAATCCGAGATATATTGGAGACACATATTATAAATAGGGATATATGTCTGCTTATAATTTAAGGTTTTTTTAGCTGCTGCAACGAATGCTCTTCGCGTACATCAGCGTGTTGGAGGACTACGTCTCACTCGGGAATTCTTGTCTGTAGTACTTATGGAAGATTCGTGTCATTATCTTATTTACTGCGTCTTATTCATCACTTCAACTCCAGTTACTAGTATGTTTATCATAAGTTGAATATTTTTATAGGTTTAATATAGTAAGCAAATTAGCGGCCTATAGTTTTTATTAGCTTATTACCATGTTCGGGCGAACTATTTCAATGGATCGTTTGCTAGTTCTGCCAGCAGTACTGATCGCTACAGACAATAATGTAATTTGAATTCTCAATTATATTGCAATGCGAGCATGTGACGAAAGTGCTATGCTGAAAGATAAAAAAACCCTAATATTTAGAATCCGCAAATAGCAGATTAAAAGATGTGAAATATTTTTGAATGAAATGTATGAATTATGATCTACTCTTTTCAGTGGCACTTATGCCAATATTTTTGTATGGATTGTTGCACGTCATCAATTTTGCCACTCAAATATGTTACGCAATAGGGAAAGCAACAAATATGGCTGACAAAGTGTCTGAGTTAACACGGCAACATACTCAAAATCTTTTGGGAATTATTGCATGTTCTGAAATCTTCTTAATGCCAATGCTTGTCGCCATGGTATTCGTGTAAGTCATTGTTTAAAGTATAGACTTCATTAGCATAGAGTGTGCTTTTTTTTCAGCAATTTAATTTGCACGTACCACAGTCGTTTGCTTAAGTTAGTCTGGAAACTGGTTTACAGGAATCATTATACTGTTAAGCATTTATAAATCTCAACTAAAAGTGCTGCGCTGAAATCTAATCCAAGATCGTTTTGGCGTACTGCGTTGGAACGCTCAGTTTCGTAACTCATTTTTTTGTGCAGTTATGTTCAAAATTCAAACATGATTGCATGAATTGAATTGGTGATCACAAATCCTGAGATATATATTATAACTTTGTTATTTAAAAATCATAAGTAGCATGTTCTTAATTTAACGCAGTCGATGTTTTCAGGGGTAAGGCTTCTTTCTTTCTACCCTTCATATATTACCGGTTTATAACGCTGCGTTATGTGTCTCGCAGGAACCATTCAACAAAGTATTTCTTTTGCATAATTTATAAAAAAGTGTTACCATTATTTTTTAAGCGTAGAGACGATATGTTGTGAATGCTGCTGCTATTAACCAAAATTTTTCATTGAATTCATTTGTTGACTAATTCTCGTTACTGCAAGTGACCTGCTGCCATTTTAGCTAACATATATTTATATATATATATATATATATTGTACTAATCTATTTCAAACATTTAGAGACACTTCTGTTGATGATGATATAAGAGTTCGATATTTCGTAGTGTTTTTTCCCTATTCCTACTATTATGCAATTTTTTCTTATAAATCTATGAAATTTGGAATCCAAAACATGGAAATTTCTATTCGCAGATTATTCATTATAGTTTTGTAGATTGGTTTTCTACCAGCTTCGTGTTTCCGTTGAGCAAGCTGTGTCGAATCCTAATTGTCCACAGATGATCCGTAATGCAGTACATTCCATTATCAATCTCACTTGTCGACTATGTCCTACAACAGTCCAGTAAAACGAACGTGATTTTTATACCAAAAAATTTTTAATTCCATTTTTTTTCGCGGTTTTTAGTGTTAAATTTAAAAGTGCAGTGTAATGGATCATTTTCGATCTCTTCGTTATGGTAAATATTGTTTGTTTTAACTTGTTGTTGCGTCATTCCTAATTTGTGTTGGTAAAGTTTTCCATCATTTTTTAAAGACTTTATTATTCTCTTTCGCTTTCTATTCTAAAAAGTAAAATTTTTACCAATTTAGTGCTAGAAAAATTTTTGTAGCTATGATATCATATAAAACGTATCCTTTCACTATAGCCTTCTATAAAGAGAGCCGTCCATCGTAAAGTCTGAACTATGAATGGTATTGTTGATTCAATCTGAAGTCGACCAATAATTTATTTTGTGGTGCACTACATCATGGAAATAATGCCTCAAGAAAAGAAAAGCTACAAAAGAATGACTGATAGTCATTCGAACAGATTTGTTATATTACCTTTTTGCTGTGAATTGATAAACAATTCATGTGAAACTAAGCCAATAATGCTAATAAAGCTTCCCAGCAGATAAAAGAAGAAATTAGTAACGCATTCAAGATTTTCAAAACCAGAATATAATAGTCGAGGAGGCATTCCATCGGCTCATATTTTTGAACAGAGAATAATCTTTCTGTAAAGAATGATTTAATTTTAATTAAAGATTTATAAATTAACTAAATTGGGAAAAAACTTGAAGACTTACTATTGATTTTTGCATACTTTTAACAATACATGCATGCATTACCTTCACTGCTGTATTACATAATTTTGTGAGAAGAATCAGTGGAGGCAGCTGAATGGGTGTCTAGAGAGCTAAGCTAATTTCTATGCCTCTAAACATTGCCCAATCTTTACAAATATTGACAGAATGACTCAGGTAGTAAAGCAAATACATATCATCATAGCATTGTAAGCGTATTCGATTCCATTCCTCTTCTCTCATCATATTCCACCATCTCATTATACATTCTGTTCCTCGTTTTAAATCATAATGGTTATGCCGACACAGTTAATTATTTGTGCAGCGATTAAAATTCTCATTGTTGTAAGTTATTTTTCTTATCAATCAATTATTGAAGTTACTACTATACCTATTTTTCCCCTTAATGTAGATTGTCCGAATGTTAATTCATATATAATTTTTCTATATTAATTACAATTGCAATATAATACAGTATTTCTTTCTGGCAAGTGATAGCAGGCTCTAAAGGAAGATTATAAATTGATTATGTAACATTTTAATTATTAATATTAAAGTAAGTATTCTACTGTAGGTTGGATTAGATTTTTTTTATCTCTAAATTGTTACCATAAAATACATGAAGGAATGGATTTCATCCATCAATGATCTCTTCGGAATTATTTTCCATCAATGTTGGTTGAATGGGAAATGAAAATTTTTTTGATGATAATGTTTAAAAAATAACAGTAATTTTAAAATAATAACATTTCACGCAGTGACTTTAATCCATTAGAATAAATGTGAAAATTTCACATAAAAATTAGATTTAAAATTAGAACAGACTAATAAAATTAAATTAGTTAATTCATTTATAAATTTAATTATGATAAAAAATAAAATAAACCTTTGTTTTACAGTACTCCTAAGGATATAAAGATTATGATTTTTAAATTAATTTGCAAATATTTCCTTCTCTCTTTTCTCTTTGCATTAATATTTAAAATCATTTACACCGTTGTAAAATTCAATGAAATAATTTCAGATTCTAACAATAGTGGTATTGATTCTACTCGATCCAGAATATACGGTGGCTTATATTTCAGTAAACTATGAAATTGTTCTCATTTATATCATTTCATCACTTACCTTACTTTATTGCATTGTTTCTATCATTATGTATTTCATTGTACATCGTCAAAAAAAATGTGACAGAAGAGCGATATCTCTTACAAATTGCTCGATCACTGCAAGTTTTAAATGTTTATTTTCTCAATATTATTAAATTGGTCATTAAAAGGAGCCTCTTTTTATACTGACCTGAGAAGCCATCAAATAAATGCAAACAACAGAATGATTCAGAAAGTGTAATAGAAAAGTTAAATTTGCCAAAAAAGCAAAATTATCCTTTAGGATTTGTCGGGCAAAGGAATGGAAGGAAATCCCGCGGGTATTCGCTAATTGATGAATTATATATATATAGGAATTTACTGATTTATTTTCCGAAATACGGAATGAATTGAAATCATTGCTATTAGTATACATATCGGACTGATGATGAATGTGATAAAGTATTGACACACTTATGAATGTTGATGTGATCATTTTGTGTAGGGATGAATATGATCATTGATAGCTAGCTTTTAATTCAGGAAGTGGTATTCGCTGGTGCAGGAATGATTGCATGGATGTTGGTGTGCGGTATCGGTGGCACTATTTCTCAACGAACTATAATCGAAACTGGGGAACGTTTCGGATGGATTGCTGTGGGCTTTTCCTATTTTGTCATAACTTTTCTATATATGTTCATGACAGTTGAGAAAAGCTTTTAAGTATTTCTACTCCTCATATACTTTTTCATTTCTTTCTGAATGATTTTGAATTTGTTTAAAGAGAAGAGATGTACATTGACTGGTAATAATTTAAATTATAATATAATCAAATTTTACAGATAATTCCAATCATATATAATCAATAATCAATAATCATATTTTGATCATTTACAATCTTCTATAATTATAGGCATGTGCCGGTATAACTGTGTCGCTAAATCTGGCAATAATGGCACTTTTTTGTCTGAATCTTATGACGGAAAAAGTGTTTAGTCTGGAACGGAGCAACAAGTATGTTAGCGCGCGTTATCCACTTGATTCGAGGATATGATGTAACATGGTGATTTCAGAAATCACTGATTACTTCGATGATTATTATATGTTTAATCATTGTTTATTGCAACTATGATTACTTTTGTGTACTTATATCAACACGTGTAAACAATTATATACACGTATGTGTGGCTCGTTTATGTTATTGTTATTATTATTATTATTAATATTAATATTATTAGTATTATTATTATTGCTGTTTGTTATTTCTGGTGGATTACTCTATTATTCATTTTAATGATTTGATCAATGATAAGAGTGTTAGCTGTTAGTGTTAATTAAATTACTATTACCAGTTAATTTTCTTCAGAAAATTGATGTTTAAATGATGATAGAAATGAAAGGGTAGAAGAGAAAATTTGTTTATATTATACAATTTACATCATTTTAAATTTATCAGTGCAAACTTTGAATGTGTGCTAATTTCATCATATCTGCCGTATATGATTGATTGCATTTATTCTTTTACCGTTTACTGTTCGCTATTAACACGAAATTCTTTATCAATTTTTCAAAACACTCCTTTATTAATTGTAAGACTGAGAAGTGTAGTATTAAGGTATTAATGAACTGCTGCTTATTGTACTCAACGTACGTGTAGTACGCCATCTGATAATGACGTATCTCACATTAAATATAGTCATTTATAGGCTATTTCATTTAATCATCATTCACTCTTAAAAAGTACATTTCCCTAATATACTTGCTTAATCTTACAGCAGCTTCTCATTCTCAGCCAATTGAGAAATGCGGGAATAATTTTAGGATGATAAAATTTTGATTGCTTCCATTAAAGTTATTTCAACTTAAATATCACCGTGTTTTTATTCAGTTCGATAAGTACTATTAAATTGTGTGCGATACGGAAACGTACTTTGCTTTTATTGAATGCTGCTCCGAAAATAAATGTCATATATTGAAAAACAGTGGAATGATATATAACATGTACATAAATGAAGCTCAAAAAAAAATAATGGATGCAGTACGAACTTTGACCTCAAACTACTTACGACCAAATCTTAAGTATTCATGCTTCCTTTTCCCAAAACGCAAGTATTCGTGCTTTCGCTTACCGAATCGCAGATATTCATGCTTCCTTTTTTCGATATCTTGAACGTCGTCTGCTATCACACCTATAATTATCACTACAATCATAGATTGATTTGTTTGGTCTGGCATTTGAAAGAATTCTATTGCTGGTCAGCAAAATTTCAATAGATGACCGAAATGGAAATAGTTATTTTGGACATTTGAACTTGCAGCTACAAAAGATTTAGTATACATTGCCCAACTCACTTACAGGAGATCAATCTTTTTTATTATCATATTTAGTTCAGCCGATGGTTGATAAACCTTTTGCAATTGGAATTGGTTTGATTTTGAGCATAATGATAATTTAAAATTGTCATTTAAGTTTTATCACCTAATGATCATAAAAGAAGTTGAAAAAAACTAAACGAGTCAAATTTTAAATTTTCTTCCAATGTTCATTTTCATAACTAAATAACTAAAATGAAATTTTGGATCTTAGAAATTATTCATTGACAATTTTAATTATCATCAAATGAAATGAGTTAAATAATGATGGGCGAATCTCTGCTTATTTACCTTTTTGATATTCCAAAATTTTAGTCCTCTTATTAAATTAAAATTCCTAAATGCTTTTGTTCCAAAATTGCTCACCAGCCGGTAAAACACATCATTGAATGAATTAATTCATTAAATTAATTGCTTTGCAATGCAGGGAGACATGAAATATCAGAATAAGAAGAACATTGGTTGGACTGTTTGATTTAATTTCTAAATTGAAAATAATATAAGACTATACCTTCGTTAGCCAAAAGTTTCTCGACATCCTTCAAAATAAATGTGCCAAGTTTAGCCAATAATGATGAGCTTTCATACAGCTGGCATAACAGCACCTTGTCATTTTCATCGGTTGACAATGCAGTTATCTTAATGAAAGAAATTAATGACAGAATTTTTAATTTTTATTACTTTATCTAAATTTAAGAAATTTATTTAATTATGAAATTTATGTTTTATGATGAAATAATTTGTTAAAAAAAAAGGTAAACTACAAATGAAATACAATATAATTTTTAAATTGCAAATTATTTCTTATTGTTTTTAATTGAGAAAAATATTCGATAAATTGTTATCTTTTTTTAATGATAAGAATTATCGCAAGAATTAATTATTTTTTCATTAAAATTTGTTGTATTATAAAAGTGAAAAAAGAGAAGACAATGAATTTAAATAAATCCCTTGCCAGTTGTATTATTGCATTTCCTTTCCCTTCCTTCCCTTATCCTTCCTTCGTCTTACTGATTTGCTTGAATTAGATTTTTAATAAACATTCGACACTATCGTATTTACTGCTTTCTCCGCCGGGGTTTTGCAATATTTGTAATTATCAAAAAACTATTTATTGCTTTTCTTTTTCATCTAAATTCTCTTAGTATTCCCTAATGTTATTGAATATATGCTGTTTTAATCTAATTATTATTATTTCTCAAAAGATATATAATATAAGAAAAGTTTTACAATTTTATTATTATCTTTATTACTTATTGAAGTGTATATTCATTCATTACTAGTGTTAGTATTGGATTTCAGTAAATAGAATATATAATTTTCTGAGAGATCTAATTCGTTCCAAATAATAATTTTACGACGTATGTCACAATTAAAAATTTTATGGGCGCTGTCAGGAAAATCTGATAAACATAGCAAAGCAAAAAGTTTAATTGTTTCAAAATTTTCTAATTACTTCCTTTATTCAATATTATTGAAAATAAAATCCAATATCATTATCATAAATTTTTCACGAAAAATAGGAAAATAAATATTTTGAAGAAATGAAATAAATAATGTCATTTTAGAAGTGTTGAAGAAATGATTTAAATTGTTATGAATAACAATTTAATATATTTTTAACAATTATCCAAAAAGACAAATTTTCTTTTTACAATTTGTCGTCGTCCGTTTTGAATTATTTATGCCATATAATTACATATATCTACTAATTATATATTCATATAATTACATATATCTACTTAAGAAAGCAGAAATTTTGTGTATCTATGTTGTTGGATACATTTGAAACGATTCTTTACTTTTTAATGAACTGAATGTCTTCATGTTTTATTCATTTTTAGCAGTTTGTTTCAAAGATTTTCTTTTTCTCAACAAATCAAAAATCTTAAACTAACAATTTTGCAATGGAAAGAAAAATTGTAAAATTCAAAATTTCAGTTGAAAATTTAGCACAATTGATAATTTCTCTATTTTCCAATTATGAAATACTAAAATGAACTGTTCAATAATATATAACTATGATTTTTAAATTTATGAATTGATAAAAGTAGGTTGTTAATTTTTTAACTAAAAAGACTACTTGTTTAATTGAGATTGAAAGATGTTGGAGTATAGGAGAAATGAAATATCTACACATAATTTTTGCTAAATGAAAATAATCTTAGATGATGAATAGATTTTGAAATTTTTAAAATTTATATGAATTTCAAAAAAGAATTATGTTAAATAAGTATACAGTATGTATTTCATTGAAATCATCATCATTATCATCGATTCAGCAAACTTTCCATGCTAATTAAATCTGCCACAATCGGTTGTCCATCCGAAATTTTGTTAGCCAATAGTTTGAAATATGAGCTTATTTTAATTTTTCACAATTTAAAAATGTTCCAACTTATTTCTTTCATTGTGAACAAATATTGTGATTATTGAACTTCAATAAATTCTACTGTTATTCGTTTTCATCTTATTTAAATACTTTATCGCTTTCATTTGATTCCGTCTAATCTAGCAAAACATATATGCTAAAAGGGAATATGTAAAATATATGTGCGAACAGATTATATTATACATGAGTTGTAGTTATGCGCAAGTATAATTAAACCTTTCGGTATCATGAGGTTGTTCAGTTGACAGCAGATAATACCAATTTGTGATATTGTTTTTTTGTTATGCCTGTTCAAATATTCCATTCAAGAACTATTTTAAAATCTGAAGTTTCAACAAAATGTGGCAAATGTCAAAGGTTACTAATTAACTTAAGAATAAGACGCAGATGATTTCTTGGATGATTTTATTCCTGAAAAAAATTTGAATTTCTACATTTTTTTTTCAATTTCCATTTAATAATTTACTTTCATATGATATGCTATATCAAATGGAGACGTAAATGTTTCTTTTGCATTCTGGAATAAGTATAGGTAAAGGTAAATAAACAAAGCTATCAAAATCCTATCTACTAAATAAAGTAAAAATATCGTTACTTTTATTTACTTCTTTCTGCAAATAATAGCTATATTCTATTTGAATTAAGTATGAATTCGAAGGATTCATTGGTAACATTGAAATGAAGCATATTGAAAGAACAATAGAAATTATAAGAAAATACTAAAAAGATGGAAAGAGGTAGAATGAAAGCAGGAAAATTTAAAGATTAGACAGATCTGATTGTAAATTCCGACAAAAGTATATAATGAATAAAATAAAGGTAACCAATTTATTCATTCAAATTTTCCCCATCTGTAAATTTAAGCTTGTTCCAAGAATTCATATCACATTGAAAAGAAATTAATGAAAAATTTAACTTGAAAGGAAAAAAAATTAATCCAACGAATCAAAAACTCTTAAATCATTGGAAGACGACAGTTCATGTAATATAAAATCGTCTACGGTATTGACAAAATAAATAGAAATAAGCATAGATCTTTTGCTATTAAATACAATTCATGAAATTTGTGTAAGAAAGAGAAAAGTAATGAAATGAAAGGATTTTTGAAATTCGATTTAGATCGAATTGAAATTAATTAGTATCAAAAATTACTTCTTTTAATTTGTTCATTAAGTGTAAAATCTTCTATGCATAAACATTTTACCATACAATTATTTCTGAATAATTTCTATCGTCAAAAAATTGTTGAAAAGAAATATTTCCAAAATAACTTTTAACTATATGAGAGAAAAAAATTTCGATTATATCACAATTTCGACTTTCGATTTCGATTCCGATTATTTCGATTTCGATTACTCGATTACTCGATTATTATATTATATATCATAAAAATTTCAATTAAAAATAATTTTTTTACAAAATTTAATCTCATTAATTTTCTGTGATACAAGCAAATATCATTTTGAAAAACTATATAAAATGAATTTTCCATTTATGGATATTTAATCTTAAATGAAATAAATAATTTTGAACTGTACATGATTGAAAATCTATTTTATACAATATAGCTTAAAATTAAAAATATCTAATTATGTGTTAATCATCTAAAGGGCTAATACTAAAATTGTGACTCATTTAAAACCTTTTATTGAAGCTATAAATTTTATCATTAATATCAGAAAATTTTCGGAAAATTCAATTATATCGGAAATGTGAAAAGCATTATTTTTTCTATTATCTTTAGAGGAAGTATTTGAAAAAAAGGAAATTTGTTGGAAGAGATTTATTAAAAGAAGAAAAAGATTTGAGAGTTATCTAACAAACTTTGCTATCCATTTTAAAAATCAGAACTAATGGAATAAATTTGAAATGCTTTGAATGGATGGATAGCACTTAGTTGTTGAAAAACGGCCAATATGTGAAGTGTTTTGTTTAAAGAATGAAGAACGATGAAGTAAAAATAGTTTAAAGAGTTACTTGTAAAAGTTTTTTTTTAAAGAAATCTTTTAGTTTAAAATTTTTATTAAAGAAGAAAAGAATTATCTGATAAACGCTTATTTATTTAGCAGCAAATAAAATTTATTATTACCACTACACATTGATAAGAAACTAATCGTACTAGTTATTATGCGATGATACATTCATCTTCCAATATTTGATATCTGTTATACGAGATAGACTAATACAAATATATTAGAAGTAAATGAAAATAATTAATACCTGTGAACAAGTTTGTAATTGTCCAACTGTATACTGTAGACAACTAATGATTATTAATGCAGTGATAAGAGTGGAGGAGCAGAGATGATGACTTTTCATTATGAAGTGTAGATGATGATGTTAGATCAGGGGATGATACTGATGATGACAATGATAAGAGTTTTTGATAAAATGGCTTCAAGAAACCAAGTTGAGAACCACTACATATACTCGTTAGTTAAGGGATTTAGTAGGAGGCGGATTTGGATTACGATATCTAAAGCCAAGCTCCCTAGGGATTGGAACTTTCTTTCTTTATATTTCTCTTTTCATTCTCTTGAATGTAATACTTTTGCAAAAAATATAATTGAAAGTGTAAAAGAAGGACAGGAAAGGGACGATGGCCAAATATATACTATTTTATCACCTTTTGACTATTACGTTTTTGATGATTACGATCAGCGGAGTTCAACCAAAGACAGAAGAATTTCGCTTTGTTTTTTTTTCACATTATCATCAAAATCCTTATTAGCTTAAAGTTCCATTGGAGTTCATTAAATGAAATAATTCTTTTTTGATTCATTTCTCTTCCGTTGTCCTTTCACATCCTAAGGGATTTGTGTGTGGTTTAATGATCAAGGAAATATACTAAAGCTTATATGTAATTAGTATAAAGGATCAGTTGTGTAGTCTTCCTTGATGAAGAATTTGACATCTTCTAAAGTGTTAATAGCAGTGCGTGAGGGTTTAATTTCTTAGTAGGCTTAATTCGAAATGGTCCTAATTGCAATAGCTTCATGACAAAAAAAAAGGCTTAACAATCAGGATGCACATTTCGCAGAATGTAAAAGACCTAAAAAAGTTGGGAAATGCAAAACAGAAATTTTTTTGACAAGCAGATATCACTATTCTATTGATTCTTGAAAATGTAATATATCATGAATGTTTCTTCCAACTTTATAAAGCACAAAAAGAGACATTCCAGCTACTACAATATTTAAATATAGAGATATCAGCGATCCCTCAATTAATGGGATGGAAAAGATATATCAAAATTCACATGAATAGTGAATATTTTTGACTATTCATCTTATAAACTCACTTGAGAGAAAAAATTGCTTTCATATTGCAAACAATCTTTCATAATTAATCGAATTCATTAATGATACCATTGAAAAGTACTTTCAATTTCACTTTTGTTTGAATAAAGAAAAAATTGTAATTTGAAATAAAGAAAATTATGAAAAAACTATAATCTTTTAATTTTGAATAAACAAAATGATAAACATTATTGATTAGAGGCCTGTAGGCCAATTATATTTTTATTATAAAACGAAATTTTTCTCATGAAATTCTTTTTCACTGATCGTTGTTAGAAGGACCGACTGAAAAACAATCAAAAAAATAAACTATCCAAAAATCAATTTTATACATTTTCATTAAAATGATTGATGGCTTCAATACTATTGCTGATAATAAAAAGTTACTTAATGTAACAAATTTCTGATTAGATTCTATGAAAAATCTATTTATGAGAATTCTTTTTTTTGAGATAATTCTGTTTTCTCTCAATTGCATAGAAGTTTTTATCCAATCCAATCTATCGATAATTTCCCAATTTTATAAAATCCATTAAATGTAAAAACCATTAAATCCGATTTAATTAATTTGTCATAATTTTCAATTGTTTCAATCATTCAACAATTCTTCATTTTATATCATAACTTTCATATTTTGAAACAAAAAAAAAAGATATGCAAATCTAAATAAAACTAAATGAGAGCAATCTTTTTCAACTATTTGTAAAACAAATTTAAAATTTTAACAGTTCCCTTTTTTGTGATATGTAGGAAACATCATATAAGTTTTGATATTTACGTATGTATTAGTTAATGTTACTAAATGGATAGATTATGTCTTATTCATTATGCATGCATTGTGTTTACAAGTGCATGTTACATGCATAATGCGTACTAACATGTTACACGTGTTACACGTTACATGGAATAATGTATTAGAGAAGTGTTGCAAGATCGGAAATAGTGGATCAAAGTAAAACTTTGAATAGAGAAGATACAATGGATCGCGGAAGTTCTTTCGTCCTCTTATTGCCGGAAACTATTTGTTCTCTTTATCTATCTCTCATGGATGATACTCTCAGATAGATTACTTTAACGCTTCATATAAGTTATAGAAGAAAAAAGCAATATATCAATAAACTTTAGAGGATTTATGGAATTGCTATCATTCCTTTCTTATAAATAAGAATGGCATATACTTGAAATATACCTTGTCAACCTTCCTTAGGAGACAATTTCTGGCAGATAGGATGTTGTTACGTCATCTATCCACTCCATTTTGCGCCAACTTCATCTTATGATTCATATCCTTTTGAATCTTTTGAAGAATAATAGAATATATGTACATGCACACACACACACACACATACACACATACACACACACATACATGCACAGACACTTGTATAAATTTATATACGTTCAAAACTTAGATACACTTATAACATATATAAACTATATACACGTACATAACACATAGTTGAAGGGTTGTTTGGGAGTTCGTTCAGGAGTTCGGGATAATGCTGAGAAGGTATTTTAAAAGGATTGGTATAGGGGATGTCGGTATGAACCCATCTATTTCGTAACGAGCACTTAAAAGCTGTGAGGCCCCGGAGGGTTTGAAGCTCAGCAAAGTTTGATGTGAGTGGAGTAATTTAAACTTTTGGTCTATCCGAACTAACTGTACCGGGATAATTGGACATCGCATTTGCTGGTGAAACAATCATAGGAGTATTAATGATCAAGGGATATTTTCAAAATACTTTTTAGTTTGGACAGTTTTCTCTACAAAGGATGAAAAATGCAATTGTTGATCGCGGTATGGAATCGAGAGACATGGTATAAGAATCGTGTCGGTCGATCCAGAGATGTTATCATCGAAGTGGACGACGGTGGTACTGTTGGTGACGTGGCAAACAAGCTGTCAGCTAGACTTGGCATTCCACATTCCAATTTTCTTCTCATCCTTTGTGGAAATAAATTGACCGATAATATACCAATCAGTACCCTCTTGCTTGGACCACAAACGTAAATCTCCTCTTACTTAGTCTGTAAATTTGCACGGTATTTCTAATTTTTAATCAAATTTCCATGCCATTCTCACGTCAACTTCAATTTTGAATATTGCTTCAGGGTTTAAGTTGAATGTGCTTTTTTATTATTATTTCTGAAGATTATTATTTCTGAATTCTTTTCCAATAAAATTCGCATTTCATTTTCAGTATTTTTATTTTTAGCTCGCTAACAGCAGTGGTCACTCAACTGTGTTCATCAGAAGAAGATGAGAAGCACAAGAGTGGATCGTTATCATCTTCTGGATACAACAGATCATCAGAAATCACATCGTTTAAGGTCTTTTGTAAAAAGTGCAATTCATTAAAAGATGGTAAATTACGGGTTTATTGTGTTGAGTGTTCATCCAGTTCATTGATTCTCACTAGAGAGCCTTCTGGTTGGAATGACGTTCTCCTAATGTAAGTTATTGCTTTTGTCTTCTAAATGTGAAGTAATTTGTAAATAGATTGCTTCTTTACTAAAATTAAATTTTTGAAAGAGGATAAGAATAACCTGATATTTGCGAGCAGTAATTTTAGTAGGTGAGGTTACTTGCAGCGTCTTTATCTGTTCATAATGTATTGCTTAGATGATATAATGAGCAAGAAGGATCCGAATGTTATTAATGTTTTTCTTGCAGAAATACCATACAAGCTGATTGTAAAGACTGTGAAAAGATAACGGCAGCACGTTTTTGTTTCAAATGCGTTGGCTGTGGCGAGGTATATCATTGATTTCTTTTCTTCACTATTATATTCGATTATTCATTGCAGCTCATCTATTGAAAATCTCTTATTACATTAGAAATTGTTATAAAATTTCTGTTTCATGATGTGTACATTTGGTCAGTTTTAGGTAGCAGTACCGCTAACACATGTTCGAAATTCACGTGGATCGGACTGTTGTTCGATATGTTGTGATTCGCATATGAAGATAAATTTCATACTTCTCATTAAAATCAAAAACTAAATTTACTTTTTCTAGAAGAGGGAAGGCAGTGCTTTTTCTATAACAAAAAAGTTGTATTATTTTAGAAAGGATTTTCCTTGCTTTTGGTGATGTGGCTGATTTGAAAAGATGAGTTTAAAATATAAAATAAATTTTCATATTCGCATATTTTTATGCTTCATTTTATAGGTTATTGTACAGCTGAACTGCCATCATCACACATGCGTAGAATGCTTTTCAACCTATATCAAAACAGCTTTTACTGAACATCAATTCTCATTTATACCACCAAATGGTTACACCGTTGGTTGTCCGGTCTATGATTGTCGTGGTTAGCAACATATATAAATATACATAGTTAATTTTAAGAATATTCGGAAGCGTAGGCCGTATGGATTTCTGTTTTTCTTTATTTCGCACGTGTTAGCCTTTGAGACCCGTGCAAACTATTGTTTGATCAAAAAAGTTAAATTTAAAGTGTTAGATGATCATTCATGTTCATTGCGGAACACATAATTTTTTTACTATCTGCCGTGGTAGTTGGATGGCAGAAAAGTTTTTCAATAAGAAAATGATTGAGTCAAGTTAACAAAATGTAGAATGGTATTGATTTATGCACTTACAGGATGTGTTATCGATACGCACTGTTTTTATTTGTTGGGCAAATCGAATTATGATGAATATCAACGACAAGCAGCAGAACGTTTCGTTACTCTGGAACAAGAAGGAATGTTTTGCCCAAGAGCAAACTGCGGTGCTTCTTTCTTGTGGGAGTTTACTCCATCAAATCCTATGGTATGCCAATACATGATTCGAACGTCGAGTACGTTGAAAGATTGTAATAGTGAGTAGTATATGTCTATTTTTGGATTTCTTCAGCAATCACAGTTTTGCAATTTATTCGTCCCCAAAGGCTTTAGCAAAAAGTATGTTTTCTAGATAACTTGTCCGGAATGTTATTTCTCATTTTGTGGCTTATGTCAGCAGTTAGAATGTATTTGCTTGGAATCCGATGCTACTAAGAAAACAATCGAGCGTACATGTCGTAGATGTCCTTCTTGTGGTACTCCAACAGAACGGAATGGTGGTTGCGCTCACATGCACTGTTTGCAGTGTAGTGAGCATTGGTGCTTTTTGTGCGTCAAATCATGGAGCGAAGATTGTCAGTGGAATCACTGGTTCGACTGATGTATTTTACTTTTGCCTTTAAATTATAACTGCTATAATTGTTCCCTTACGCAAATACATGAAAATTTTTGCGTATAATGTAAAACCATGTTTTTCTTTTTAGAGCTTCATTTACCTCGTTTAAATCCATTTTAGTATGACAGATGTGAAAATTTTCCTTTAAATAATAATCACAGAAATCATATTTCTTATTGTATCTTTTGTTAGTGAGTAGTACGGTTTATTCAACTTGTCGATATCTGTAAATATATATTACTTAAATGTATTATGCATTATGAGTGACACTTTATCCCTAAGAATGTGGTACTCTTATTCTCACTGGAATATTTGATCCTCCTTCATAGTACTTTCAACTCATAGTTAATGTGCATCGTCGAGATAGTTGCCTTAGCAGTCATAGCTCCATTTCTTCAGGAAAAAGAATCCTGGAATGGCCTTACTTATATCGGCAGCTGCTATTTTGCAAACATGTTCAAAAATTAATTGCCGTCAGTTTAAATTGGAAGTGCACAAATAACATTAATACTGTATTTCCTCTAGCTGCATGAACCATCTTTCCCGGATTTCTGATAATGCTGCCTTTGGTGTATATATCCTCATTTTGTACTGATAACGATTCAATTCATTTGAAAATTGCCTTTCTTTTGTGATCCTACCTTTTCAAAGATAATCTACCCTTTGTTCAAACATTTTGAATTCAAACTCATGGCTTTGTCAGCAAATATCTGGAGTTTTAATAAGATTTTCACTCCTTTAAAAAATTCGCTCCCTCAAAATGCCATCCAGACCAAGGCATAAGTGCATGGATTTGATCAGATGAAACTGCGAAGTTTTGTACCCCGTATGGTAGACTTGCTTCCTGATAAATCAATGCATTAGCCTGATTGTCAACATGAATATTTTACAACGATTTATTCATAACTTTAACAAATACAGTGTAACCGTCAATTCGTCGCTTCCAACAATTTCAGTCTTTTTTCATTTAACTTTTTCTCTTCACGAATTCGGCGTTTGATTCCTCGCTTGATTTTGGAATAAACCCGTCTGCGTTTTTTCGGTATGAGCATTTCACGCAGCTTGAGTTCATGTCCCTAAAAAGGCAGATATTTAGTTCAGGAAGGAGCCTCAGTCAATTTGCATGTTCTGTGAAGTCTACAGTAAATATTCATAGCAATTGAATGCCCCTTGTTTTCAAAAAATATCAATACTCACCCGGAATTTCTGAACGTACTGCAGAAGTGACTTATGAATTGTTGGCTTACGTAGAACGTTCAAGTGAAGTTAAAAAAAGGTGGTGATAGGTTTAACTTCCAACACGTTTAGCTTCTTCCTTTCTAGAAAGAAAGAAACTAGCATTACTGAAAGACACAAAGAATAATCATTTTTACTTCTTCATTTAATTTCTTCTGCAAATTCTCTCTATGCATTTGGCCTTTGTTAACATTCATAGTTGGTATTTCCTTTTCTTTTTGAATTTTTTTCTTTTCTCGTATATTGCTTTTCTCTTCAGTTTCCATTTTATCGGTCGCGCTTGATGATACTAAAAGTTAAGATTCACTGCTTGATGTTTTGCAATGTCAAAGATAATTTAATCAATAACTCGACAAAGTTATCTTTCGGAATTTTTCCTAATAATAGTTCTAGAAAAAGAACCTTTTCTTAACACCTTCAACTGATTAAGCTGCTCTTCGTAAGTATTGTAGTCACTGGAAAAGGGTGACAAATGAGGTGGCAATATTGCACCGGGAAGATACTTCTTCACTGGAAGACAACTTCGTCTATTAAAACTATCGAAAACCCATTGCGGTTGTATGTAGCATCTGCAAATTTTTGTATGTAAACGAAAAACAAAAATAACGATTCAGTGCGGCATGTTACCCTGAGAAATGTCATTGTTTGTTGCGCTAACAACGTGGTCTCTTATGAATGTTAATGATGAACTGTTTCATTTTATCTGCGCTCTACAAAGAAGGAAGAAGATGAAAAGATCTCAAAGATGGTAAGAATTGAAATACCTATTAAGATTTCTATGATTGTCAAGCAATGGCCTGTCGACTATTTGATGTGTAATTTGAGCATCATTCTCATAATATTGTGCCGTTGGACAACATTCCCAAGAAACTAAGCCACCACAACTTCTGCAAATACAAGTCTGTAAACAAATTTCATGATATAAATGAGACTGAATGCGGTGCATCGTATTTTAAAGAGTGATATAATCCACGAAGATAGTGAAAATAACCTTATAATAATAGTAAGAACATCCTTCGGGACTTCACGATTCAACCAAAAACGACAGTTTGCAAACAGCTGTTTCCTCTTTTCAATATCACAAAGCTTTTCAGTGAGTTCATTACCAATTGTGTCATCGATACTGGCATCAATTTGTTCTTCATAACTGTCAAATTTCGACAGTGGACATGCTAGGCTGTATACTTTCCCTTCTTCGGCTTGATTATCATCTTCAGACTAAAACCTCTTCAAACTTTTATGGACTGAAAACAAAGTCCTTGAAGATTCTAAGATGACTTTTTTGGAATGGCAAATGACAGAGGAAAGCATGAAAGAGAAGAAATCACGCAAATAAAAACAACCTTGTCTAACTTAAAAGCAAGTTTAGGCGGATAAAAAAGTCCGATTGACTGATAAAGTTTGAAGTTGACGAATTCGAGCATTGCAACATAAAACTCCGCGAATGTTGCCATTATGGAAAAATCCACCTCACTCACATGTCCCACGCCTCTATCATGACCCACCACCCACGTTATCCGTTCACCCATCACTTCTGCTTCATAATAGATTCCCTTAATCGAGATAAAAACCTAAAATAGAAGTAAGTTCCTACATTTTCTAGTAATGATTCCATTGTCAAGCCTAGAATCTCAAAAGTTATTAAATGATGAGCATCTCAAAAAATATCAGAATCTATCAGATCGTACTGTTAACGATTGATGAACTAAATGAATGAAAATTTGCAATTAGCAACGAAACGAAACTGAAAAGATGAATTTGTTGAATCATATGGAAAAAGTTAGACAAAATGTTCTTTAATGGCTAAACTTATTGAGAGATTTTGATTCTATGATATAATGGTTGAATTCTGCTGTTAATCTCCGGGACGACGCCACTAAAGAGCCAGTAATAATTTTGGTGTGAGGCAAAACTGAAAAAGCAAATAGTAAACACAGTGCATCATCCAGATCTCGCAGTGCTGATTCGAACGTCGGATATCTGAAAAACAACGAAAGTTTTGATAAAAATGCATATGTGTAAAATGGGACGTCCAAAAATTTCTGAAACCTGCTAAATAAAACACCTTTCTTTCACAATATGATCCAGTTGATATTTAGGGCGTCTTTCGTATAACTTCTTTACGCGTTCTTCATCTCGTTTCGCTTTTGCTGTAGTCAGTTTCTTCAAAAATATCTGAAGATGCAAAAAATAATCTAAGCTCGACAAAACAAGAAAATTACATCCTACACAGTTTTGTGTCAGTTAATCTCATACATGAAGTTATTCATTTTTGATTTTGATTCCCAAACAGAACTAGCCGTCGAACCAGTAGGACACTGAAATAAACTCTCAGTGCCAGTCGTCAAACCAAGCCGCCTAATCCATGTTATCAGATTCACAAGGATAAAAGAAAATAACATATCTTATATTCTCGGAATTTTTTTATGATCGGTTCAGAAGCCAGAAAGTTGATATCTTTAGCATAATAGTACACTCGATTTCCCGTTGATCCCTTATTAACTTTTTTTTTATGCAACGGTTCATGAGGATAAATTCCCTTTAGAATACAAAGACGACGAAAATCCTTTAACGACAGCTGTAGTTTTTTTACTGCTCGCCCTCGACTAATGTAATTAGTAGCAGCTCCGGATTCGTACTAAAAATGATAAATTTAACTTAGAAGTTGAACACACTCATTTTGCAACATTATTGACATCAGTGTCGTAAACAAGAACATGCTCAAATTTTGGAGATTAAATTGGTATTTTGTCAGGTGACTGATAAAAACATCATCAAAAAAGTTTAAATAAATGATAATCTGGGAAGATATTACCTTCTTTTTGATGCGCATTGTTCGCCCTAAATCGTTCTGCACGTTTTCTTAATGATCCTTCTTCAATCCTATAAATATATACTAGAAGACAAAGAAGACATGAAGAATCTTGGTAGTTTTTATATAGCTCTAGTTCCGTTATCCTTCTACCTTCCAAATGGAGTAAACGAAGAACGATAATCATGAAGGTTGCTATAGAGCGAGACTGGAAATGTTGCACTGCGGCCCTTTTAGTTTGACAAGATGAGCGGTATGTGAAGTTTTGTAGGTCTATCGGCCGGTAAGCGTTATCTAGTTGTGTTGGTTGGGTGCTTGAATTTCAGTTGGAATAGGGGGTCATTTCTGAAAATTCTAATTCCAGTGACTTGGGTTTGTTTGATGATCACTCTAGCTTGAAGTATAGGTCGTTTTATTATTCATTGAATATAAGTATGACAGGAGAAGCTAAGTGCTAGCACTCACATTGTATTGCCTTCTTTTTACATTACTTAATGAGCTTGCTTACTGCTACATGGAGAGGGAATGTAGTATAAATTGGTTTACCAAGATTGAACAGTAGGCCATATTAAATAAGTACATAAAGCCTTCTTGATTGCTAAGGACTAGGAGATATGCTACTTTTACTGGTTTTCACATGATGTATTTGTTCATTTTAGGACATTAGCCGGGATTAACTATGATTTTGACTGGTGAAATTTATCAGTGCACTTATTATAACGATGGAATTTCAGTGATAAGGGATGAAACTCATTGAGGCACACGACACAGTAAAGTTCCCGGAGGGTGTTACATTCTCAGTCAACAAACGGGTGGTCACCGTCAAGGGCCCTCGTGGTGTACTAAAGAGGGATTTTCGACACTTGCATATGGAAATCGAGAAGATTGGTAAAAATGCAATCCGTGTGAGAAAATGGTTTGGAATACGGAAAGAAGTCGCTGCTATTCGTACCGTTTGCTCTCACATTGAAAATATGATCAAAGGAGTTACTAAAGGATTCCGATATAAGATGCGATCGGTGTATGCGCACTTTCCAATCAATATATCTCTTCAGGAAAAGAATACTGTTGTTGAGGTAAAGTTTGAATGATTCTTCTGCTTCGTTCAGCAACTTGCATGCATTTATCTGATTCTTCTCATTTCAGCTCTTGTTTGACGACTAGTAACTAACTGTAACTATAACTTGCTAACAAAGATTTTTCTAGGTATAAAATTAATTAAAATTAAAAAAGAACATGTGAAAAAGGGAATTAATACTTGCAAGACGTGAGTGGTGTGTACTTTGACTTGTTTATTTAAGTTCGATTTCCTTATATTTTATGGACGATTATAGCAGAAGTATTGTCGTGATATATAACAAAATTCAAGGTCCTGCTTCAGATTCGAAATTTTTTGGGAGAAAAATTTACAAGGCGTGTCCCGTTACCGGAAGGTGTTATAGCAACGATGTCGACCACCCAGAAGGATGAACTGATCGTTGATGGCAATGATTTGCAACTTGTTTCACAAGCAGGTCAGTTATAATTCATTGCAAGAGAATATGTGCTTTCATACTATTTTTAATTCTGTATTCATATATTTAATCGAAAGTTCTTACAATAAAACTGTAGACCTTGCAAACATTCGAAGTTTTTCCATATTGATAGCTTCATATTAGCATCTAAATCTGCTAGACAGCTTTTAATAATCGAAAGTTCTTACAATAGGAGTAACGGTTGATGATTTATTTGTAATATTCAATTCTGTTTTTATTTTATTGATTGCTAGCCTGATTTTCCTTGAGATACATTTAAACCAGATAGAAATGCTAACATTTTAAGGGCAAGTTGCCACCTTTATATTTTAAGCGGACCATTTTCTCTCGTGTAAATTGACTAGTTAAATAACTTTTTAGCAGCACGTATTCAGCAATCAACAACAGTAAAGAACAAGGATATTCGTAAATTTTTGGATGGTATATACGTCAGTGAGAAAACAACCATTATTGATAATTGAATCACGCAGTTTTTTTTGTTTGTTTTTTTTTGAATGTAGTTGCTCATAAAACTGTTATATCATTCATTTTTCTTTCCAAATCAGATGTGTTACGTTTATAGAAGTTTAAGCGATTATATAAGCACTGGTTGATTTATGCGACCGTTTTGACTTTTTGAAAGAGTTAGCTCGTCCAACATTTGTAAATTTAATAAATATATTCTGCTAAATTTTCGATATAATAATATATCTTGACATCTGAAAATTACTCAGTAAAATTATTAGAGTTATTGAGTATGGTTTGATGGAAGTAAGGCTAAATTTCGCGTGGTAGATAAACGTACGCGTAGTCACATTCTGTTAGGTTTACTTGATGCATTCGTATAATGGAGGAGTATTTCAGACACTGAAAAGTGAAATCTTAATAATAAATCCATTTAAATGACAGGTTTTTTGATCAAAAAATTTGGGAAGGTGTGGGGAGGGATCTCTTTTTCACCCAGATTAGATTCAAAAATTCGCATTTGGATTATAACTATTTTTTATTAAACTTATGAAACTTATTCCAGAGCAGGGGCGAGCTTCGTCTTTGTTATTCTTGTCTTTACAGCAGCCATGGCTTCCCAAGTTTCTAAATTTCGCTATAATAGGTAAATACTCTGAATTTTTTTGTATGTTCTGCAAAAATATCGTGTAAGACTTCGTTCGTAATCTGCTGCTCTAAGGACGCACCTTGGATGTTCTTTTACTGCACAACAACGACAAAAAATTTTATTTCGAATATCTTGACAGTAAGTTTACAATATACAAGGAAAAACAAGAAACAAATTCCGGTTTTTACTACAGGTAATCATTATAATGGTTATTATGCAGGCAGGATGATGAAATGGCAGTTACTATATGTGAGAAGAAAGATGCAATCGGAATTTCTGGACTTTTAATTTACACGAAATGACAGATAAGAGATTGTTCACATATACAATACCAATTCGAAAATTTTTTGAAGCGTCCTCTGTTCTTTGGTTTCAATTTTCTGAAATATGGATGAATTATTAAGGGGCCTATAAGTCATAAAAGTCCTGCAAATCCTTCTATTCCATTCGGATCTCAACAGTTTTTCTGTGTATTTCTCTAATACATTTCTACTGGCTTGTTTGATGTTTTCTATGAGTTCCTATCAATATAAATTGCATTAACAGCTGTTGTAATTAATTAGAGAAATTTCAGAAGTTCATGAAGTAGGAAAGAAATAAAGAGATTTAAGGGCAACATTGTCAGAAATTTTCTGAGTAATTCCTTTGCAGGATATTAAAAACAATTAATGCAACAGGCGGGATTTAAATATTGTGACAACTCTTGCCGTGAATTATGAGAGCATTTGTAATACCTTTAATATTGTTCATCATATTGAATAATTGAAGGGTGAATTCTGAGACTATTTTCGTTTCGAAAGATTTAATTAAAAATGCACAAAAGTTCAAAATATCAAACATGTATGCAAAATGATTGTGCAAATCTTACCACTTGTTTTTGAGACACACTTGACATCTACTCACGCGGTCTTTTAAACCACCCGCTTTAAGTGTCTGTGACATTGGCTTTCGCCATTGTTTATTCTGAAAAAGAAAGAAATAGATACAGGTGGACAGTTATGCAAGAATATTTAAAAGTTTCACTATCCAACACTTATTTGTCTTATCAGTAATAGATAGTCAGAAACAACAATCAGCTTAGAGATCATGATTAATTGCACATACCTTATCAATGATAGCTAACCAGAAGCCATGATTAGTTGCATAATGATTACATGTTCCTCGGCCATGACATTCGATAAATGGCACTGCGCGGAATTCTTCCAAACAACTTCCTGGTGATTCCAAGTTCTGTCCAGTCCCTTCAGCACCAGCAGCGGTATGCTATAAAGCATAATCATATATCTAAGAGTTAAAAGCCAAAAAATGAAAGGAACATACCATGACAAATGAATAACCGGAATATAGTGGTGACCATCCGTGTGGACATTGTGGTACATAGGAGTCTTGCGAATGTACCGCTAGGATTTGTGTTGGTGCTTCACAAACCGCACAACGTGATATATATGGCCTTATAGCTGTTCCGGATACCTGTAAAATGAAAAATTTGCATTTTTTGGGCGAATGAATGCTAAAAAAAAGTCGGGGAGCATGGTCTTTAAGCTTACCGGATTCATCATTTGTGTCATTGGTTCTGCGGTGGAGAGCCAGAAGGAGTAATCGTTTCGGCTAGAAACATGACAAACACTGTTCAAATTACAGAACATGAATGGCATTGGGCTGAATTTCGACAAACATGATCCAGGCTGACCTGAAATATTCCTTGCTACTTACAATTGAATCTCTTTTGAGTCAAACTTGCAGTGAAACAGCAAACAAAACTTCCACAACATCTTCAATCACTCTGAAATGTATATGGGGAAATTTCAGTAAGATAAATCAATAAGATTATTATACTATGAAGTTATTATCTGATATTTCAAACTGTTTTGGTAGCTAAAAAATTGTCTTACCAAGATCCTGACCACTAGCACGTCCATTTCCTTGTACGTATAGCAATGAATAACCGTTCCATAACATTTGCGATCCAGCCGGACATTGTGGTATTTCAGTTGTCTGCGAATGCTTTGCGAAAGTGAAACCACGTGATGGTGCCCAACCACCTGGTGGTCCTGGAAATCCGGGTAGTCCAGGCGGTCCCGCTTTTCCGATACGCCCCGCTAATCCTGGTAATCCGCCCGGTCCCGTCTCACCTTTGATGCCCGGTATGCCGGAAAGTCCAGGATTACCTGGTGGGCCAGGTAGACCCGGAAATCCTGCTGGTCCTGGTGGTCCTTGCATGCCTAAAAATTGATTTGAATATACTATGCCCAGCCCAATTTCAAGTTTCAGCTTGGCTTTTACAAATGAAAATGAATGAACAACTCCTCAAATGGGTAATAAATGTTACCTGGACTTCCAGTTTCTCCGGGATGTCCTTTTTGTCCAGGCATCCCAGCAAGACCTTGCTCACCCTTGGGTGAATGCAAATATTGGTTATAAACAGCAGGCCTACCAGGAGGACCAGGTCTTCCCGTTGGTCCTACCGGTCCCTGCAAACCTGGTATGCCTGGCAATCCTATTTCACCATGTATTCCTGTAAAAATTTTTATCTCGCCCATATAAACTTCTAAAAAATATCAGTCAAAAGATATTTAATTTTTACAACAAAACTTAGAATATAACAATCTGTTGTATCGAATAGTTGTATCGATTCAATTGATGAAATATTTACGGAAAGAAATAATTAAGTAGAAAAATGAATACCTTTCTGTCCTGGAATGCCGGGTAGTCCTGGCAGCCCTAAATTACCGGGATAACCTGGTGCACCTGAAACACCCGGTATACCTCGTTCTCCCACATGTCCAGGAAGTCCATCTTTTCCTGGTATTCCTGGCAGGCCGGAAAAACCTCTTTCACCTTTTGCTCCTGGATAGCCATCCATTCCTGCTGGACCAGGTAATCCACGAGCCCCATCACGACCTAAAATTATGTGAAATAATCGTGTAACAATGAAAGAAATAAAATGGTAAGAAGTTCGGGATTAATTTCATAACAGACAAACATAATTACCATTTTTGCCTGGAATTCCAGGAATGCCTTTTTCACCAACGTAACCTGGAAGACCATCAGAACCACGTATACCTGGTATACCAGCCATACCTGGTCCGCCGTCTTCACCACGTTCGCCTTTCAAACCTGGCAAACCAGGTTTGCCATCAATTCCAGGATAACCTGTATTACCCGAAGGGCCTTGAACACCTGCAAAACGTCTGTTTTGTTTGATGGTTATTACAATTGGTAAAGTTCATATGAGCAATTGTTATGAAAGCAAATATTTTGTCAATTTTTATAAAACATACCGAATCCAGGTGCTCCTGGCAAGCCAGGAGGTCCATCGTTGCCTCGAGCACCAGCAATTCCAGGTAAGCCATCCACACCTGCAGAGCCTGAAGCACCAGTGTCACCACATAAGCCTTTGATTCCTGGTATGCCTGGCAAACCTATGCTACCCTCATTACCTGGCATACCTGGTAATCCGGATAAGCCCATTTCACCCTGAAATTGTTTGAAATAAAGCAATTCAGCCAAGAGATATTGTTTTCTAGAAACATGTTTCCAAATCAGTATCAGAGAATATTTGAATTAACTAACTGGTGCACCGTTTGGTCCCATTACGCCAACAGATCCTGGAGTTCCTGGTTGTCCAGCTTCTCCTTTCCTGCCGTTCATCCCTGGCTGTCCCCTCGAACCACTGAATCCAGGCTCACCCGGAAGACCAGCATGACCTTTTTGACCCATTATACCGTCTAATCCAAGTGGGCCTTGAGGACCAGGAGTACCCGGAAGTCCCGATAATCCACGTTCACCTTTAATACCAGGTATGCCTGGTCGTCCATCAAAACCACGTTCGCCATTCCTTCCAGCATCTCCTTGCTTACCCTTAGCTCCTGTGAATTAATCAATTACATCCTTATTTTTTAGATAATCTAAAGTTGACAGCTTTTATTAAATTATGCTCTGAGTGAAAAGTAGCCTGTGAGTAAAAAGTAATAAGTTTTGTAAAAATGTTGGGTTTTACTGCCAATACAATTCCTATGCTCTCTTTTAGTAAAAAATAAATTTTGATGTATATCTCACCTGGATATCCAACCATTCCTGGCAAACCAGCAAATCCGTCAGTTCCATCAATTCCATCTTTACCAAGCTCTCCTTGGAGGCCTTTTAAACCTGGTAAACCGGGATAACTATTTCCTAATGAACCACGTTCTCCTTTAGTCCCCGGTATTCCATTTTCTCCAGGTAGACCAACAGGACCTTGTGGTCCTGGTAAACCGACGTCGCCTTGCGGCCCTGGATGCGCAAATTGTCCAGGTTCACCACGCATACCTTTTATACCAGGCAGGCCATCATAACCCGGAGCTCCTGATAAACCAGGAAGCCCTTCCAATCCAGGTGCACCAAGTAAACCTGGTTCTCCATCAACTCCCTTCAATCCAGGTATTCCATCAAGTCCATTGTCTCCTGGTATACCAGGAAAACCTGGCTGTCCTGGCAGTCCATCTATATTTCGTTCTCCTTTCATTCCTGGATAACCAGGTGCACCATCTTCACCGGGAGGTCCTAGTTTGCCAGGCGCTCCAACTTCTCCAGGTAAACCTGGCAAACCAATTAGACCTGTTTCTCCTTTAATTCCAGGAAAACCATTTCTGCCAGGGATACCACTTTTCCCTCTTAATCCTGGAACTCCTGCAGTGCCAGCTTCTCCGGGTCGTCCTGGACGTCCTATTTTTCCTGGTATTCCTGGTAAACCGCGTTCACCTTTTATTCCAGGGATTCCAGCTAACCCAGGATAACCATTTTCACCTGCAATGGATTTTCACATATTTCTCACAATCAGATCTATAACCACAAAATTTCTGCATATTTCTTTTCTTAAATAAATCATAAAGTACATCAAAAAGTAGAGATGATTGCTATTCTTACCTTGCGCGCCTCTCGCACCAACAGCTCCTAGTTTTCCTTGTAGTCCTAGCTTTCCAACATGTCCTGGATAACCAGGTCTACCACTTTCACCTTTTGCTCCGGGAAAACCAATTTGTCCAGCCAAGCCCAGACCAGGCGCCCCATGTAAACCCGGTAGGCCAACAAGGCCAGGAAGACCGTTTTCTCCCCGCAATCCACGTCCGCCAGAAACTCCCGGATAACCATCATCTCCCGACAAACCAGGAAGTCCAGGCGCCCCAGTTTGCCCTGGCTTTCCAGGATATCCAATAATCCCAGGTTCACCAACTCTTCCTGGTAATCCATCGAGACCAGGCGCACCTGGTAGGCCAGGGAAACCATCAGCTCCACGCATTCCTTTGAGTCCTGGTGCTCCATTGTACCCATCACGACCAACTAGACCTCTTATCAGACCACTATACGGTGGTCCTTGTGGCCCCATCGGTCCAGGAAGACCTGGTAAACCATCATTACCTCGCTCGCCCTTTATCCCGTTTATACCAGGTGGGCCTGGATATGAATCACCTGGTAATCCAACTGCTCCAGATAGTCCGGGCTAAAATAATCTATATTTCAGAAATATTAAATTTTTTTTTTTAAACTTTTGAAAGTATTAGATTTCCATCAGAAATAATTTCATGACTGGAAACTTACAGCTCCATCACGACCATGCTTTCCATTAATTCCAGCTAATCCTTTTTCCCCTGGAAAACCAGGTGTGCCATCCGGACCGGGTGGTCCGGGTAGTCCATCAGTTCCAGGCAGTCCTCGTTCACCAGGAATCCCTAAGAAAAACTGTTGTGAATAATGGTATAATACTGTGATGAATAGGTGCTATGATGAATAAGTAGCAAATTTCTCTAAATTTGAACTGGATAAATCAGATTTTAAATTTATGAAATTTATAGAGCATATTTTTATTGATAGTTTTGAAATTGTTTGAAAAAAAAATACGTGCCTGATTCCCCCCGTTCTCCTTTGCTTCCGGGGAATCCTCTAGGATTCTCCATACCACCAAGGATTTCGCCTGCTTCACCTTTTATCCCTTGGAAGCCCGGTAGTCCCGGTAGACCTTCGGAGCCCTGCAGAAATACTAAAATTTATTAAACATTTAGGCATTTTGGCGGAAGTTTTCAAGCATTCAGCTAGCAATTATAAATGTCTGAATTTCTACAATAATCAATATGATATCAGTACCTGTTGTCCATCTGGACCCACACGTCCTGGTTTTCCGGGTAAACCTTTTATTCCAGGAAAACCTTGATTTCCATTTGGACCTAAAGGACCTGGATATCCATCCTGACCCGGAAGACCAGCGTCACCTTTTTGTCCTGGCACACCCGGTGCACAATATCCGCAGTCATCACCCTTTTCTCCAGCATATCCTGGACGACCGGGTATTCCATCCAAGCCGATTCGCCCATTTTCTCCAGGCGGTCCTATTAAACCGAGCATACCAGGTGGGCCTACTTTTGAAACACCAGTTCCTGGAAATCCTTTTAGACCAGCCAATCCATGATCACCGACGTCACCCGGTACTCCAGTAAAACCATCGCGTCCAGGCCTTCCTTCTAATCCTGGTGGTCCTTGAATATCGAAACCTGGTAGACCTGGCTCTCCCATTATTCCGCAATCACCGGGAATGCCCGGCGGTCCTGCATCTCCCACGTAACCTGGATTTCCATCCGCACCACGATCACCTTTCTCTGAATATCCAGGTACACCACTCAGACCAGGAGGTCCTTGTAGACCTGGAGCACCATTTGGCCCTCGAGCACCGACTGGGCCCATTCCACCTGGGATACCTGTAAACGTTCTTCATAAAACTGCAGTTCGTCTTTTGCACACTTCATTTTTCATAGTTCCTGTGAGAGAGTAATTAATTATAGTACAAACCTGGTTGTCCTTTTTTTCCAGGTACTCCATCAAATCCCTGCAAGCCACGTGGTCCTGGCTCTCCTCTGCCTACACCAAACTCCCCCGCTGGTCCGGGATCACCCTCCGGGCCAATTCGACCGTCATAACCCAGTTCACCAGCAGCACCTTTCTGTCCAGAATAACCATCGAGACCTGGTACACCTTGAATGCCAGTTTCACCTTTTTCTCCGATCAAACCCATAAGTCCATCTTTCCCTCGTTTGCCCTGCAAATAAAAAAAATATTGCTGACAGAAAAATCAATGCGCGAGATATCTATTGGAGCGAGGACACTTTATTTTTGTGAAGCAACCTTTGAAAGACGAAGAAAATTGGAATTTAGTGGATTTTGGAGTAAATTACAAATAGTCTTACTCTGGCTCCTAAATCACCAGGATCTCCCTTTTGTCCTTTGATTCCAGAAAACCCCTGCGCCCCATCGCTTCCAGCAAAACCAGGAGGTCCAACCGGACCAACTCGTCCTTTTTCACCTTTTAAACCTATAATATTTAGTATGGTAACAATAAATAATGTAATAGAAAATAGAAGTTTGCTTGAAGGTGCGCTAATACTTTATGTACCTAATTGCCCAACAGGTCCTTGAATCACTTCCGTTTCTTCTGGAGCAGATGCACCAGCAAAAGTGCCTGGTGGTCCAGGTAGTCCTGGTGGTCCTGCTAAACCTTTTTCACCTTTCATACCCGGTGTTCGAATTCCCATGCGTCCTTTTGGGCCTTGAGGACCAGGAAAGCCTGGTGGTCCCTGCAAAAAAAGATTAATGAAGCCAATTAAAATTAAATTGAGCTAGCTGATTTGTTATCAAGAAAAAACTTGGAAAATGTAACTTACATACGGTCCAGGATCTCCTTTTGCACCTTTTGGACCAGGTAATCCTGGCATACCTGGTGTGCCAGGTAATCCAGCACGACCCGAATCACCTCGTTCACCCTTTCTACCAATTGAATTGATACCTCCTTCACCCGGTGGTCCAGGATATCCAGATCGACCTGGTTCACCAGGAGGACCTCGTAAGCCTGGAGGACCCGCTAAGCCTGGTAATCCTGGTCTCCCCTTAAAAGTTTGGATGTAACAAATGCAACACAAATTAAATGGTAGCGAAAGTAAATCGAAAAAATAATTTTATGGGTTCAAAAGGAAGAGCAAATCTTATTTAGGAATACTTATTCGGATTTTAATCCTCAATAAAATTTTATTATAAAATGATACATATTCGAAAGAATGTGAAGAAATTGTAAATTTTGAAAGAATTATTCATTCTGTTCTTTTCATTTGAATATGTCTAATTTGCACGTTATGTTTGAGAAAGGAATGCATTGTAAATAAAGAAATGAACTTACATCCGTACCATTGCAGCCTGGTACACCCATTTCACCTTTCATGCCAGGTAAGCCATCAAGTCCGGGAAGTCCAACATGGCCCGGTGCGCCTGGCAAACCTCGATCACCCTGTAAGAATTTTTACATGTTCATTGACAAGTTTTTTTTAAATGAAAATTTAAAATGCTTTTAAAAGAACGCGATCATTCTCAACTAAAAACTTACTCGAGCACCCTTCATACCCGGATCACCAAAATCTCCTTCAGCACCTTGCATTCCTGCTGCACCAGCCTGTCCTTCACCGCCATCTTCACCAGGTGCTCCAGGATGACCTCTTTCACCTTTAAAACCTGGTACACCCTAAAATGAACATAATGTTATAAAATCATAACTAATGAAATTCTTCCTTTACATTTCTTTTGAAATTTCTTAAAAAATTTTTATATACAGAAAAGCCTTTGCCATCCATCGTAAATAACAGAAAGTTTTGGATTTTTTGCCAAACAAAATATACTAAGAAAAAAAGAAAACAAATACCCGTTCTCCTTTTTGTCCCGGACAAATACAGGGTGGTACACATCCTTTACATGCAGCTGCATCAACGAATGCCGATAATCTTAGTATCAACCGTTCCGTAGAGAATGTTGCCAACAATAGTAATTTTAGATATAACATGATTTCGTGCTATTGAAATAAATTAATTATATATGTTGGACAATCTCCGTGCACCACGTGGTGCACCTTTTTAGATACGTGGTCGATTTAAGGGAATTATGGCTATCTCCGAATTCAACACCTGTAACTTTTCATATTTCAATCAATCATTTTCTCGCTACATAAACTAATATTTTTCAATCATAGTGATTCAACGCATCAAAAATTATGTTGACTCCTAAATCTCGATCTTTACCTAATCATTTTCGTTATTTATTCTTTCGAGCAGAGGTTGAAATTGGAACGCTTGGAAAAATCAGATGTATGGTAGAAAATGAAAAGCAGCATATTTCATCCTTCTTATGACTTTTAAAATTAAATAATCACGAGAAAAAAGAGTATCACAAAATTTTTTTAGATAAAAAACTATTTAAACAGGATGGGTAAAACAATAATACTTTCACAGTTTCCTCAAAGATGAAAATTGAAAAATCATTTGTAATGTGAAAAATTTCATAAAAAGTTAAACAGAACACAATGCTTTAATAATTTAAAGTTTGATCTATGACCTCACTTCTAAAATACAAATTTTCTTTCAATTTTTTTTCTTTAGCCTAGTGCTTAAATCACTTTCATTATCTTTATCAATAATATCATTATCATTCTTTCATCCAATTTGTTTCTTTACTCCTATCAATAGTAATTTATTGAACATATTGGATTGAAAACTTAACACAGGTCATGATGTCACCAATGAATTAGCACAAAAGAGGGCGAAATTGAACTCAATTAATTTTGCTGCATACGCATTACTCTCCCCTCTTCTTAATTTTTTCTACACTTCTTCAGAATAGAAATGAAAGTAAGGTTAAGTATTATACAAATAATATATCCAAGAATAAAATATCTGTGAAATCTTTTACAGTTGTAACTGCTGTTAACTTTCACGTACGATCACGTACAACTGTATGTTTCTCTATTTTTTCTTATTTGCACCACTTCATTATTGTTTCATTTTTCATGCAACTATTTTTTCCCCTCTCTTATATCATTAATACGTAAAATCTGTTTCAAATTGAGACATTATATACTGCGAGAGAAATTTGCATCTGAAAAATTTTTCTGAGCCTGCCGGAAATTATCTTTTCTGGCATTGTCTTTATCAGAATGTAGCAATTAAGATGAACATATGGAAAGTAACAAAAAAGTAAGCCAGAAGAATTATAAAATGATTTTTTGGAGCTAAGAATTGAGGCAGCTAAATTATGGCTACTTGGTGGCTTTTTTTGCTTCAATTAATTGTCAGAATTATTATCTAAAATATATTCTATCATATCTATGCTATCTATTCATATCATAATTAATAAGCCGTTAAAGTTTACTGAAAGAATTTTGTGAAAAGTGTAAATTTTCACGGAGATAAACAATAATAGCTAGTTGGTAGAGAATTTTGTCAAAATATAGCACTGTGTTGAAGAGAATAGCTTAACGGTTTCACAGCACTAATCGCTTAGCAAGCTGAGAGTGGAGAAGTTGGAGCTAAAGCTGAAATTGAAGTTGCAGTTGGAACTGAGTGCATTTCGTGAACGCATGGCGGTAATAAAACTTCCCCTTGTCTGCTATCTCTCATTCAACACTCAAATTTTCTCTCTCGAAGTTCCAGTCTTTCTCATCATTTAGTAGTTCCATCTTTGTCTCATACACTAATCAACATAGCGCCAGCTGCAATTCCAATATCTTATTTCTTCCCTTTGTTAGCAGTTAGCGTCTATTACACATTGATAAATCACTCAGAAATCAGCCACCTCTATCGGATATCGGCTATATTGCTCCACAAAAAAAAATCATTTTTTTCCTACAAACACACATACAACACACACACACACACACACACACACACACACACACACACACATACAGTCATAACATAAATGCAGAAGTTTTGTGAACGCAGCATTATAGTGGCTGGGATGAAGTTGCAACTATTAGCTGTCAAATTAGACGATAAGTTTGGTCGGTTGCACATAATTAATTTTACATACTGTGGCTCACAGTGACGTACGTGTAACAATCGGTGTGTTGATCGTGATTGGAGATGATAAAATGAAAAGCAGAGAAAGATAACCTATTTGATAGCTATATAATATTTCCACACCTGTGGAAGAAGACTTGTTACTTATGAAAATAGGAGAGGCCTGAAAGCTTTGCAATATTTCCGCTTATTTCTAACTAACCATATTGGAGAAGTTATTTTTTTCAATCGACCGGCTTTAATTCATTTCATTTTCGAAGCGAAGGAAGGAAAAAGAGTTGAATCAGATGGTGCGCAGATGTCCAAATTCTCGCATAATTCCTTCCTTCATTCATCCCTTCTAAATATTACATTAATCATTTGCAAGCTCTCCTACCTGAACAGATTTGCAATCGTATAGTAAACGACATTTATTATTGATTTATGGCTATTGATAACTGATTAGAAATAAATGAAATTAAAGCTACCCTCTTCCTTTTTCCCCCGAAAAAAACGGTTTTTAGGAATATTTGCGAATTGCTGGACAGAATATCCGAAAAGAATGTGATACTGAAAATCTGTGAAATAATCAGTTAACCGATACTGATAAATGAATGCAAAAAGAATAATGCGTAGGAAATTTAATTTATAGCATTCTGTTGAAAAGTTTACGGAAGGCATACTTTCTCTTCACTTCTTTACTGCAAAATTTATTTTCGTTCTGCTCAATTTTCCATTATTTTTTTATTATTTGAACTTTTCCAGCTTTATGGATTGAATTTCTCCACTACTTCACATTCTTTTCCGTTGAATAATATAGCAATGATAAATGTGTTCCTATGCGTACGTTCAAAATATTCATTCGTTGAATCTTTATTTACTCTTTTGAATCTTAGAAGTTGGCACTGTTCACCAATAATTATTTAATTATAAATATTACCATTCATCCTTTATTTGCTACATTTCACTAAACAAGAAGAAAGTCAAATTGAGAATGGAATACCGTAATTGTTGGCAGGTTTGAATTACGAAAGACGATAATCATCCCGTAGGTGTAAATCTTCTGAGAGTATTATCTCCTTTTTTTGCATTTTGCAAATCTTAAACAAATAATAAGTTGACAGCTTAAAAGTGGCGGTGTATGGAAATATTTATTTGGCAAACATTAACATCAAAATAAGCTTTACGCAATGGGAAGACAACAATAAGTAGAATTTAAATATCAAAATTACGATTATATGAACTGATGATTCCTCAGATATGTATCATACAGCACTAATCATTGATTCGTTGGATATTGATGAACACGCCAAATGTTCTGTTAAGTCAGTTTCTTTCCAGCCTTTCCGACTACCCTAAAATAAATTTGCTAACATTAATTTAAATAAAACTGCTAAAACGAAAGAAGAAAGAATTTATAGAGAAAAACTACTAAGATAATAGTATAGAGTAAGCGCAAATGTCTCACTATATAAATTTCTCGAGAAATAGATCAAAGATCACATCTTAAGCCCGGAAAAAAACAGTAAGTATAAATGAATACTTTGATGATTAAATAACCATTATTGGTTATGTAGGACGATATGGAGGAAAGTCGTACATCAGAAGGAATTGTATACTTCCGCGTGAAACTTCGGCGTAATCTTTGCGCACCGGTACCATCGTCTTCCAAGCGATCTCCGATTACACTAAGTGTATGCTGATGTAATGTTATCTGAAAAAGATATTTTCTACACGTCGTTGACGTAATATTATTGACATACAATGATTGGAATCTTTTATCATGAATTTAGAAGGAAACCTGAATATCTCTTGGTTGGAAATGCTTTGTGTTCAGTTGAATGGTGAAACCGTGCTCGGTATTAATAATATCACTCGATGAAATTTGTGATGAAACAGGGCATGATCGAAGTTCCAGCTACTAATTTGTTTTTTTTTTCAAAGCATTTAAAATATTTAAAAAGAAGTGTAACTGAAATCTAACAAATTATTAGTTTATAGTACTCATTTGATTTATGAATTGATAAATAAGCTATAATTTAACAGTTCTTCTAATTAATTTCAACATTTCTCCCATGGATTCCATAAATTTAATTTCTAATCTCATTAACATCTCGTTAACAAATTCAATGATGAAATATTAACTTACCAAAGTGTGACTTTGATTTGTGGTATTTAGTGATTTTGCACTACGACATGCCATACTTGAGTTACTGGCCATAACTTTATCTGGATATTTTGGTCGCCCAGATTGCCGTAATCCGTCATCTCTCAAAGATGTACGAGATTGCGCAACAATTTAATTAAAGAAATGTGAAATGTTTTATTCGGGAACTAACCGATTATATTAACAAAATGAATTAATTACTTCAAGCTACTAAGGTAAGTAATTATATCGCTCGCAGGCATATTTCATTCTGAAAATATATATGAAATATGTTTTTTTTGGGATCTTATCCTATAACTTTGCAATATCTGGCTGAACTTGACAAGATGGAATTCTTCACTTTAAAATTTCACTAATCCATCGAATGAAAAGAATGCAGAAAAATAACAGAATAAAAATGTTTTAAAATTGTTCAACTAACTACACATTCTTTTTTTGCTATTTTCAGGTTTAAAAAAGACATCCACTTTTTCGGCATAATTTTTGGGATTTAAATTGAACCTATTAGTTGGTAATCATTAAAAATAATGAATTATTTTATATGACAATAGACAAGAAGACAAGAATTTAAATGAATGAAAGATGTCCGATATTACTTAAGAAATTCTTTGGAACATAATAAATAATTCAAATATTGCTTAAAGTTTAGCTGAATTTATTTTCCTAAATTTGATCCCCAATCAAATAACACTCTAATTTATCAGACCTTGAAATTTAAAAATAGCAAAAAATTGAAGTAGTTTTAGTTTCATAAATAGAAGAATATATGAGGAGGGTATTCCTATCCTTTTTATTTAAACCTTGATTGTATCGAATTCGAGAGCTTATAATTTCATCTTCAACTAATTATTCATTAAAATTTGAGAGCAACGCTTATCTGATTGATTCCCATGTCTTTCAAAAAAAGTTTGAAATATTAAATATAATTCAAAATCGATGAAATCCATTGAATAGTGCTAATTTTTTTGTAAAAATCATTGTACAGCATACATTATAAAGGAAGAGATGAATGATAAGAATGATTAAAATAATAATTTGTTCACATTGGACGATAGCTTGGGCGAGCAATATATGTGATTGGCATAGATGTTGTATGTTGCTGTTGTACTATCTTTTGCGCCACGCTCTTTTGTCGCTTCCATTCTCCGCAATCTTTTTCCTACAATTTTTTCATATCCAAAACTAAGTCTCTTCATCATACAATTAAAGTAAAGTATAAAATATTTGTTCTGAATTGAAAATCGAATAGGATAAAAGGAAAAATAATATATGATAGTTAATTTTTCAAGGAAGAAGAAATATCAGGGCTAAGTAATGTTGCTTATAAGATTTTTGAAAATTTTAATTTAATCTTTTTCTACTTTTTATAATCTCAATTAGTCAATCATAGCAATAGATATTACTGTCAGATGAAGTAAATCAATCGTTTCCTCATTTAATTGATGTGTATGAAATGAGATGAAATACGGAAATATTTCACGGAATATTTTACAATGAAAAAATTCCATCGATTTTTTTGCATTCATTGACTGATCGGATCCGATCCGTCCATTTATTCAATTATTTATAGCAGAAACGCCGAGAATTACATACAATAATGTTTACGTAAACATTTCATATTTCTTATCAATAAATACAATAATAAAACGAAAACAAATAATCAGTGTAAAATTTATCAATTAAATTATACTTTTAAAGTAATCATAAAAATCACTGATTTATCACTTAAGACAAGAATATATATAGCCACCTATTGTTAATTTATTATCAACCAAAGGTCAAAAGCAAAAGTTAAAAGCAAACAAAAAACTAACCAAACTGTTGTCAACTCCCATCAAATTTTTATAATATTCGTTTGATTCGTAAACACGAGACATTCTTCCCATGAAAATTGTTGTTATAAAAAATTATTGAAATTAAATAAACATTTGAATATAACAGACACACATACACACACATACAAAGACACAAACATACACAGCACACACACACACACACACACACACACACACACACACACATACACACATATATATATATATATATACAATTACAAGCGCCAAAAAACAACCGTTCAATATCGCAAAAATGATGAATAAGAAGGAAAATGAAAGGAAGAGAAGGAATGATTGATTTATGAATTGATAAAGTGAGAGAGATCAGAAGACGGTAGGGTGTCAATATGCCTTTATGCTTTACCATTTCTGTTATAAGCAACTGATAAAACTGTTAGATTTTCTTCTTTCCCTTATAATTATCGATATATCAGCTTATATTTGATACTGATAAGAAAGATTATTCTGTACAATACCGACAATCAATAGCTTCCATTATGGTCAAATTCAAATTTGAAAAATTTCCACGATAAGTTGAACAAACTGATTGATCTCTAAATGATTCAGACTATTTAGTAATAAATTATTTATAATTTAACAATAAGAAAACTTTGTAAAAAATGATAAGAGAAAGAAAAAGGAAGAAATAGAATTTAACTGTGTGATTCATCAGGGAAATAATTTCATTGAAAATAGAGTAGTTAGTATATGTTAATGAGATTGTCCATTGAATGGAATTAATTATTCCGAAACAATTTCGATAGAAGAAATATTTGAAAAGTATTTTTCTTTCTTTACTATTTTTATGTAAAGCAATGAAAAGACATTTTATTTCAAAATTTAACTATTTCTTCTGAATTCTATGCTTTGTTATCTTTCTAAATGATAACTTATGTGATAAATATGATAAAGCTTTAATCCAATTACAGTGATGTTCTTTTGAGAAAAGAATTATTAATTCTTAATTTAAGAGAAGCAGCAATATAAGTTTGTTGACATAAATGCTTCGCCAGCAAATGCTTCAGTTGTCATGTAATAATCAAGCATATCTTTATATGATATTATCAGGTAGAAGTGTTTGAGATACGATAATCCGATTTGTAATGAATAATATTTGAAGAAAAATGATAGCTTTTAATAATTTAAATCATTTATCAATGTGTGATAATATTTGCAACATTTGATATAATGCTGAACTTTTCATGAAAATAATGATAATGATCCTAATCATTAAGAGTACCTGGTTATTCAGTGTATCCAGTGTTTTCCGATGATAACGCTAATGTATGTTTTGATACAGCCATTTTTTAGAAAATGCTCATCAAACAATTTATCAAAGTTTTTTACTTATTAATTTAATAAATATTACTTTTTAATCTTACCTAAAATTCTTATCACCTGAAAATTTCAATCATTTAATTAGTATTGCTATCTCATAAAATGCTGCAATATGATTTTATAGGAATGCATTTTTTGTTTTGTTTTAATTTTCTTTATTGGAAATTTCACATGAGAATAAGTCATGAATTAATCATATGATGAATTAATTGAATATGTAAAAGAGCATTAACATTAAAAGGAATAGAGAAATGAGACGAAAAGATAAATAAACATTAGAAGAGATCGGCGACATTGTTAGAAATGTGAATGCACTCGACAACACTATTTGAGTGCATTCATTTAAAAGTGATGCATGCATTTGCACATTAATTCAGAAATGGTACCAAGCAATTTTCTAGAAGAAAAAGTTCCATTGAAAATGATTAACAATTAATAATCGATAAGAAATAACAAATCATTTCCTTTAATCTCATTTTAGTCCCCGTTTTAATTCATCAAAAATAAGCATTTAAAATTCAGCAAAATGATATTATTTTCATTTTATTGCATTTTTATGTAAATCTATCTGAAGCAAAATTTTACCATTTTAAAATAATTAATTGACTAAATTTAATTGATAACCTTTGAACTTCGAAGTAGTGTATTTAAATTAATGTTTATTTAGTGGAATTAACTGATTAAAATATAACTAATTGTACATAATATTTATATTAAAGAAATTTCTTGTAAAACACGATGTGAGATTAATAATTTGATAGTGTAAAGTGAACAACAGATCCTCTCGAGAAAATATAAAGAAAAATGGATATTCGAAGCTGAAATCCATTAAAACTTAATTGAATAAAATAGACGAATTTCTTCCTATACTGAAGCTATTAGAAGTGAATGATTTTACATATAAGAAAAAAGATGGGTGGTAGGAAAGTTAGGAGAAGTAATGGTTGTCGAATATTTTCTGTACAATCCATCCATTGATGAAGTTGTTTGCATAACTCAATGGTTTTTACATTCGATTGTTTTATTTTTCGTTTCGTATGTTAGCTAAACTTCAATGAAAATTTGAAAATCTTTTTACCACCAATGTTTAAATAAAATGAAATAAAATAATATTATAATTTCAAAAAAAAAATAACTTTCAGGTAAGGTAAGAGATCCTAAGGTAAGGTAACATTCAGGTAAATTAACATTTGAAAAAGTCCTAAGCAGATTTTTTTACTATGAAACAAAGAAGTGGAATGAAAATTTCACTTGCTAATAATAAATCAAATTAGCTGAAATAAAAGAGACACCGATAAAAGTGATTATTTAACGAACGCTGAAAAGAAATACATATCCTTCGTACATTTTTTGACAAAAGGAAAATTTCGACTGTCAGCAAATTATTTGTGTTAAATTAGAATTTATTTCTTTGAAAGTTAGTGGCTTGGATTTTGAAATATAATAATGAATTACTATTAAAATAGCAACAAATTTTTGCAAAATTCGAAAATTTAAGTTAAGAAATTTACGAAAAAAATAGAAATAAAAAAGGATTTTTGCATAAATTCAAAGATTATGGGCGAAAGAGAAAGCATAGAATTGTAAGTAAAAGTGAAAGATAAATAATAATTAATTGTACTTGAAATTAAAGTGATCATGATTGAAATGATCCTGTATATCACCAATGAATTGTTATGGATAAATAACTGATCAATCATTAATACATATGCAAATATAAACAGTGTCTGTCTATAATCCAAAAGCAGAGGCGCTAAAATCCCATGACTCACTTCGGCATCATATTGTATGACTGTTGATAGAAAAATAAATACTTTTTGCATATTTCCATTTACCTTAATGATTTCAATTCTGTTCAATAAGAGGCATAAATTCCTGGACTTATATGCCACGTAATTCGATTAAGCAATTAGATGATAATTATCAATTAAGGAAATAATTATTTTTAACATTTATTTCAATGAAAGAAGTAAAAAAATTAAAGGACTTAATATTGTTTCTGTAAGCAAACCAAATTTCATTTTTCATTTTATTTTATGAAATTTAATTTAGCACAATTTAACAACTCTCCTTCCATTCATACTTTGATATATTGATAGAGAAAGAAGAATGTGTACAATGTACGTCTTATCAGATTTGCATCATACTCCTTATGCGTTAAACTTCACCAGCCAAATTTAATTAGCTAAGTTTTAATGGCTTCTGTAGTTTTCGACTACCTCACCCTTACCTTTATCATTCCTCATTCCTTATTATCTCATTATCATATCTTCACTTCCCTGGATGTGTCTGCGTATGTGTGTGTGTTCTTATCGTAGACTATAGCAATATTTAACAAGGCATCTGATCCCTCCCACATAAATGTCACTATTACGGATGAAACGTCTATCGATTTTGTAAGTATAACCATTTTGAAATCTCCAAATATCTTATCGATAAGCAAGTCGGAACTTTGATCCTTCTTCCGTTCTGTCTGATAAAAACCAATTCACAACCAGTTTGCGGGATGATTGGTTGCATTTGAGAGCATAATTGTTGGAGCCATGGATTCTGAAAGATAATTCACCTGTGAACGTACATATCTTGTGAAGTAGTAACATCAGAACTACATAGAGGATCAAACTTCGACATTATCGGTTTGATAATTTTCAGAGATGTCATGGCGTCCAGCATTGTGCACTGCCTATAAAGCACTTATTGGCTCACATGGCATGTATCTTTCGGTACATTTTTCACATTTTGATAAAATCTTTGGAAATATGGACCAGTTTTCTTAAATTTGTAATGTTTTGACATAAGTTCGGCAACGATCTGCTTATATTAATTTTAATTTGTGACACTATAAATTAGCAACACGTAAGTAGTAATGGGAAAGTCACTTAATGTATCATTGTTCGTTCAATGAAAATTTATTAAACAACCCTTTTTTAGAAACAGTATGTTTAATTATTTAATATTGTTGTCATTTAGCTTAGGACGGCAGCAGCTTATGCATCATGCGATGTATGGCGTAATATTTCTGCACCCCAAGTTACATCCTTAAAGAATGGATTTCGCATTGTCACCGAAACTAAAGAGCTACCAACTGTTGCCGTAAGCACTACTTCTATTTGCCCAAAATTTCATAACTTCATTGCAAATGTCACCATATTTTGTATACTTTTTTGATCGTACTACAAAGCTTGTTTATTCTTGTTTACCATAGTGTTGGCGTAATTACTGATGTGTTTATTAAGACGTTTATATCTTTTTCATAGGTGTTGCCGTCAGTAGTTGCTCATAACCACAATAATATAATTTCAAAAGCTCAGATATTACAGGTCGGCGTTTGGATCAATTCCGGAAGTCGTTTTGAAAATGAGGCAAATAATGGAATTGCAAATTTCTTGGAACACATGATATACCGTGTATGTTTGGTTTTAAAATTCGTAAATATTAATTTGGTTCAAAAGAAATTTTCTTGTTTTGAATTAAATATGTTTACAGGGCACAGAAAAACGGTCGCAAACAGAACTGGAGATAGAATTGGAGAAGATCGGTGCAAGATTTGATTCATATACTTCCAGAGAACATAATGCGTTTTATGTGCAGTGCGTCCCAAAAGACGTAGAAAATGGTATTTTGATTTATAGAGAAAGAAAATTCCTTTGCACTAAAATGAAAATTGCTTGAGCATTTATCCAGTGTTGAATGTTTTTAATTACTGCAGTGGTGGCACTGCTGGCCGATGTGCTGCAAAACAGTAAATTAGACCAAGCGGCTTTGGAAACGGAGCGTACTCGAATTTTGTGTGAAATGAATAAAATGGCTGAAGATCACAGTGAAATGGTTTTTGATTATCTTCACAATGCTGCTTTCCAAGGAACACCTATGGCTAAATATATCCACGGTACGGAGTATACAGTGAGGTAAGTTTGATGTGTTGCAGACATGTTTTTTATTTCCAAACTTTTTAGTTATGCGCCATTACTCAACTGAGAAATAAGCTTTGTTTCTAAAACGAATAAATAAGTCAAATATATCTTCTAAAATGAATAAATCATATATATATTCACTGGGATTATTTCTGTTTGAAAAAGATCATAAAATGATAAGGAGGACAAGAAATTTGTAGAGATAAAAAACTATAAAACTTTTGTCAGCCATTTATAATACACACTTACAGGAATTTGACACGAAATGATTTACGCAAATATGTGGATTCTCAGTACAGACCATCTCGAATGATCCTAAGTGCAGTTGGCAACATTGAGCATTCCAAGATTTCAAACCTTGCTGAACGATATTTTGGTGATCTTTCAAAAGGTCAATCAGGAAATACTTCTGATTCGAAAGGAATTCGTTTCACGGGAAGCGAGGTGATTTCTAACCTCAGTAAATGCAAATGAATTTTATGCACATTTTAAATGTTCGATATTGGAGTGGTACTTTACCATTCTAGAGAATTTTTTATAATTCATAGATGGTCAACTATTTTAAAATTGCTTTTCGAATTATATTTTTTTAGCATTTATATAATTCCAAGTGTTTAATTAATGTAATATTTCAGTTCCTGTATCGGAATGATGATATACCCTTCATGTATGGCGCATTGGCAGTTGAAGGTGTTGGTTTTAGTCATCCCGATGCTATCCCGTTAAAGGTTGCAAGTACGGTAAGCTAAAGCCGTGTGTAACTGATTTTTCGTCTCTTTATTCGCCTTCTAAAAGAGAAATGATTATAGAAGTATTCAGTGTCCATAAAAAAATATTGCTGTAAAACAGGAAAAGATTTTTATGCCAATAAAAGCATATTCCTCAATAATAAATTATATTTTCCAGATGATTGGTGATTGGGATTGTACACAACTGTCATCAACGAATGCTGCCACTGCTGTTACGCAGAAAATTTCTACAGGCTATGGTGTGCATCATTTGAAGTCGTTTTCCATCAATTATAGCGACTGTGGTTTGTTTGGATTCTATATCGTTATGGACGGTAGCGATGTAGCATCTACGACATTTGGCATGAAGGAAGTTATTCGGGGATGGTAAATAATAATTTGACTTCGAATTAGTAGATTATGACTAAAGTAAATCATAATGATTATGGTTTTATGAAAAATATGAAACCTTTTTAAAGAGTATTGAAGAAATATAGCACAAAAACATTAAATGCGCTAAGTCGCTTGAGATGACATTTAAAAAACATTAATCGCTTGAGATGACATTTATGCGGTATAGTAATGAAGGCAATGGTTTTAACATAAAAAAATCTCGAATTTGCCATAATCGCAATTTGTTTACTATCAGAGCTACTTACCGATAAATTTTGAGGAAAAAAATGGCTGTAGGAGTATCTGAAGAAGAAGTTGAGCGGGGCAGGAATATGTACAAAACAATAGTATTTTCTTCATTGGAATCAAGTGTTACGCGTGCTGATGATATTGCTAAACAGGTATGTATTTCTTAGTAATTGGTTCCATTCATATTTGTAACTCCCGGCCAAATTTGTCACTGTCTAACTCATTAGTTTTTGTTTGATTAAATATTTAATCTGTGATTAATTTTATTTGATATAGACCAATCAATGATAACCATTGTAACGAATCTCTTTGGGTTTTCATACATTAAATACTAGTTAAGTAATAAAAAAATATATCAATTGCCTATTATGAAATTTGATTTTTCATATAAAGAATATATTCCCTGTAGGTCTTTTATACTGGTACTGCGCAATCATTGTCCGATCTTGAAAATGCTATTGAAAGTGTGGATAAGGAGGTAATAAGTGAAGCTATGAACAAGCACGTTTATGATCGAGACTTTGCAGTTGCAGGAGTTGGTATGCATTACTTACCTTTTTCGCAATTCAACGTTATAAGTTAAATGTATGAACTGGAAATTATAAATTATTTTTGGATGATTCTTTGAAACTGATCTGTCATTTTGAAAGCTTCAAATTTACTTTTTTGCAGGACGCACCGAAGCTTGGCCAGATTATTATCAAATGAGAATAGGCATGAGTTCTTGGCGATTATAAAGTAGTAGTGTGATTTTTTTCAATTGTAGTATTTCGATATTCCAGCACTATTGTGGTCTTCATTACTCTGTATTATTCCGCAGATTTCTTTTTTTGTTGTAGGTGAATAAACTTTGTTACTGTATCAGATTGCTGTAATAGATCCTGTATCGTATCCTTCGCTCTTTATCGAGAGGTATAAATAGTGATCAGGCTCTGAAGAATTTTTTGGCTCTATGTATTTGCGACCATCCCTATTTATGAATTTACCTGAAATACATTTTAGAATTTTTTTGTTTTCGTTTAGTAATCGCCTAAATTGCATTTCCAGGTGCTACTAAAAAATTATGGCGACTTTAGTGAGAACTCATCAAGCAGCTTTGAAGAAGGTGATGTTTTGTATGCATCGTTTTTCGCTACCACTGATGAAACTTTGATAGTAAAGATGTTTTCTAATGCACTAAAATATTTTTTCAGTATTTTCGACAAAGTCGGGGAGTTGTTTTAAGGAACAAAATTATCAAAATAGTTTGTTTTAAAAAAATGCCTCCTGTAATTTGGTTCTACTCCAGGTGTGCGGTAATCAGCCAATTGGATGTTTGCAAATATCAATCCCCTCAAAGGGTAAAAAAGGCACTATTCCAGTAGTAGTGTCATCCATCCGAAATTTGGATGCTCCATCCTCAGGTCACATGCTGCCTACTATATCTGTTAAACGAATTATTGGTTAGTGAGAAATCTAGATTAATTTTTCTCATGTTTTATTTGGACATGAAAGAACAATCCTGGGTTATGATCCCTGCCCAATGTTATGTCATTCAACATGAACTGTACTGAATATTGAGGTCATAGTTCAGGATTGCTTGCAAATATGACGAACTATATTTTAATATGCATATATATTTTAAATATTTTAAATATATGCAAAAAGTGTGAAATTTTATGAATCTGTTCAATAGATGAGTCACTTTGTTATTAGTGGCATATTTTGTTCAGTCGGCTTTTTAGCAACATCACGTCGTTTAATTCACACCGATATAACGTTTCCGAAATACCATGACGATGAACGATCGAAGACAACTACTGACTCAACAAAATCAGCTAGAGATACCGAGGATTACCGCCGCGCAACAGCTCAAGGACTGTTGTTTGGAGGTTAAGTCATTTCCAACTTATTAATATTTCGCCATTGCTTTTAAAAGTTCTTACCTCTATAGATTTTCTTCTGTTACTTAGCAATAATTTACAGTAAATGGAGCAGTTTACTTCTATATGGCTACGAAGGTTGTACAGTCATTTGTCACTTATAAAAGTATGCCAGCTGATCAGTTAGCTATGGCAAATACAGAAATTGATCTAAACGAAATTCCTGAAGGGCAGGTAAGACTAAACTCAAATTTTCAAAAATAAGGCTACGATATGTTTTTGCGCATAGCAAATTTGTTTTATGCAGCATCTATCATGGAAAAATTCTTTTTGAACTTAACCAGTTCATTGAATCTTCAAATAAGAATTAGATTAGCGTCGTTATTGTATTCGATCATTCTTCATCAGTAATAAAGTTGGAAATTGATTTTTTTAGAAATTTGTATAATATATCCCATTCAATGATGTTTTTTTAATAAAAATCTTCATCAAAATTCCTTTTCAAAATCTTTTAGTGCAAAACGTATACTTGGCGCGGCAAACCGTTGTTTGTGGCTCATCGTACTCAAGATGATATCGAAAAAGCAAAGAGTGTGAATTTAAGCGATTTGCGGGATCCACAGACTGATAATGAACGAGTAAAGAAAGATGAATGGCTTGTAACTATTGGTGTTTGCCCTCATCTTGGATGTGTTCCGCTAGGTGCGAGCATTTCCAGTACCCTGACTAGTTTTAATTTTTAAAAAATTCAGTGATCAAATTCAGCTAGCAGAAATAGATTGAATATAGTTTAGCAGTGACGTAGTTGTCTTATTTTGTGAGGCGAGAGCAGTTCATAGTCTATGTGTAATCATATTAATATCGCCAAATGATATGCTAAACAGCGGAATAAACTGACGTTTATCTTGGCAGGTATGCTCAGAAATCTGCGAGGTATTTGTAATTAAAGAAATAAACACAAGAAGTTGGTGAGTTACCATTAAACAAACATTAATTTATTGAATATCATTTTTATTTTGTAGCAGGAAAAGGTGATTTTGGTGGTTATTACTGCCCATGTCATGGTTCGACATTTGACACCTCTGGTCGTATACGCTTGGGACCTGCACCAACTAATCTTGAAGTGCCACCTTATCAAATCATTGATAATAAATTGATTGTGGGCGATTGATATATGGAAAGTGCAACCAACTATACGAATAAAGTTTTAACATTTCGTTTAGGAATTCATTATCACAGCTGTTGGATTCTGGAAGGGAGGCAGGAAGTAGAATGTAGTAGTTCCTGTGTTAATGCTCAATTTATTGTACTTCAACACTTTTATCTCTTCATGCACTTAACTCATCCACTTCAGGTTTTACGGCTTAACTCCTCTCCCCCTAGTGCCCTAAATTGCGGATTAGAATAGTTTCCTCCGTGCTATAATACCATTAGTTGTAGCTTTTGCTCTTTATTAGGAGCACTTGGTACTAATTAGTTTTTTTATTTCATTAGTATATCAATTTCATTGTGTAATTTTCATTTGGTTGAAGATGCGATATACATTATATACATACCGCCTTTCAATATATATGATTCAGTGCATACTGGTCCTCCAAATAGTTAGAGATGAATGATTTGCATAAAGAGTTCGATGATGAATGCTTGATATTTTTGCTTATGGCACGGAACAGAGAAGTCCGTCAGCTCGTTGTGTTCTTTTCGTTGAAACTTGATTTGCCGATGAAAGGACCAAAAGTTGCAATGCGATTGCAACATAGTAATGTGATACCGCTGAGGAGTTCATGTCATTATAAGATGCAATTGTGCGGATGGAAAGTATTGACGGCAATATTGCTTAGAACTTTCTTTTATCGCATTAAATTAACTTTTCCTGTTAATAGTCTTACATGTCTTCGTTTAATCCCACATTTGTGATCCCACAACTCAGCTAATGAAATGCTTTTACCTCATCAACTCTGCCATAAATCATCTCGTCATATGTGTTTAACGTAGAGAGCTGCTTATGGCATGGATTAGTTTATAAATGCATTTTAGTAAATCATAAGTATGGTGAGCGTCTTGAAGTTTTCGTGAATTCGGAGCATGCTGAGCGGATTTAGCGTGCTTTGATTATTGATCCTGCGGGTGGTGTCAAAGGTTAGCGTTGTAGAGTTTGGTTGAGTTCAACGCTCTCAAACTATTCTAACATCTCCGGAAACCCACTGTGTGATCAAAGACATTCAGCATGACATGCATTCTCATGGCCTTACTAACAGAAAAGTCACCTCCACTATTTTTTAATCCTTTAGCTATTGTCCTATCACGCATGCGAGCTTATCTTCAGAGCATGTATCCACTGATAAAGGAGAAAGTCTATTTCTGGTCGACTTTAGATTTTTCTGTACTGTTTTTTTCTTTTTCAAGTAACGATATATATAATAAATTTACGGGAGCACTAACAAAATAATTCCACCGGTTGTTGAATAGTTTATGTGGTAGTGAGTATAGAAGTATTATTCTCTGAAGTATTTCAAAAAATTTCGTGGCCGACCTGGCAAAGAAACAGCACTAAATAATTGTAAAAACCTGCCAAAGTTTGAAGAAGACTAATGATCAGATTTTTTTTCGTGTGCTGCTGCCAATGAAATTATTACTTGCAGTTCTGCGGATGTTAAGACATCTGATTAATGGATCGCGCAATAATAAACAATAACCAAAGAAGCGTTTGAATTTGGATATTCACTAGGAATTCAAAAAACTTCCATAAAACGGAGTCAAAGGAACCTTTGCAAGATGTCTAGAAAATCACTAGTCGTAGGTTTTATTATTCTCCATAGCATTCTCAGGATAGGAAGACCTTTCTATGAACATAAATTCCTTATGAGAAGTTTTGGCTAATTGTTATACATATATAATATATATAATAAATTTACAGGAGCCCTAACAACAAAGTAATTCCACCAGTTGTTGAATAGTTTATATGGTAGTGAGTATAGAAGCATTACTCTCTGAAATATTGGTTGATCAATAATTAAGCATTCTCAAATGTGTGATAAATGATAAAGACAAAGGAATGTTCATAACTTTTCTTAAAAGCCGGGAACTGAAAATCAGTTTCTTTTAAGATGCTTTCAAAGTCAGAGTTACAATAAATAAAAAATAAAATCCCAGGTACGGTTTTTCCATAAGGTTGGTATCTTGGCATTGAATTTATAAATATACAAATTCATGTGTATATGTTTATATTTGTAGTTCATTTCCGGAGTGCGCTTGGAGTTATTAAAAAAAAAAAAAAATTACAGGAAAATTACAGGTTATATATTTGCACCACAATCGTCTTGAAAATTACAGGTTATATATTTGCACCACAATCGTCAGTTAAAGAGTTCAAATATGAACTAGTTCAGTTTTTAATTTTCCTGCTAGTATCACCAGTTTTTAATTCCGTTTGCTAATATCACCTTTTTTGTTATCAAAACAACGTTTTGAATTTGGTGCTTACTGTTCTTGATGACGTTCATTTGTTTAATTAGTTGTATTCTCAATAACCGTTTTTTTGTGATTCTCAAGATCACAGCTTAAAGTTGACTTGTTCACTGTTTAATTAATGCTTTTATCGTTTGATAAAGAATGGTGTGAGAGATACTAGGCTTGGTTTCATAACTGGAGATGTAACAGTTTTGACACTAAACTGTAAGAAGATTCATTCGAGCCTTTATATGATTCTCAAATAAATTTGAATTCTGTTTTCTCTGACCAAAATAAATTTATGAAACAAAAGGAATACGATCATAATGTTCATATTCAGCTTTAAATATAGTTGCTCTAGACGTTGCTTCAGGATGCGTGATGTCATCGGAAAAGAAGTCTGGTGAGAATGTCACCTCAGCGAACGACTTGAATGACGCACATAATGTTGCTCAGTTAAGCAAACCAGCTAAACTTGCCAAACAAAATGGGGTAGACGAAGAAGTATGTTTCGTGAAAATTTTAACGTTTTTTCATATTTTTGCTTCTTTTTTGAGATTCAGATTTCAATAAAACAGCATATCCTGTTTTTGGTAGTATATACATTGTTAACAACTTTTCAGGACGTAGAAGAATACAGTGAAAAGTTCAAATCAAATAATGAAGAAATTAAGGAGGCGACGGCTGTGCGTATTCAGCAAATGGATAACAGCAGCATGCATGAAACAGTTTTGATGGTCGTAGCTATCTCTTATTCTTAGTGCAAAGAAAGTCAGAAGTTGTTTGTATGGTCAAATTTTTTCCTGTGTGCTTGAATTTTCACTGAGCTTCATAGCACTGTTGTTTCCCTGTCAGGTGTTTAATCTTCCCATATACTTATTTTTTAGGCTTTCGATAGATTTTTGATTAGGATGTGGATAAATTTTTTCGTTTTCATTTATCTCATAATTTTCTGTTTTGACCACATCAATTATTTCTCTGTAAGCTTCACTTTGCTGTTTATAACTCGAACAAAAAATGATATCTGCGGAAAAAGCGAAGCGGAATATTATGTCTTGTTTGCTTTAAGCAGTTTAAGCATGCCATAAGGCCTCTATATCCGTATGAGGAGTCTCTTCTAATACAGCAATTACTAGATAAAAATATTAAATTATGGTAACAAATTTCAGCCACCTCATCGTATCGCTCTGAATATAACTGTGCAAACAAAACCCAAACTACTTGTTCGTAGCCGTGCATTTTCGGGTGATGATGATTCTGGCGTTTCTGCCAGGCATACTCCAACGTCACACTTTTTTGCTTCACGTTCTACTTTTTCTTCTACTTCATTTGGTTCGTTTTATTAGGATATTATTTTGAAGAATATTTTTGAATTAAAGTTATGTATTATTTTTACTGAATTGAACTGTAGACTCTGGCCACGGTAACGATTACACAGATTCAACTGGGATTAATTTGCTTTCATTTATTATATGTACGCTTCACAAGAATTCGAAAGATCGCCATATGTTGTTACAACTTGAACAGCACATGACAAAGCTTATTAAAGATTCAACGTAAGTGTAAATTATTTCCTATACTCTGCATTTCAAGATTTCGGAAAATAACTAAGTGAGCCCATGTAGGGTGCGGTTGAACCCTGTTTTATTATTACTATCCGCTACGTTATTTGCATCGAAGAATATCTTCGTGCTGATTGAATAATAGAAAGAAGTTGCTCTTGACTCTGTGCTTTTAGATAACGATGAAATTGAGAACAAAAACACTCATTTATTTGCTATGTCGTTTTCAATTTCAGTAAAATTAAAATATTCATTCCAGACGCAATTCTCAAAAATTCCCAGCTATGAGTTCATATAATCGTATGCTGGTGCATCGAGTAGCTGCTTTTTTCGGTTTAGATCATAATGTTGATCAGAATGGTACTGCTGTTGTTGTGAATAAGACATCGTATACTAGACTGTAAATTTCTTTTTCGGTTATTGGCTCATTCTAATATCCATTTATAATGGCGCTTCCTAATTTACTGCTCTTTCTTTAGAACTTTAAAAGTTCATTATTTGGATGCTTTTTGAAAAGCCTAGTTCCAGGCCCGATGTCGATTTTTTGTCGCTGATACAAGGTGAGGTGTACACTGATGAGCCTCGTCGACTTCTTAGAAGGGATGCTCAAAGCTATGAAGAAGTTTGTATTCCTTTTTGTGTTCATCGAAACTTTTCCATGGAAAATCATTGGATATTTTTACCAAGTTGTTCTGAATTTTTAATAGTTCCGTGTAAATCGAAATTTATCTTAAATCGCTATTTATGGTATTATTTGTAACTTTGTCGTCCTATTGGTTTCCATGATTATAAAACTATAAAACGATGGCATAATGAAATCTTTATATTATTTGTTTACTCACTTTAAGCTGTTCCTCTATCACCTTTTATATTCATACTAGGGAAAATTCATTTGAAAAAACTAATAGGTAAATTATCAGTAACGATGAATTGCAGGTTGAACAATGTTTGGGCGCAGGCTTAGTCTGTGGACGTCGAGCACGTTCCTTCGAAGTGGGCGATTGGTTATCAGCTGATCCAACAACTGTAACTGTTGGCTGTGCTCTTCCAGCTACCACAACTCTTCATATGCATCAGCAAGGATCAACTTCATCTATTGATGCTAGTAGCACTCATGTTTGTTTCTTATGACATTTTTTTTCAAAATAGCTTCAGTGATATTGACTAGTGTTTAATGTGATCTAATCTTTTAAATTATTTTGTCCTTCAAGTTTTGTATTTCAAAACTCTGATCCTGATGCTGGATATGATCTTCCATATGAGATGACCTCTTTTTCTGGTATTTCGACCCAGTTTGTTTTCTAGCTTCTTGAATCACCTGGAAGCTGTTATTCCTACGGCGATATGCCGATCATGAGCGTCTATTCAGCGCCACAAAGCAGCCCATCATTTAACAGCACCATGCATATGTTCTCATGGAGCAGCTCGGAAAGCTGTACAGGCTTGTCGGCTGATTATCCCTCGAGTTTAATCTCCCCTATCATGCATAATCATCCCCGGCCTACAGTATTAACGGTATGTAGATCTGGAACATCTTTTCTCATAATATGGAAATCAATCAGTAATTGCTGGTGTGAAGTTCGACATTTATTGCCTCTTTAGATGAATAATATTTTTCTGGGATTATGCGATTGTTATTTCCAAACTAGATTCGTTTTTGCAAACTCTATTTAGAATTGAGGATAATTTGGCAATAGGTCGACATTTCCTCGAACATATCAGACAAATGGAGACATTTACATACTTTCAAACCTCCGACATATGGCATCGTTAATCGAGTTCGAAAGGCAGAACATGGCCTGCGTCTCACATATATATTTCACATATTAGTCTAAAGTTTAACTGGATTGTCTCGCTGGCAGTTCTGATACGTTTTTTTATTTCTTGTCCTCTGATTTGGCTACTTACAGAGAGAAGCAAACGTCGATACAAATACGCCGCTGCATAAAACTCTCAGCACTCATTCATCTTTTTCCGAACAGCAAACGCCTATAAGCAGGCCTACTTCAGGTATGGTAATAGATGAAAGAAATAATTTAAATAACATTTTTCAGTCAGATAGTAGTTAAATTTACCAAATTTTTTTGTTACTGATTATTGCAGTCTCGAAAATTGTGGATAATTGATTATAATTATCACAGATTGGCATCGGCAAGAAGTATTTAATTCGAGAGAAACTTCAATGCCGGAAAATTTGCTTCCTGAGAATGTACATTTTACCGATGAATATGGTATGAACATTGCTGCTTCACAACAGCAAACACAGCCGATGTTTGCAACTCCTCCTGCATATGATGATTTCATTTCAAACCAGTACATCGTTAATCCAGTGCCAGGTGCAGTTCTTTAATCGTTATATATCTGTAAATTTTTTGTTCATTAAAGTAGTGCATTTGCCAGTATTAGAATATTTATGGCACTTTATCCACAGAGCTTGGTTTGCCAACCTAACTGAGCAATAGTCGAGATATACCGAAATTTAGAGAGGCATATTCCTGCTAATTTCAAGAAATTAAATGCTTTGTACTGCCTAGTTAACTTAGGGATAGGAAAAAATATCTCAACAAGGAAGAGGAAATGAATTTGTAGGATTACCTTACTCTTATAATCTCTTCTGTTAAGCCAGGTGTAGCCTTCTTTAGTGTGCAGTTGCAATACTTCCTGGATACATACTGCACTGATTAGCTCTCTTTGTTTTTTACTTCTCAGTCAATTTATTTTCTGGCTACCATTTTACAGAGCAAACAATGTATGCTGTTCTTCCACCATATTTCCGTTATGCTGCACCACCAACTTTATCAATCGTAAGTTTTCTAATTGCTGTAATTCTATCTTGGAACCATTTAGGAAGAAAAAAGCGACTGACTGTAGAAAGATGTGATAGATTCTTCTTTCCTTTTTTAATTCTCGTTTGAACAGTGAAGTATTGTTCTGAACGTTTTGTTTTTAGCAAAAATTTACACAACAGATGGAATCCTTGTGCGCAACAGGCTATCCGGAAATAGTTACAGCTTCTCCACAGTCTTATCTAGCCTCACCTCCACCAGCACAGACCATATATCCACAACAGGTGATTTTTTTTATTATTTTTGTCAAATTTGGTAGATTTTGTGACATTATAATATTTTCTGCAGTGGTGTCTTTGTCACGCTGTTATTGTTACTGTGAATATTATTACGGTGTGAAAATCTCTCAGAGTGTTGTTCGAGTTGATGATGTTTATTCCTTTTATTCTCTTTGAAGTAATTTAACAATAATAAATTTGCTTGCAGTTTTTGGTTTCATCTCAGGTCAACACTGTGTATTCACCGCAGCCTTATTTCGTACCGGTTTTGCAAACAAATTATGGTATCTTCTTGAATTTTTCCATAGATCAAAGACTGTCTTTGATCTTGTTTTCTTGGCGATTTGTTCCAAAATTGAGGAGAGATAGGAATACTTAGATGATATCGCGGCATAACGCAACAAATTCGTGAAAGCAAGCCATTCTCGATAATGTATTGATAAACGAAGATCCATATGATCGAAATCATCAGTCACTGAAGTATTAGGAGCTCTATTTGGGAGGTGGTATAGATCTTGTCTACCATGCGATTGGATTAACCTGCGAGATGCGTTACACTAAATAATCAAACATTTCTTATGATTTTAATAATTGCATTATTGCAGTTCCAAATGTAGCAAGTGTACAAGGTACTTATCCGGTTTCAATTACGCAATGCCCTATTTCAAGCTATCAGTGTAGCAGTATACAACAGGGGAATCTTATGGATGCAGTTAGAATTGCGAAAAGTGAATCCATGTTTGAAAGTTCTACCGCAGTAACGGAGAGCGAAAATGTTTCAAACTGATTAATGTTTCTTAATTTGTAGAGATTTTGTTACGAAGTGGCTTCTTTTTTCTCCCCTTTAGGTTGTAGATATGGAGTTTCTGCCTTTCAAAAGATTTTGAATTATTAAGTAACTGAAAAATTTAACAGTTGACAAATATTGTCTTTCTTATCTACTTGAGTTACCAGGAATTAGTTTCAAGAGATGTCGCTATAAAGCCAACTGCTAATATACAAATGTACAGACCTAGCAATCTGTAGTTTTCATTGTCTTATTACTTTCTTGCTGCCTTCTAACTGTCAATATTTTCTAAAATTAGTTTCTGCATTGTTTTTTTCACTTGCAATAGCTGTGCGAATTAGTATTTTGAGAACCGTCCGTATTTTTTGCCAATGTAATATTGGTAAGTTTTGTTATTTAGTGTTTTGTCTATACTATAGTTGAGTGAACTTCGCGATATTTCTGCTTAACTTTGTAATATTGAATTTTGGTGCCAAAAATAGATTTAATGAATTGATCACATTTCATATAAGCTGATAATATTGTGAGATGTCCTCTTTGCTTTCGCAAAATAGAATCTTTATAACCAACTAGAAATGAGGAAGTATTGATATGGCATGACAACTATGAACAATTATGATTTGAGTTCAATTCAGCTTGCACTCTGTTTGGAACAGAAGCATGACTAACTTATCTGATTTTTTTCGTGAAATTTCTTTGCGTAAAAGTAAGAATGTTTTCTTTCCGGTGCGGGTATTGTTTTTTTTTAATGTGCGAATCTTTTTTAGTATATACATGCTAGTTGAAACCAACTTCTTGTATTAATAAAATCCCAAGTGAAGACTTGTATTTTAAGTTTATGTAGGAGGAAGTTTTGCTTGCAATTTTATTATTATATTCCTTTTACTATGTAGCACACATTGTTTGGAAACTCTCCTGTCCGATTTATTTATTGTTGAGCCAATGTAATCTGTCGTACTTGAGTATAAAAAATATTTCGTTCTATTTGTTAGGAATACTGGTGGGATGAGAAAGCTTTGACATACTACTGGTTTTAATTTCAATCTTTATAAAGCATGCTTTCTCGTCTTTTGTTAGATTTCTAGTCTATTCTCAAAATACGGATCCTTTAAATACGGTATATTCATAACGTGGTTGCTTTGTTTTCGTTTCTTAAAGATGGTCACTCTTCTGTACTCAAATTATTACAACTTTTTTATTATGATAAACAAGCGCATTTTGATTGGAACTACTTTTTTGGACACCAATATATGGCTAAATAATCTAATGGTTATTCACTATAGATATTATTTTAGAAGTATGTAATGATATTTCTTTTTGTAACGATGCTAAATGTTTGAGGTCTACGAAGAAAATTATACGTTTAGATATTATGACGCCACTGTAGTATAGTTGGTATGCGTATGTCATCCGAGCGCTTTGTAGAATTAGTATTCGGACTTTGTGAAGCATTTAGAAGTATGAATTGTAGTATAAAATTATTGAATCCACTTCTGTTCAACGATTTCTTCTGGAACGCTTTCGGAAGGAGTAGAGTGTACTCTCTTTTTGTTTTATTAATGTATTCAAAATTTAAAATTAAAAGTATTTAGGATCTGTATGATAAAGTAATATGCTTGTGGTAGAGCTTTTTGTTTAGTCTCTTTAAACCTTTCAGGATGGCACATTTACGATTGTTGGCAAAATTCATCAATCGAAACCCTCGGAACATTGAACAACTTGGCCTTCAAACTTACCCGGCAGGCTATGGGATGGATGTTGATCGGCACAAACATTCATTTATATATAGGTGAGTTTTTTACACGGTTTATAAGTTTTTCAAGTATAGGTAATTCAGTATGAATAAGAAATGTGAAAGGTGACAGGTCCTTAACCTAATAATCATTGCAAATGAATAATTTCCTGAATATGAAAGTTTTCAGGGCAGATTTTCGGCGACATCGGCAATATGTTGAAGGTCACATAGTTCACTATAAGGAGGGAACTGTATTAACAGCGTCTTCACGTGAAAACCAACTATTTGCACAGCTTTGCAGGTTCAACTTTTATAAAACTGAATTCATTGAAATTTTCTCTTCGCTTCCAAAGATGCTTTGAAAAACAGTTTGTTCGCAATAAATTTTGGCCAGATTATTTCATCATTCCGAAGTGTAACATACTCTGTAACGTGGCAGTAGAAACCATTTGATTTTCACTGGCCAATATTTCCTCCTCAGTAATAATCGATCCTTTCAAAGATTTGTAATCTATTAATATTTTTGGAAATTATTTCAGTCCTTCTGATATTTCTGCTTGTGCAAACATTGGTCATGTACTCGGCCTAAGGTGTGCTATGGCTGGAATACATTTCTTACAAGATATTGATATGGAAGATATTAAAAAGAGCGCACATGTAAGTTGTTTTACATCAAATTCTAATTTTTTTTGCCGTATGAGATAGTAGTGCACGCAGATGAAGCTACTTCTTACTATTTCTTCCACTATCAAATTTTGCAGGTATCTGCATTTTTTGGTGCCTTAATAGAAAGTGGAATCAAATTCGGAGAACCGCAGCCTATCCCGCACACTTTTGAAGTTGATTCTGAGTTAACTTATGACAACTATGAAATACGACATACTCGCGAAGATAACACTGACTAGAGCATGAGACAGAAGTAGTAAGTTCATTTTAAATCCATTTTAATCATAGGGCTAGCCTCAATACTTTGACAAAGAAAGTTTTTCCGCCAAGTATACTTTTTAAAACAAATTCTTTATCTTTTAGATCAAATTAGTTTTGTACTCCTTGGCTTAAAAATGAAGAAATTTATGCATAAGATTTAAGAAAATTCAATGAATTAAATTTGAAAACCAATGAAACAACAATATTACAGTGTCAGTCATGCTGCAGTGCTGTGGCCATGTTTAGCAAGTTCATCTCTGAAATAAAACAGATGAAGATCTAAATGACAATTTTGTATATCAAGTCCTATGTTGAAAGTTACATGACTCCAGAAATTAATTAAAAGTTTAAAGAACCAAAGTGTTTCAAAAAGCAAACTTTAGTTGTTTGGCGAAATCATTTTCGTTCGCTTCATCATCCCAGTTGTCTTCCCAAACATTCAGTTCCTATAAAGTTCAACAGAAATTTCCAAGCTTTTTTCCAATGCATAGAATTCCGACATCATAAACAACTGGTAAACACCTTCCGTATTCATGCTATTACTAATTGCAGGGAGAAGCATTAAAAACATTTACGAGATACAGACGAATCAGCTGTCAACCGTAAGATAAAAATTCTAGATTATCATGATTGTATGATGGGTTAAAGTCAAAAATGAAAATACTATAAGCGCTCATCAGCTATAGGTTGCACATCTGAAGTCTGCTTAAAGCAAACATATCTAAAATATGCAGTAATCTCGAACCTCTTCATCTTCGGCACCCTCCTTGGCTTGCCAATCTTGCTGGGGGAATTCTTCAAACTCGTCATCCTCTTCAATATGTGTTTCCATTTTCTGCTGGCTATCTTCTGGTTTGCTCTTGTTTTTGCCTTCAGTCATTGTTAGATCTTTGCAACTATAATTTCGCAATTCAATTTCGAACCTATAAAATACCAGCTTCAATGGAGGAACTTATAATGAATCATGTCTCGCGAGTTAGGAAGAGCTGTAAAAATATGTGTGCAACTTCTAAATTTAAATCCCTATAATGTGTCGAATACGCGCCATGCTCTACACTCCAAATTTAAGAACCTTTATTAGTAAAGGTTACTACCGATTGATGATGACTAAGCAATGATGCTCACTTCAATGCTGCAAGTGCAGTCCAGGTTTTCCGCATCCCTGACAGAAAACGCATCCATTATAGAGGCCATAAGTAAGGAAGTGAAATATAATAAAAATAAATCTTGGGAATAGCAACAGTAAATGAAGTTCATGGAAACGAATATTGAATTACGTTCACAAAAAATAAGCTTCTTTACAAAATGAAAAATTTTATTTCATTCATTAGGCGACTTTGGTAGATCACATTTTTTTAAGATGTAAACATATTAATTTTTGTATTTTTTGCATCACATCAGAGACATAAAATCACAAACAGCATTCACGAGTAGAACTCCTTTTTGGATGCTTTATCTTAGTTATTATAACATTTGTAGATATGGCAATACGCTTATCCCTGCTCTTCAGGAACAGGTAGTTCTCGACCACCACCTAACTTCAGTGGTTGTCTGGTCTGGATTCGTAAATGCTCTTGAGAAATTCTCGTTTGCCTGCAAATAATTTCTGCTATCTTTTGATTTCATATAGAAAGAAACACTTTAATCATTAGTGGTAACAATAACTCCGTGACCAACAAATGCATATAAACACTAACCTAGGCAAATCTCGTTTGGGCTTAATCCATTCTGGATAAACTTTGTCGTGTAGTCTCCAAGTACCATCAAAGCTAGCAATATGATTTTCGAACACTACATATTCTAGTACTGGTTTCGCTTCATGTTCTGTTCCGAGTATTAATCTACCAAAACGGTCGTAAAGTGCAATTTTCTGTAAAATCAATTTTGATTCAATTGTTTTCATTGAAAGAATTCATTTCTTTTCTTAAAGAAAACAGCAAGAAGTACAAATACACCATTGCTTTGCATACGGCAAAAATAATGGATAATAAGCAAATATAATACCTGCATTGTATGCATTCGAACAATGATCTGGGCAATGTCATTCCCAGACTGGTGTGGAAAATCAGCACAACGAATAGACACAACGCGTGATGGTTCGATATGTTCCGTTAATTCCCATATTACTGAACCATTTTCCACGTCCGGCCACATTTTCTGCAGCAGAAATATATCGCGTATATGTGATTATGTAATAAATTAAAGAAACATTTTTGCTAAGAAAAATATCCTTAAAATATCAACTAATGTACATAGTGACGCATTATCTGTTATATGAAAAAAGAAGTGGAGATATTAAAAGAATGCAAAAAAGTGAATAAGTTTGAATATAATCAGAATTATAAATCGTTAAGGTTAAATGATGGATATGGACAAAAGAGCAACGAAAGTGGAGAAGTTACTCGAGTAGGTAACAAGAGAGTAGAGAAGCATAAAACCTACGGATTGATGAAATGTGCAAATATAGAACAAATAATGTGGACGGTAATAAAGAAAACGAATTAGAAATTCCAATATTTCTAGGAAAAATATAAAGTCGCTTACCCCAAATGCAGCTTCTGTTATATATTTTTGCAATGCAGTTTTGTCACGAGCCATCAAGGCTCTGTGAGCTTCAACATAAATTTCGTCAGCTGTAGTCGGGAAAGTCTGAAAAACAAGATAATTTAAAAAAGAACACTGCGTTTACTCGATCTCTATCTTAAATAGATCTTAAATACATTGTTCGTTGGACACAGTTCAGAGTGTCAATGTCCAACGTTAGACTCGTTGGACACGTTGTTCATTAGACACTTATTATCTATTTGCATTCAACTTACTTTAACACTGAAATTTTCAAATCCCTTTCTTTTACGTATTCTTTTCACGCCATGTTTGTGGTTAAAATATCTGAAAATCATAAGAAATCTTAAAAATTGGTAAGAAATCGAGTTTAAAAAGCATTCCGAGATAATAAGCATTAAACTTGTATTAAAATTTATCGCTTCTTTTACATATGCTGCATTAGTGATAGGCAAAAAATGACTAACTTATGCTGGTATACTGTGAATCGTCCTTCTTCTGCTCTCAATAGTGCATATTCCAAAGATTCCTTTTTTTCGTGGAACTCTGGAGGGAGTAAGAAAGGAAAACCTAATAATTTCAACGGATTTTTTCGAAAAATAGTGTAAGGATTATCAGGTGAAGGTTTTTCTCTTGGAATAAAAGGATCCATTACTTGATCTGAAATGACATATATCAAGTTTCGAAAAATTTTTGGGAAACATCGCATGAAAAGCTTTATTTCTTTTTCGTAATCTATTTTATCCTAACTATCACGAAGATGAAATATATAGATGGCGATACTCACTTGATAAAAATTCTTAGAAAAACTAACGACAAGAGTTGAAAGTCACTTGAAATTCTTTCCATGTTTGGGGTGTAACGTCTCTGTACGGATTGATTCCTTTCTTCAGCAACATAAGTCGCAGATCCAGTGGACTCATCTTCTGTCTCTTTTTTTGCATCTCATCATCCGGCAATTCAATGTTGAAATTCTTCTTAGCACGAAGCTGTAATTAAGGCTATCAATTTATTATAGCAATGAAATGAATGAAACTATGAGGTTCCATTCATTTCGATAAAACTGCAATTTAAACTGCTAATTTTTTGATGCTCGTGCTTTCCCGTTAAAAACAATACGTCGAAATTTGCCTTCCTTTTACCTCCTTTTTACTGCACTACTTATTATTATTAAATTACATTCAAAAAGAACATACTCGAGAAAATTTCCGTTCATTGATGTGTGTGTTCCTGTTAGCTTTGTGCTTGTTCGAGCGTTGAATGCCAAGAAAGAGTCGCAGATTGTGGCGCTCTTTGTGATGATGAACATAACAAGAAGGAGCCAACATAAGATTGGTTGGAGCGATGAAAACTGGAGAGATCAGTCGTTGCAGGCAACTGTATGTCTTCTGTAGCATCATGTAACATCACCTGTAACGAAAACAATGATTTGCTTTTAGCCTAAATGAAAACTGAAAATAACCGTAAAATGTTCTGATTCTCAACACATATACCTAAATGAGTGCTGTCCATACTATGTCGTCGATTTGGCTGATCTTTAAGACCATTCTTATCTCTTGCCTCGTTGAAGGCACCAAGATGGTCCTTAATTACTAAATTACATAATCAGACTTTACTATAAAATGCTACTTCACCGGTTCCTTTGAATGCCAGCTAAGATGATGATGTAAGTCCTAACACTCAAAAAATGATGAGCCCTTAATCCAGTAAAGCTTTACTAAATTTTAAATTTTTAAAATTCAACATCATGAACGATAAATAACGGCATTCCAAGCGGTCCACTGGTATTAAATTCAGGTCAAATAGGACCAGACTCTTTATTATGACGCACTTCAACCACCCACTGTCCAAATACCGCAAACTTGATTTACTTGCAAGGATGCATGCAATGTGGCTGCAGTGATTATGTAGGGTTCTCAGACGAACTTCAAGTTAGTAATGGATGGTGGTCTTTAGTGATTCTGCCATGCGTTTTTGACGAGGTGTCCAGGTGTGCTCTTAAACATCAATTGGTGAAGAAGTAAATCAATTTTTACGATGTCTACTAATGCAAAGCCATATTGAGGTAGTGGTAAATGTCAAGATGGATGTTGAGGAAGGCTCTCTGAATGATGTCATGAAAAGTTGGAAAATAGTGCGGTGGTTAACTTATATACTTGTTCCCTTATGTCCTTGTCGTGAAATGATAAGGAACAAAAAGTTTAACATCTTTCGATGAACAATTATGCTTATTCTTATCTGAAATTATAATCCTTGTCTTGTCTAATCCAATTAAAAAATTTTCATTGGCTAGGTGGGTCATAAATGAGATATTTTTAGAAAGCTGAAATTAGAAAATGCTTAAGACTTGATTATTCAATGTTGCGCTCATGTTGAAAATTCCGCGATACTGCAAGATTTTTGAATTATACTGAAGAAGGAAACAAGTTTTTTTACCATATTGTTTATTTGGAAATGTTCTGTAGAAATTCAAAAGTGTAATCCAATGAAGGAACAGTATGGATATAATGGTACATGGTAGTCAGGAAAGATGGAAGTAAATCGGTGAAATATCAAGGAAGGGTACGGCGGCATGAGGAAATCCTCTCTTTGTTCTGCGGGTTACAAACGGAAATTTATTACCTTAAATGAAAGGCAGCTTCTTTAAAGAAGCTTTAAAAAAATTCGTAATGCCATGTTGAATGTCCTATCTGCCTCCAGGACTAGGAATGGATCTAGTGTATAGTATTCGTGAATTTGGTACAGAAATAGGAATGTCCATATTATGTGGTCACAACAATCTATCAGAACTTAAAGATTTCAAGTTGAAATTTATCTCTTAATTTTTTTTGGAAGGAAAGCAAGTTAAAAAATTGATCAAGCTCATATTGATTATGTCAAGTTATTTAATCTTCATCATCCTCCCCAAATCTTATCACTCTCTCGCTAAAAGGGAGAATAACAGTTAGGTCAAGTTGTAAATAAAGTCTGCAAAGAATTGGATGCATATCCTCTTATTTGGCGAAATTATATATTGGCGCAATGAATGATGAGGGAAACGATTAAGTCAGGAATGACGTCTAATGAAAAGGTTTGTCGTATTCCATTCCCCTCATGGGATTGGACAATAAATTCCAATAAATTTATTGGAAGCCTCCTTTTTCAATCTATCAATAGAGTTGTGTATTATCTAATAACCGAGCCAATAAAGCCTATTTTCGTGAAATTTCAAGTGAATGTTGACTTCAACATGCTATTAAATACGTAGAAAGCATTCTACAAGACTGGAAAATGTGTTAGTGATAACTGCAAACATAGACAAAACCGAGAAACTTTATGAAATGCACGGTTTTATTACTGGAAAACATGGAATATTGGGTCGCATGTAGCAATACGATGAGATGTTTTGGGCCTTCTTTCACCGTGCTCTTTGAAAAATGGCCGTAAGCAAATTGGATTTGCATTTTAATGACATCTCTTATATGAAGGGAGATCGAGGCAATAAAGAAGGAAAGAGACACACATAGATGCGAATACACCTCGTCTTCAATTTAGTCTTCTCACAAACTACAACACTTCAGAAATTTCCAATTTTCCGCCCATTATTTGTATGAGAAGGAATGAAAGATTGGATGTGGAATAATTTAGTGTCAGCAAATTATTCGTTTTGCAACGGAAGCATCGTATCCTTACTGTACTTTTTTTAACGCCATAAATTTTGTTGGGCGTAGTTGATATCAGAAGTCCAATTTGGCTCCTTCCTGCACTTCAAGAGTTTAATTTTACGGTGAAGTGAGTTAGGAGAATCAGTGAAATTTTTTTCACAGTGAAGTAAGCTTATTTCTCTTGTTTTTCAACTGCTTTTCATCCTAATTGAAGCCTTTCTAATTGAAGTTTTGGTCTTCGGAATTACAACCTTACAAATTTCCAATGATTCTTACATGTAAAAAAAGCATCTTATTCATATCGCTTGCTTTTTGGCTTCAGCAAACTTGTTGTTTTATTCGGAAAGTGCCACTACGTAAGTTTCAAATCTATTATTTGAGGCTTGTTAAGAATTTTTTGTTGATAATATCACATTCATTGTATTATTCATTCGTAATAGAACTAAATGAACTATCAAAGGAGATACCATTTAAAATAGAGGAAATCTGGAAACAGTGCTCACAAACTTCTTTCGACTTCTAATCGTTATTGTCAAGAAACAAAAAAATTGAAATAATGAAATGGAATAAAGGATCAAATTATAGTGCTGGGAATTTTTCCAATACATCCATGCAAAATATCTTTTATATAAATTTTGAAAGTATAGACCGAAATTTGAATTGGGCGGATAGGTTCAGCGACTCTTAATTGCAGTGTTTTTGGAAAAATATTAAAAAATTTCAAAAAACTTGAGGTGCCTTTATAAACACCAGTGAGCTGGACAATACAACTGCAGCAGTAATCCAAGAAATGCTTCGGTTGGCCGAATTTTGGTTTAATATGGAGGAAAAAAATACGGTAGATGTGGCGCTTGGTGTACGTTACCTTCCGGCAATGCATTCTACCACACTTCTTTGGCATTTAGCCGATTTTGGTTTCTTTTATTTATGCTTCAACATACCATTTCCTTCATGCTTATATTTTAGCAGATAATTTGAAATCATTGACAACATGTCTTATCATCAAAGTTACAATATTTCATTTTTTTATGAATTCTGCGGTGATATGTTTATTATGGTATTTTATTATGTATAGTTTTAGTATGTGATGAGCTCAAAATTGGTTTTATGATAATGTTAGTTGGCAGTTCACCCGTATCATTTGGTCTTTACAGTTCATTGGCGAAACGAGTTAAAGTAAGTTTTAATCAAATTTAAATTAAATACTTTTTGGCTGTAAATACTTCAAATATTTCATTACGTACTGTTTGTTCACTTAGATAATTTCCCACTACATAACACTTGTTGAAGTAACAGTATGATTTGATATCTTGAATTTTTTCATGAAATAATAAGTTATCATTAATTAAAAATTTGCCTTCCTTTTGCTAGTCTTTCAAACATATTTTCTTATTCAGATACCACTAGTTGACTGGGAGACATCCGATTTGAGTTATGATTCGGGATCGCCTTTTACAGCATCCGTAAGGCCTCCAGCCGATGAGCTACTAGTGGATTACATCAAAATTAAGCAATGGCATGAGATTATTTACTTGCATGATGGTGCTAATGGTAAACTATGATTAAATTATTCATTGCATATAAAGTTTTCTTTCCTTGAATTTAAATTTCAACCACTTTAACATTTTTCAAGTAGTCAATCATGATTTAATTTCCAAACCAATTTGTGTTTAAATCTATTTTTATTTAAAATGTAGTGCTTAAAAATTAAGCTCTAATTAAGTCTTTAACTCTTGGAATTTAACAATGAATATACACTAAAATATTAATAACATTTGAATTACAAAGTGAATATTTGTTTCAGCGGAACGAAGCCTCACTGCAATATATAAATATTTGGAAAAAAATCCAGTTTATCCCTTACAAATTGATAGCTATCGTATTCCCGAAGATGAAGAATACTTTCGAGAATTTCTCAATAATTTTCACATGCAACACTTTAACTTCGTTGATTCAAGGTGTGAATCAAAAATTTTAAATTGTCACACATAATGGGATTGCTGATATTAATTGTGCGATGATGCTGAAATTTCCTAACAGTTTCTTTTTTAACTTACTGTAAAAGTAATAATAACTTTGATATTGAATTGTTGTAAAAGAGAGAAAATGAACAGTTTTGTTTGATATCATTCCAGTTTAAAAAAAATGGTAAAGAAATAGATAATATACGATTGATGATGGTACGAGATGCAGTGAAAATTAACATCACTACTATGCTTAAATATTCCAGATCTCTGAATGTTGTGGTCGATATTTCAAATAGTTATCGTATCCGAGCCTTTTTGCAATCATTGAAAGAAAGTATACTTGTCAAAAAGCAATATAATTATGTGTTTGCTAATTTTGTAAGTACAATAAATTTAGATATTTTGCTATTTCATTTTGTGAAAAAAATATTTTTTTTAAGCTTAAAAATTTTGACAGGAATTGGATGAAAATGATTTGGATGCTTTCCATTATACTCTTATCAATATTACAGCTTTTTTAATGTGTGATCGATATAAACAACGTTTAAAGTAAGTTTTAAAAAAGTTTCGGTATCATAAGTTACTAAAACTTATTGAAATGACAAGAAAATTATAGCAGTTAATCATATCAATGACAATTAATAATTACAGTATTAATAATAAACAATAATTGGATAAGATCCACTTTAAATTTTCACTGGAAAATTTTTACTAATTTAGTGGACCTTTCTAGTTTGAACATCATATAAGTCTTCCTGTCTAAAGAAATAATAATAAAGATCATTTCAGTCCACTTTATCAATATGTTAATTGTAAAGAGGAATGCAGGAAAAATTTGAAACCTCATCAAGAAATATTTTTTTAGCAGTGCTTTCATCAAATAGCTATTAAGATGTGCTAGTATTTCATTTAGAATTATTTCTAGAAAGGGTTATTCCACCTAGAACTATTACGATATTTTAGCAAAGAAAGAAAAATGTTTGTGCATCATTACGGCAATCGTTCTATCATAGATAATGTACCAATACCTGTAAGTTTGTTAATTTATCTATCCTCATTTACTGCATAGTTAAAAATAATTATTTAATCTAAGCAGTATTAAAAGAGAGATTGAAATTTAAAAAAATATTAAACAAATATTACCATTTTAATGCTAGTTTGAATTATTTCTTTGAACCAAGTGAATAATTCTAGACTGACTGAAAATAAATTCCTTATCAAGAAAATCATTGTTGAATGGATTAACATAAGTTACGATCAATTTTAAAACGAAAACTGTTAATGGCTTAAAAAAAACCTGAAGTTTAATAATTTGAAGCATGATAACATGTAGCATGCTATATTTACAGATGAGTGCACTGTTTGCACATGATGCATTGCTTGTGGCAAGTAATGCGATTGATATTGTTTTGAAAAAATATGGCCGTGATTTGTTCGCTAATGCATTCAGTCAAAACCAACTATATAATGCTGGTCAACCAGGAATTCAGTGCAGGCGTGATTTAGAGCATGCCACCTTAATACCATTTGAATTTGGTGATAAAATTATCGAAGCTATCAAAGAAGTACAATTTTGTCCCGAGATTTTATGTTCTATGTTATCAATTCAAAAATAACTTTAATTCAAAAATAACTTTAATTTTTTAAATAACTTAGAAAATAAATAATAACTTAAAACATTTCTATCTTCAAATAACTCCTTCATCAGAACAAGGAGTTTCAAATTTGGAAAGGTAATTGTAAATTGAAAATCAAATTTGATTATTGCTTGCCAGAAAGAAATTTGAATGATAATGTAAGCGGTAAAGAAGTTCATTATTTTTTTTCCAAAAATATAATTCATAATATACAATGCTTATCGAAATCTAAATTTTCGTTTCGATAAGCAAATATTTAATAAGAATAGCATTTAGCTGTTCTAATTACAGGTAAAACTGGACGAAACTGATGGAACTCTTACCGGACAAATACAATTCACTAAGTCGTTGATTAGGACAAATTTTTCAGCGAAAGTAGTGGAAATTAATCCAAGTGGAAGGAGCCTATACAGTGTTCGAAATGTAACTAACTAGCTTTTGTTTTTAGCAATAACTTTTTGTGAAGATGTAAAAATTGATCTAAGATGAGTTGTCTGAAAATTTTTTTTATTGAAGATTTCAAGTTGAATTTGAATTTTTTAATAATTTAAAAAATGGAATTAAAATGGAATTATTTCTCAAAAAGATTATCACATTTTAGATGTTTGATTGGAAACAAGGTGTAGGATTTATAATGAATGCAAAAAGTAAGCCAAATTTGCTGAGAGAAGAAACTATCACTCGTTTACATCACCGACCTAATAGGCTACATATTGTAACGGTTTTGGTATGTTGATTAAAATCGAATCAGTTCATACAGCTAAATATAGAGATCTGTTATTTTCACGGGAATCTAAAAATCTAAGTGTGTTTATGGATAAGGGTTATTTTATGAAGAAAAGGTAAGGAGGTCAATCAATATCATAATATTATTTTATTTTTTGAAAGTTTAGGATTAATTGAACATAGAAGCTATAGGTGAAACCATTCGTAATGCTAAAACGAACAGTTCGCGGAGAGCCGGCTCGTGTTGGTAATGATCGTTTTGAAGGATACTGTATTGATTTAATCAAATTATTAGCAATGAATATCAGCGGTTTCGATTCGTATGAAATATTCATTGCTGAAGGAAATAAATATGGACAACGTCAAGATGATGGTTCTTGGGATGGAATGATCGGATATTTGCTCAATGAGGCATGTCTTAACATATTTTCTGCAAAATCAAACATTCAAAATGCAAATTATAGTTTTAATTTCAATTATACAGCAAATTGTACTTCTAAGTGCACCGAATTCTGTATGGAAAATTTGTAGATGAAAGGAATTGACTCAATTACAAATATTGTCAGCTTTTACTGAATATAGAAAGCTGAAATTATACAAATGAACGATCGTAACTTTGGAAAAACAAACTTTTCAATTTCTGGTTTTCGTAAAAAGTAGTACAATTTTTCCTTAGCTTCTCGTGTCCCTCGAAATTAATTGCAATTATATCCATTCTTTTTCATCCAATAATGGGCGCACTTACAGTTAACCTACAGAGATTTTTCTTTGAAAAAAGTGGATCTCGAATTGGCTTTCTAGCAAACTATCTTTTCATTTTTTTTCATTAATTTTCGAATTATTGTTTTTATTGATTTGAGCTTCCTTGTTTCTGTAAGATGCAATTAAAAGCATTGCTAAAAACTTGACAAAAAATTCAGATAAAGCTGTCAGCAATAACGATATTGAAGGAAGATTTACGTTCCTAAATCTAAGAAATAATCGATTTTATTAATATTACCACATGTGGTTGTTGAAAAAATTGACAATTTCTTTCCTTTACCTTTTTTTTCCTCCTTCACTGTTAGATACATTTGTCATTAATTCTCAAAAAATTTATGATTAGATATGTCCTTCCAGAACTGAATAAGAAAACTCTTATGCTGTAACTTAACAAACTTAAACAAATGGACTGAAATTATTGCGAGAGGTCAAATGAAAGATGTATGAGCAGTAATGAAAGGAAAAAAGTTATGGTAGTGATAGTGTGAGGGATTCAGAGAATCGTAGATTGATAATGAATGATAAAGCAACAAAGATAATAAAAAAGAGTTTGATACTTGGAGAAATTCTTGCAAGAAATAAGCAATGTCAACAGATATGTAGACAGCAGATGTCGCAGTAGCACCACTGACCATCAATCAAGCTCGCGAGCGTGTCGTTGATTTTTCGAAACCATTTATGACTACCGGAATCAGTATTATGATTAAGAAACCGGAAAAGCAGGAACTCAACGTTTTCTCTTTCATGCAACCTTTGGGAACAAATATTTGGTTCCTCATACTATGCTCATATGTTGGCGTAAGTTATTTGATAATTAATTCAGACTACTAATTGTGTACTTTGTAATAATAACGGGGAATCCCCGAAATATGATAAAATCATGTCTTGGAGAGTAAGTGAAAAAAATCTTATCAATTAATGCGGAGTTATCAGCTTGATATTTGGCAATAATTGAATCACAATCTTTTAATGTATTCAATATATATTCCAAATCAAAATTATCATACTATTGCTCGAAGCATTTCAAAAATTTTAATGATAATTAGCCTAGCCAATAAGATGGGTCGGAATTGCTGATAATACTAAAATTAATTTTAGTAATTATTTCAGATCCGAACTATTCCATCAATTGAGATAATAAGTATAGTAAAAGTATTAATGGTATTCATAACTGTTTTATCACCACTGTCTCTAATGTATATGAATTCTCAAATTCTCTGATACATTATTAGTCCCATTTTCATCCAATTCGCCATTTGCGCTAAAATTTGCTTGTCTCATTTAACATTTCATAATTTGGCTAGTAATTTAGACAAATAGTTTAATCTGATAACCACTCATAAGAATTCACTCTTTATTCCTGGATTTTTTCAATTCCAAAAATTATTAGAGATTAATTCATTTCAGGTATCACTTACCATATTTCTAGTGAGCTGCTTTAGTCCATATGAAACACGTACAGAAGCAGAATTATCGACAGAACTTTCCCTCTATAATAGTTTATGGTTTACTTTATCATCGTTTATGCAGCAAGGTACTGATATATTACCCAGGTAAGCCTGCTTAAATTATTAATTGCAAATGCTTCTGTGCATTCTTTTATGTTAGCGAAATCTTTTAGTACTGTCAGCGGCCATCTTATATCTTTCAATTATTGCTTCCTATTTATGATGGCATCAACTATTCACTTTTATTTTATTATTTACGCATTTTTTCTAACTAAAAGTTTTCAAAATGCTTTTGAGCGTGGCAATAAGAAAGAAAAGAAATTAATTTCCTCTCTTCCAACTATTCTTCTCTATGGATTTTGATGAAATGAGAGAAGAAAAATGTTTTTGAGAAGTGATTATTGTAAGACATATCCTTTAATATAACATACAGCAGTTATATGGACGGACTTGAAATCTAAGATTCGGATTGAGATAATTTAAGATTACATAAAGCATGATGAGTGTGATGTCGAAAAGTTCTATGTTGAAAATTATCTTCCAAAGTGGCCAAAAATGAAGTTTCTCGTAATTACTTAAATTATCATCTTACTGTTTGCTAAACAGCAATGGTAATGGATGATTTATGTGTCAGAGAGTTAGAAAAGGAATAATTAAGCATAACTTTGACGGTATATTGAGGAAGGGCGTTTAAGTTTTCCGGAATAGTGAATCAGGATTCGCTATTTTCTCAATCGCATCTAAAAAACAAAGCTATTCAGCTGTTTCAAATTAAACTTTGAATTTTCTGAGATAAAGATCATACATTCAAAATAAAAAAATTGGTGAAGTCGGGAGAAAGTGAGGGATCTTTTAGCAAAATACTAAAATCAGAAATGTGCTGATTTTCTGAATCCGAATCGTCTATTTAGAAATTTGGATGTCAGATTTTTATTCTAAAAGAATAACTTTCTATTTCTTTGAAAAAGATGTGTTTTAAAAAGTAACGTTTAAAAAAATCAATCAAGTAGAAAAAAGCGTTTGAAATTTTTTAGGAAGTCACAAATTGAAATCTAATGATTTCTCAAATATCCTCAACAGCCATCAATTAGTAGAATTTTAAATTTTTACAAAAAAGCTGGAAATTTTTATCAGATATATGTTTAAATGATCCTATTAGACTATATGGTAAAGTCTTAGTTTCAAGTTCTGAACTTCATTTTATATTTGACTGTACTACGAATGTACGTACGAAAGCAGTGATTCACGTAGTGAAAAGTAAGGATAAACAGGAGCGCATGAGGTTTAAAGTTTTGTTGCTAATTAATCAATGCAATTTATTCGGTAGTAAATATTCAAAATTTCTCTTACATAATAATTTTATAGAAGTTTTAAACTTATTAAACTTGACTATCATCGATGTATTTCACTTCCGCCTAATATCTTGGACTATCTGAATGTGTTGTAGAGCACCATCTGGACGGATTGCTAGTAGTGCATGGTGGTTTTTCACGCTTATTATTGTTTCCTCATATACCGCAAACTTAGCAGCATTCCTAACCCTGGAGAAGATGATTCCACCAATTGAATCGGTCGATGATTTGGCTGCTCAGAAAAAGATCCTTTATGGAATCGTTAAGGGTGGCTCAACAGAAGAGTTTTTTAAGGTATACAATGTTTCCTGATTTAATGTGAATAGCATATTATTTGACAACATTTCCGCTGCGATTTTTTCCGTTCCACATTTATTTCAAATCCGAATTGAATTGATCGACAACAATCTTATTTGTCTATTCTGAATTATCTGTTTTTATTTCAAGCTCACTTGTTTAATAAATATATTTCAAGGAATCAGCAGTGCCAGTTTACAAAAAAATGTGGAATTTCATGTATGATACGTATACTCAACAGCTTCGCTCACAGCAACACTCAAATACCTCAGATACTGTAATGGCGAATACGTATGCTGAAGGAATTGACAAAGTGCGCCGAAGCAAGGTTCTTTCACATCATATCATCTTCATAGTATTGAATCTCAAGTTTTTTTAAATTTTATATTTCGTAAACACTATTCAAATAAATATTAATCCATACTTTCATTACGGATTAATTTCCAAATGATATATTATTTCCAAATGATCAATAAACATTCTCCGATTATGGCATAAAGATATGTTTGTTGTCTGATTCAGAATTCATAATTTTATTCATTGCACCAATTCTGGAAGATTATTTCGAAGAAATAAAGTTATTAGTAAAGAAATTTGATTTCGAGTCTGACATTAATGAATTGTAATAGATCAAGCTTTGCTGCAAATAATCATCGAAATGTTTTGCAGGGACGGTATGCATTCCTTCTAGAAGAAACAGCCAATGAATATGAAAATACTCGGAAACCATGTGATACCATGAAAGTTGGAACTAATTTAAATTCCTTGGGATATGGAATTGCCACTAAGATTGGTAATCCCCTAAGGTAGCAGTTTTTTTTAATTTTTCTTCCGATAAAGTCAATGGTTGCTACTTGAAGCACTCTTTCATGTTAAGCAAGTTTGATAAAATTTTATATATTTTGAACTAATATCAACTTCTTCTAGGTAACAAAACAAATATATAGATTCTTTGAAGATACTCTTTAATTAAGCATCAAATACTGACGTGATTTTCTAAATTGTTTTGATGCTAGACGTAAAAATTCAATAAATAGTAGAACACCCGATAATGCAATCTATTCAATCATAAAATGGTAAAAAACTTTAGGTACTTCTCATTCTTTTTATTAAATTTGATGATTAATGAAGTTTTTTTATAGAGAAAGTATTAATTTCGCAATATTATATTTGCATGAGAAGGGTGAATTGAAGCGACTGGAAAATAAATGGTGGTATGATCGAGGTCAATGCGATCAAGGGATGTCGATATCTCCGGTTACTATGTTATTGAGGAAAATAATGATGATAATAGTTGTATTATTGCTAAGAGAACTCGTTTTATCTACTTTTAAATTCTACTTCGCATTTAGAATTTGATTATCGTCAATCTGATTATGTGACAAGCTAAATATCAAATTTCTCCACACCTTTTGTTCCAGAAATTAACACATGCTTTTCGGTACTTCGACTGAGAAATATCTGAAACCATATTATTTTTCGTAAGCGGTGAGAGAATTATAAAATCATTCAAGCTGGTTATAATGATAATAAAATAATTTCGGATGTGATTGATTTTGGGTTCAAAAAAATTGATCTGAAATAACTGAAATTCATTTTGTCATCATTACCCTTATTCCTTCATTCCGTGTTTGCAGCTGAGGATATTTTTGAAATTTCATTTATATTTTTCCAGGAAGGCGGTAATAGTGCCAGTTTAACTCTTAGCAAAGTTGCTGGAATCTTTTATATTCTATGCGGCGGTATGATACTATCAATGGCGACTGCTTTTGTCGAATTTTTATATCGTTGCAAGGTGGAACGATATGAAGCTGCAAGAAAGGTTATTTCGGCTTAATCATTTCCATCTTGTGTAATTTATTGCTTTTATGACAAATTATTTCACATACGGCCTATATAGCGTAATTATTTTCAATTTCTGGGACTTATTTCAGAATCATTTACGACGAAAGGCATTGCGGGATGGTAATGATCATTCACAAAAACGCTCAAGATCTGCTGAATTGTGAAGATATATATATATATATATATACTAGTTGTAAAATACA